TCCCCTCCAGGGCTAGGCCCCGGGGCTCTGCAGGGCGGGGTCCAACACACCGAGCAGCGGGACACAGCCCTGCACTGGCCTCACCTTGCCTGCCACTCCAGGCTTGTCAGGGAGGCCAAAGGGGGCGAGCTGGCAGCACACGAGACCAGGCCAAGATAGGGCAACAGACGGGCACGGGCAGGAAAGGGAGTCACCCCCGGGGCTGGGACCGCAGAGCAGCCGAGACAGAAATAACCCACAGGAAGCAAACGGAGGAACCACCAAAGCAACAGACTTGTGTGCAAGCATGGAAGGCGCGTGCACGGCCACGTGTGTGTGCCAGGCTGGAACACCTGTGCTGACAGCCAGGAGACCAGCAGAGGCAGCTCCTAAGGGCTCCTCACCTCAGACGTTCTGCGACTCCTGAGCACAACAATGCTCTCACAAGGACGACTGAAGCGACGGCCAAGTGGGCCCGGTCCTAGGGCCCGCATTAGTTCACTTCCTCCTCACACTCAGACAGTTGAGGAGACCTGCCCAAGGGCCCGCAGCAGATGGGGACCCTCCAGAGCTCTGGCGCTCCCCAACCGCATGCTGCCCCGCGTCTGGTGAGGACAGCACGACAGACTCAGAGCTCACGCGGTGCATTCATTCAGGCTTGGGAAAAGCATCCTCAGGCACAGGCCCCTGAGCATGTCTCCCCAGGTCTTGGGGACAGGAGGGAGCAAGCTGGGTCAACCTCAAAGTCACCCTGCACACCCTCATCCTCCTTCTGGTCCCCCCTCCAGCATTAATTGCAACCAGTTCTCCCTATGCCAGCAACATTGTCTCCAACGAGGATGTCTGAGTTCTCATCTCGGCTTGGCCCTTCTCAGCTGCGTGAACCCAGGCAGGCTGTTCGCTTCTCTGCACCTCAGTTTACTTGTCTTGAAAAGGGGGTGCCACCTGCTGCAAGGATGGCAGGAGGGGTTGACCGAGGAGCTGTAGAAGCGCCAGTTTCTAACAGGCGCTTGGGAAAGACTGGTCCCCATCCCCTGTCCTATTCGGAGGCTGCCCTCTTCCCTGCTCTGCATCCGGGCTACGACCAACCAGACATGAGGCAGAAAGAGGGTCAAGAGAAGCTGAGAATTCGGTCCTGGCCTTGCCCTGGTCGGCAGTCGGCTCCAGGGAGCTCAGCCTGGGGACTTATCTTGTCTCTGTCTGCTGTCCCCTTGCTCCTGCTGGGACCAGCCCAGCTTAAAAAGACTCGCTGTGACTTGGGAGAGCAGAGCTGACTGCAGGCAGAGAAATGGCCCTGCCCTTGGGGCTGCCTGTGGCAAGAGACAGCGGGTAGAGGAGCCCGAGTAGGGACTCGGACCTGGGGGCTCCAACCAGGTCTGAGCCCAGCCCTGCCGCCAGCACGTTCCGGGACCTCGGCCCAGTCTCTGTGAGGGGCTGGTGAAGAAGGACCCGGTGGGCCCACCCCGTTCCAGCCTGTTACCAGAAGGAGGTTTCGATTTGCTCCCGTGGCCCCAGAGTCCACATAGGGCTGTGAGCACAGCTGACCCCAACAGTCCCCTAAGGAGATCCTGGGGTGCCATCGTCCATTCAACAAATCTTCAGCGAGTGCCCGTTACGGAGCAAGCACGGGTCTAGGCACCGGAGTTACAGCAGTAAATAAGCGACAGCCACCAGCAGTACGGAGCTGAGAGAGAGAAACCATCAACAGGGACATGAAAGAGACAGCCAATTGAGGGGACAAGGAGGCACATGTGTGGAACAGGGGAGGGGGGGAGAGGCGATGAGCCCAGGGCTAGGTGAGGAAGCCGCTTACACAGGGTCTGGGGGCCGTGACAGGGAGCTGAGACTCCATTCTAAAGGTGAATGCGTGAGCTGAACAAGTGCGAGCAGGGAGCGACAGTCTGACCGGCACTTGTAAATGACGGCTCCGGTGCCTGGAGAACAGACTGCAGGGGCCAGAGAGGAAGCAGGGAGGCCGCAAGGAGGATTCCACAGCCCCCGAGACAGGCGCAGAGGTGGTGAGAATACAGCCAGAGCCAGGCTATAGTTTGAAGCCAGAAAGCAGAGTGAATCTCCCTTTCTGGTTTGTCCCCAATCCCCAAGGGCCCACCCAGCCAAAGCAGCAGTACTAACTGCCCAGGAGGCAAACACAAATAGGTGCCCCACTGGGGTTTGCTGACCGACCAACAAGACGCCCACTATAGCTGGGCATGGGAATCCGGCGGGTAGGTTAGAGGTGGAGAGGCACTGACCCGATCGTCCACCCTGGAAGACTGCATGGTGGCCACAGCCCCGTGCCCCACGCCACCATCTGCATCCCTGTCTTTACCCAGTTACTGCCCGTCGCCCCTCACAGGAATCCAAGCTCCAGGAGTACAGACTGCTGACGTACTGCTGCACCCTTGGCATCCGGCACGGCGGCGCCTGGCACCAAGTAGACACTAAAGACTCCAGCGAACAGTGGCAGTGGGCGATGTGCAGACGACTCTGGAGTCCCACTCACCCATCAGCGCCTGGCTCCCTAGCAGGCAAGTCACTTCCTCTGGGGGCCGTTTCCTCATCTGCAAGGCGCAAGTACCACTGTGAACTGGGAGGGTCGACGCGAGAATGAAATGCGAAGAATCTAGCACAGCCCATGGTCTCAGCAAACCACCAGGGACAGGGAGGGGCAGAGGGGGGGCCTCGTGAAGAAGGGAGCCACCTAGCCTCCCACTCAGCCCCTACAGAGTACTGAACTGGGCGCCAGGAGAGATGTGAGGCCCACCGAGCAAGGCCACAGGCTTTAGCAATGCTAGAAGGGGTTGACACCCGCTCTCTGGCTTTATTGCTGAACGCAGACTTCAGGGGCCTAAATATTGCAGCCATCGTCAGGCGTAGCCAGTCTAGAATCATTGGAATTCCCCAACTGGGGCTGCAGGTTAAGAAAGACAGGGACCCAAAAAGCAACTGGCCCAGAAATGGCTCGGGAAGGAAGGCACTAACTGGCTCTCGCCTGGTGTCCTTCAATGCTGCAGCCATGAGATGTGGGCGTGGGGGGGGAGTTCTCTCCCCAGACCAGTTGCCACTCCTGCCCCAGCTCTGCCTAAGGCACTGCTCTGGGACCTGTCACAGACCTGCATGGCCACCGCGTCAGCAATCTGAGACTGCGGCAGAGCCATTGGGAGGCACCCAGCGCAGTCACCACAAAAAAGCTGGGACAGTGAAAACAAGAAACTTGATGTGCTTGGGTTGGGCCAAAATTCTCTGAGGTCTTTGCAGGAAATAAAAAAATGAAAGGCAAAGAGAAATAAGTGCACACCTTGTAATGAGCTTTGGCAACTCCCCGAGGTGTCAAATGCCCCGAAGTGTCGCTACGAACGTGGCTCTGCCGACAACGGCGCCACCCCCAACAGCAAGCCCGGCACCTGGTAAGCAGGTACAATCCTGTTTATACTGGCACCTCCCCACTCTCCCTTCTTGCTTTGCTGGCCCAGATGAAGCTGCTCCAATTTACTCCCTGCCAGGATGTTATATAACAGCGATTCCACACGCTGACGTGTACCTAGTATGGTCTCCCGGGAAGACCACCGCAACGTGGGAGATTACGGACGTGCGAGAAGGGATGAACTTGCTGTGTTCAGTGTCCTAAGATCAAGGTCCTTCACCCTTCTCCACCAGACACATTTGGACCTCACCGGAGACATGCAGCTTTGTTAAAGAAAAAGGCAAAATCTTGAAGACTGAAAATGAATTCATTAATAATAAAAGTAGCCATTTCCTTATTACACAGCAGGCAAATAACCTCATGTGAACCTGGCAACCACCCTACCCCACAGATACGGGTATTCTCACTTTACAGGTAAGGAGACCGTGGAGACACAAAAGGCAGTGGAGCCGGGCTTTGAACGAAGGGCATCTGACGCCACTTAGACAACACTGCACCCTGCTCCCAGAGGCAGGTCAGTCCCTCGGAAACCCGTGTCACCCAACACCAACACCGACGTGCACTCGCACACATGGGCACACACGCTCTCGTCTGCCAGGGCCTCCAGCTGGGCTCTTGCAACAAATCACCTTTGTCTCTCTGGCTTAGCCCCAAGCATGACACTCATGCCTGCTCGTGGGTGCCTGGTCAGGGGCTCTGGGGAAGGGACACGAAGTCTTAGCTGTGGCAGTCTCCTAAAGGGTCCAGAGGAACCTCCTGTCCCAAATGGTCTGGCCTGAGGATGGAGCCCCATAAACTAGACACTGAGATAGAGGAGGCTGCCACTCGGAGAAGCAGTTGGCAGAGCAGCGCACGGAGAACAAAAGGGGATGACCACTGGCAAGCTCGCCCGCACATGCTACCTGGGCCAGCCCTGCCCTAAAATCTGGGGGGAGGCTCTGAGGAGTCATGCTGCCTCACCAGCTAGAGGGCCACGGCCCCCAGCACGGGGAAGCAGGGCTCAAGGCCCCCAGAAGCAGCAGCCATAGTGGCTCAGGCCACGGCTTCACAGGCACACAGCTGTAGCTCTGGCAGCCCCTGGCTGGGTGGCCCTGGGCAAGTGACGCTAGTCTACAGGTCCTCTCTTGCAGGTTATTAGAAAGACTAGGAATAACACACACCCTGGGTGCCCAGCAGAGAGAAGGCACTCAGTAAAGGGCAGCTACTCATTTTTCTAAAGTTGGCCCCGAGGCCTCCTCACATGGCGCAGCAGCGACACGTCAAATGCCTCTGTATAGGAAGGCGATGCCCTACTGTACGGAGCCTGCCTTCAGCCAAGGACTAGAAAACCGTCAGGCTCCACGTGTCTTTGGGTTCCAGCTCTTAAGACCAAAAAACTAAGAAGCCAAGGGGTTTGTCTGAGGAACGATCAGAGCTATCAAACTTGGTGCCCCAACTTGCTGGCCAAGAGCAGACAGGCTCCATTTGGTGCTGACAAGAGGCCCAGAGACAGCAATTCTGACACATCAGTCCTGTGCGGATACCGTAAGGGCTGTGCAGTCAGGGAACGTCTGTGCAGTGTCACTACGGACGGGTCTAAGCAAGAGTCGACACCTTCTTTCTCAATGCGCATTAAGTCATTCGTTTATTTCTCCAGAGGGGCACGCTCAAGTATTAGGGTGGCCAGGACAACTCGTGGCTCCTAGGTATGTACAGGTCCTTCAATGGCTGGGGTTACAGACAACTTCACAGCTAGTGCACCACACACACAAGATAAAACAGGAAGCCTAAAAACCCCAAGCCATTCCAAGAAGAAACGAGGGCGGGGAGGAGGCAGGGGTAACGATGCAGCATCCCGTTGGGGGATCAACGCGCAGGAGGGAAGAACACAGAGGGACGGAAGGCAAGCTAGCCTCAGTCTTTGTCAGCCGCAGTTTCCATGTGATGGTCAGGGGACCGAGTTCAACAAGTCCTTCAGGAAGCTCTCTGGATCAGTGATTTCTGATAAGAGACCTGGAACACAGAGACAGAGGTTGGTTAGGAGCAGGCACGCACAGCCCCCAGCCCCACTGAGTCACGGCTGCCGCATCCACGCAGAGAACACACTGTGCTCCAACAAGCCCCAACACGGGCGCTCCCTGAAGATCAGCATGACTAGGGGGCCAGTCACCAAGCAAACACTCTCACGTGGAAGAGGAGTCGTGCTCTGGAACCAGGCGCTGCTGCCTGAGGTAAAGCACTAAAGTGGCAGAGGCCAGCCTCACAATCTCCCTGGAGCAGAGGTTCTAAACCCGGGTCCAGAGACCACTGCAGGGGGTCTGTGAGTCCGCTGATAACCGTGTGCCAAATGGAGGGGGGTCTTGCAGAGGGAGAGTGTCCACAGCCGTCAGCGTACCCTCAAGGGGATATAGGACCAAAGAAAGGTTAATATCCCACTGCTCTAGAGGCTAGGAGGAGCAGAGCAGAGGACTCCTCTGAGCTTCGACCCAACCACTAGTCCCTGGGCCTCAAGCAAGCTGCTAGAGCTCAGGAGCTCTGTTACCTCACCTATCAAATAGGGACAGCGACAAATCCTTGTTATGTTACTATGGGGATTAAGTGAGGCCATGAATGTGAAAGTGCCCAGCGCACAGAAGGTGCTCAGTCGGCATCAGGTCCCCGGTGGCCCCTGCCCCTCCGTCACCAAGCAGGGTGCTCACATTTAACCAATGTGGAGCTGTCAACCCCAAGGCCTGGTGCCCTCTCTGCAGCGTCTGCACTAACGGAGGAGGAGTGGCACCGACCATCGCGGGCGGGTTTGGGGAGGCGTTCTGTCGTTGCATTTGAGTAGGGTGCATCTGATGTTGTGAGATTTTCTCCAGTTTAAACAAAGTCACGCTGTAAAACCTGGCCTCAGAGGGAAGGCCACAGAGGCCCCCCAACGGCTCTCGCTCTCCCCTGCTTCAGGCCAGGGCTGCCACCAGCTCCAGGGCTGACGCGAAGCCCTGAACCGAGGAGAACGCCTTCCTTGCCTGCCAACCTCCTCCTCCTCTTACTCGGACCCCTGCATTCATATTGACAGTCTGTTCAGACATCCAGCAGACCCACGGGGGACAGGCACGGTGCTCAGCACTGAGGACACAAACACACAGGCTACCTGCTCTCAGTCAGGGGTCACTTTCTGGAACGAAGGCAAGGAGCGTAGTTAAGGTAAAATGCCTAGGGTGAAAAGATGCTCGTGGGAGCAGTGACGAGTCAGTGAAGTTCACGGGGAAGCGGAGGGGAGCGGCGCTAACACTGACTGTCGCTAATGCGGAGGCACGAGGCCCGTGAAGGCCCACCCAGGTTCACAGCTTCCAGTGAGGCCACTGCGAAAGATGGCCAAACTGGAAGCCCCTGGGCTTTTTGAGAAACTCCATCGGTTGGCGCTGAGCTGGGAGGAGACAAGAATTCACAGAGCATCAACCTCAGACCTTTGAGGGTTTAGTTCCCAGAGGATGCAGACAGACAGGAAAAGTGCTAATAGAGGCTTTCTCTGACAGTGGGATCAGCGGAGAACTTTTTTCCTGCTTCTTTATACTTCACAGAATTCCCACAGTGACCATCAGGGAGAAGTAAACATCTCCCAACAGCATTAGGTGGGTTCGGTCACCTCTGCCTTGGCTCTGGGAGCCTCACCTCAGAAAGGACGGCAGTGACGGGGACTGCAAAACAGCGGTGCCCACCACCTGAGAGGGCACTAAATTCTTAATCCTAGGTGGACTGTCCCAGGCATCGGCCCAAGTCACCTCCCCCTGCTATCACCTGATGCTTGGTTACAAAATCCAAACAAATTGTAATGTGCTTGCAATCAGGATAACAAACCTGTTGCATAAAGACTCCACACACAGGTGAGAACAGTGAACTTCATTCCTACTAGCTGCAGGACGAGGGGTGGTCTGAAGACACCGCATAGGGCACCAATTCAAAGTGCTGCCCTATTGTTACAATCAGAGATGCTCTTTGCTCTGTTCCGATATTTACCATTTATCTTAAGAATGAGAGTTGCAATCTCCCACGCCTGCCCGGGAGCAGCAGTGACTAGGAGACCTCAGTCCCCAAGAGGCAGAAGGAAGACAGGTAAGGTCCGTGATAATTCTCTGAACTGTCATAAAAACCAGCAATCAAAGAGGCTTTACCAATTTTCTAGCTTTGCCCTGTTAGAAACTTATTTCATCTCCAAAGCCTCAGTTACCCCATCTGTAAAGTGGGGATAACCACAGTTCCTACCCCATAACAGGGGTGTCTCGTGGACTGGGAAATGCATGCACAATGAGCAGCAGAGGGCCTGGGGTGTAGAGTGTACACAACACATGCTGGAGCTGCTACTCTCGTCACAAGCACCGGGGCTTACACATCTCTCCCAGACCTCCTGGTGGTGGCCCACGGGCTGGTTCCCGCCTGTCTCTGCTGGCACGTGAGGGTGAAAGTGCTATGGCCAGCCCCACTCAGACAGACATGGGTTTGACTGCAGAAGATCTTTGGAAGATAAAACCTTGACACTGACCAGCCACGTCGAGGAACTCCGAGAAGGTCTCCACTGGCATGAACTCCTCCTGGAAGGTCTTCAGGGCTTTGTCAGCAGCTTCGTAGATGGGCATGTCGTTGTGGCGGATGTATTCCGCTAGAGAGCAGGACCAGCCTCCCTCTGTGTTGCTGGTAGGCACCTTCTACAAGAACCAACAGGAGACAGGCCCAGAGGAAGGATTACTTAACGCCTCAAGACCGTCAGGCCATTCCAATCCAGGGAAAAGAGAGCCCTCCCATAGACATCAAAGTTTTCCCTGGAGGATGTTTTGCTTCCAGGAACAACAAAATTTCATTCAGTTCCTCTTACAGCCCCTTGATTACACACTGCTTCACGGGAACCTACAAGCCACAACAGGCGACTGCGTTCTTGCCTCCCTACATCCTTCACATCTGCATTTCCCAAAGAGAAGGAATCATCAACATCTTCAATTGAGCCATTCCATTGAGACTATAAAAGGAACCACCCCCCAGCCCTCTGACTCTCTCAAGGCAGAGAGGAGGCCCCATCACAAGCTGGGCTGGAGCACGTCACAGGCACACAGGGCAATGGAGCTTCTGCAGACAGAGGGGAGGGAGCAAACCAGGGGGACTCGGGAGGAAGAGCTGCCTGGAGAAGGGTGTGTGCAGCAGGCGGCAGGAGGGATCTTGGCCACAAGTGTACATCACAGACGTGGGGTCTAAGCTACAGGGTAGACCCTTCTCAGGGCACATTCAGCCTGTTTCTCAGGACAGGTCAGCGGAGGAGCGGCCATGCGGCAGCCGAGGCAGGGGCAGAGCCAGCGGCACAGGTTATCTTACACCCTGGCAGAAACCAGCTGAGCCCACGATGGATCCTTACCTTAAACATGTTGTAAATGAGATCGACCAGGGCCCAGAAGAGAAGGGAAGAGCGGTAAGCAGAGTAGTCCTTCACTGCCTTGTCTGTCAGCCTGGAAGAGAAAACCAAACTCCATACCCACGAAGACCCTGGAAGGGCACTTACAAGGACAGAGCAGAGCATCCTGGGAGCAAGGGGAGAGCCACAGGAATCTACGCATCACTCACTCCGGCCACCTGCCTATCTTCTCGGGAAACAGCATCTGTGGGCAAGCACTTCTGAAGCCCTGGACCCCGCGGCTTATCTACTACAAACCGTCCCATGAAATGCTCATCATTAGTACTGACTCCCTCCAGATCAGGGTAAACCAGAAGAGGGGAGATGGAAGTTGCAGCATGGCAACCGAATACAGCCTTAAACAGATGCCCAGGAGACCGTGTTTCCCGGGCTCCTCCCCAACACCAGCTCCTGGATTGACAAGACCTCATATGAAGCAGGAAACAAAGCCAACTTCAGTCTTCACATTCCCACTGGGAAAATTTTTACTCAGCAGACCTAAACTAGCCAAATATAGTAATTCGTCATCCATGTGCCATGTTAAAAACAGCAAGCTGGTGGAAAACGTGTTGAGCAATAGTAACATCTGGGACGGAGGATATAACCTCCCCGACACATTCTAAATCCTGGATAATCCTGGAGCTGCTCACCTCACCCCTTTGTTTCTAACCAGCATCATCTCTGCTTAATCCAGTGATTCAGCTTAGGATTAAAGACGAGTCAGTCCCTTGGAATCCCGGGGGCTGTCTGTGACAACGTCCACTGCCTTCTCGGCAGACACTCCTGGTGTGAGGAATGGTTAAACCAGGAAGAGCCACTGTGAAACACAAAAAGACCAGACTCCCCCGTGCACAGCGAGTGGAATACTGGTGCTGGGGTTCGGTGTCTACTGCCCAAGTCTCTAAGACGTTTTGGTGGCAAACTGCCTTCACATCTGTAACCGGCAAATGAAGGCTGGGTGAACCCTTGTCATGGACAGTCTACACCTTAGAACAGAGCTCATAACTAAAGGGACTAGAATTTAGTATTAAAACGTGTGAGTGCACATGCATGTGTATATGTAAGAATCATAAAAATGAAACAAGCAGAGATGTCATTATAGAGGCTGAACTTCACTGTACGGGCCTCAAGTGAAGGGACGGCCCGCCACGGGACAGGCCATCCATATCTGCATTCAGTAATGCTCAATTCATTAACAAAAGTAAAGTAAAATAAGACAATTCCATTTGCTAAAATATGCTTCCCATACCCTCCCTCTACCCCAACATCCTCCGAAACACCTACTTTCTCCCCACCTGCCATGTGTGAAGATGCTGCAGCCTAAAGTGAAAATCACTGTAAGGCGGGCCTGTGGATGAGGACGGTAATCCATTTCTTTGCAGTTCTACATGCTGGCATACAAGGTAACAGATAAGGCTCTGACAAAAGCCTAAGAAAGTCCCAGGCTTAAATACTTACAAGTTCCTGGCAGAGGACCTTTTTTTCCAAAATGTAAAACAAGCAGAAGAGGTCAACATCTTGTGTGCATGTTCCTAGAGCTCCATTGTCGTGTATCTGCTACTGCCTCCCACCCTATAATGGACTTAGGACAAAGTCTGCTCCAGTGACGCTGCCCCAACCAGCAGGAGGACAACCTTCAAATGTCCTTCCAGCCATGGTCTCTCCTGGGAGGGCACCCCAATACTGTGCTGGCACCCAGCACCCCTGCAGTCTGTTTCAGACACACCCCACTCAAGCCCCCAACCACGCCAGGTTTGGTCCTTCTCTGGGACTGTTTTGCTGTGCTAAGGAGGAATCTTGAGTGGCCCAGCCCAACTTAATTATTTAAGGCTAATTAGTAAAGGTGACTAAACTACTACAGAGAAAATGGCAACTCACGAGTAGAGCTCACCCTGGATTTCCTAATTAAGCTGTGACCAAATCAGCTTTTCCTTAACTGCCCGGAACAGTAATGAATTTTGGTCTCCTAAACGAAAACAAAACAGCTCCTGTGGGTTGAAATTTCACCCCTGCCACCGAGACCCTGTGCCCAGTCAACAGCCACTGTATGTGCTACGGATGCAGGCTGAGCCTGGCTCATCGACACCTTGCTACCCTCTACATCTAACTTTTGATTTCTAGCAGCTAGTTAACTATTAATGCTTCCGACTCTTGGGAAACACCGGAAAGCGCTGTGTCTGGAACGGGGACAGGGGTTAGGTACAAATCTAATAAGACTTGCCCGTGTCCCCCCCACCCCCGCTGCCCCCCGCCAACTCTACAAAAGAACCTGTACTGGCCAGGTTCAACAGTAGAGCTCCCACCTGGGGGCGTGAGGCACCTGAGACTAGCAATGCTTGATACATCAGAGCTGATGGAGGGGAAGACACCAGGTGTGCCAATTCAGGCACATGGCTGTTTCCACTTGGTCTGTCATCATCAGGGACCTGAAAGCTCCCCTCTGCTCCCTTTTTGGCCTACAAGTATGGAAATGTTCCCTCGGACCCCACTGAAAGCAGACTCACAGGGACCAATCTTCCAGAAGTGAAGCAGACTTCCTTCGAGCGGCAGAGGCAAGCCGACAAACCCATACCCTCCCCGGTAGCCCAGGTGGGCAGAGACTGCACGGGGCCACTATGATCCAAGAGTGGTGTCCACGAGTCCACTCAGCCTGTGGCAATCCATGTGGTCCTCTCAGAGGGCTTGTAGCTGTTGTTTGCTGTTGTTCCTCTCAAGACACCTGCCATATGACCCAACTCACAGCAAGGTCATGAGCACAAAGACCACTTCCTTCCTGAAACGCCATTCCTTCTTTGGGAGGTGTCCGCAGGAATAAGAGAGGAAGAAAGGTTCATGGAACGTGGGACAGATGGGATAGGAATGTGACTAAGGAGAGAGGTGACGAGCTTTTAATGATCAGAACAGAAAATCCCCAAGCATAGCTATGCAGAAGTTCTCCTAGTTTATGCCCAGACCAGCAACACTGGGGAGACCTGGTTAGCCATCTCAGCCCCTGCTGGCCAAAATTCTCCTGTCAGTAGTTCCACCCTGAGCCTGGCTGGCTTCCTCTCTGAAATTTTCCACAGAGGTAAGCCGGCTCCACCTTTCTAGTGGCTGAACACCAGACCCAGAGGTGGCCAGGCATCTGCCAGCCATCGCACCCAGACTCTCAGCATGATAGACTGAGAAGGGTCAGGGTCAATTACCAAGTCAAATGAGCACACCTTCAGTGAGCACGCAGATGCTGCTAGGCAGCTTTTAAATACCCTGGGACTACATAACCCAGGCAACAGGCAGCCCAGAACACGGCTTCCTGAAGCAAGCACTGACCTGGTGGCTCCCCCTGGAGCCACTGCCCGGGCCTGAGAGGTCACCAGCAGCCTCCGCAGGATTTCCACACGTGTGGCTCTCCACTTCTCAGGGGGCAGGACGTGAAGGGCCAGGACTATGAAATAGTGCGGCCCATCCACTTCAAAGGCACTCTCCACCCACTTCTCCTTGGGCTGCTCCAGAAAGCCCTGGAGGTTCTTCTCCTCTCGGGAAGTTGCTCGGGTTCTGGAACAAAAGGGGCAGGATGAAACCAGGGTAGAAGCCGGGCACCAGCAGCAAGACGGGAGGAGGGTTTGCTCAATTTCTCAAGTTTCTTGAACACTTGGATCACTGAAGCTTCCTGCCCATCCTGGACGACCCCTCCCACCTCCTCCCTGGCAAGCTACGTGCTGCTTCCCCTTCCAAGCCCATTGTGGTGGGCATCTTCCTTGCCCTCCCCACCCCGTGAGCTCAGCTCCAACACAATTCCAAACAACTACCGATTCTCGAGCACCCTGCAGGTGTCAGGCACATTCACGAACACTCTGCCATCGCAGTGTCCTAACCACTCTGGAAGGTGACGGCTAGCACCTTCTTACCATGGTATCTGAAGCCCAGAAAAGTGGAATGACTTGCCCAGTCACCAAGCCAGTAAGTAATGGAGCTGATGTGAGTCCAGAATCCCTGACTCGGAGCCCACAGCCTGCCTTCTCCCTTACTCCATGTAGACCCATTATAGCTAACTTGTTCACATTGCATTCACATCTGGTTCCGTCCCTGGGCTATTTTGGTTTGTTTTCTTCTGTATCTGTGTCCTCTCTCCTTCATTAGAACAGTTCCTTCCAGGCAAGCACGGCTTCTTGTTCCTGCTCTTGCCTAAACTACAGTGATAATGATGAGCATACAATGCCAAGCACTGTTCGAAAAGCTTTATATGGATTATCTCATTTAATCCCCACAATGACCCTAAGAGACAGGGACTAGCACTACCCCAATTTTACAGACCAGGAAACCACAGTACAGAGAAAATAAATACTTTGCCCAAAGTCACACACTGGGGAGTGAAGGAACTGGGCTTCGAAGGCAGGCGGTCTGGCTCCACAGCCTATCCATCGTTAACTTTCCATCTTCCCTCCATGACACAGCTTTGACTAGCGGTCACTGAATTGGCACTGAGAGATCACTGAGTCCTTCCTGGTCATACATCTCTGGCGACACTCTCTCCTTAGAACCTGGATGGTGCTCTCAGGCCAAGAGTGCCTGATGCCCTAGCCTAACTCTGTTGGGGAAAAACAAACAAGACGCAACACTGGCAGCCCTTAGAATCAAAATTACCAGGTCAGCAGATGGCGCCGGCAGACACTGGACTGTGGGGAAACAGGAGGGGAAGGTGCAAAGCCACCTGCTTCCTTCCGCTCCCTGAAGAACAGGCACGGATGGAACACATGAGGATACTCTACTTGACTTCCCAGAACTGGGAATCAGAAGCTTTCTGCCACTGCAGGACCTGCTCAACTCTGCTCTGACGCATGGTGTGACATCCTTGCCTTTATATACAAATGTTACACCAAAATCGGCTAGCCCTCCCTTACCTAGCCACCCTGTGATCAAGCTCACACCAGTGTGAGACGACTAGCTAGGGAAGCAGTCTGTAGCTGGCAAAGAGTGCCTCTCTGTGAAGCTTCTGGGTCAGCCTCTAACTGACCAAGATAACCAGGATCCAGCCAACTCCCTCTCCAGCTAAGGGACGGAGCATGAGTTACAAATGTCTGGCATTTGAGAAACCCAGTGACACTTAAGTCACCGGTTCTATTCTGCTGGGCAATCATGCTGCCTCTCTGGGTCTGCTTGTCTTCCTGGAGAATGAAGCAATCCACTCTACCCCATGCCTGCCAAGGAGACATGTCCCTGCAAAGCCAAGGGCTCTGTCAAAGGCCCACAAACAATGGTAACTAGCACGGCTCAGGCCTGAAGCACAGCTGAGATAGTGGGACATGTGTGCCGTCAGCGACGCAGGTGTGTCTTCTGACAGTCTAAACAGCTCAGCAGATGATGTAACGCACTGATGGAGACCTGTCTGTGCATCTTTTTAACAACGACGCCTGCAGTCTTGAGGTCAGCCTTTTATCTCACAAGAAAATGGGAGGGAAGGAGAAAATAATACTCTTACAGAGAAAAGACCAGAAGGGACAAGAAACACTGTCCTGTAGCCTAAACTGAACTGCAGCCACCTTGGGTGAACTATACACAGCCTGTCAATTCTCTGCCCGAACTTTCTAAGAGTCTTGCTAGGAGATGGGGTCTAAAAGCCATTTAAATCAAATCTAAAAGCTAAAGTACACAAAACCTCTTGATTTGCTTTCAAAATCTGCGGCGAGATGAAAGAATATTCTTCTCTACACGCTAAGTGCGTCTTTAAAATTACACTTGTAGGGATCAAACTAAGTGTTCCATAATGTACATACGGCAAAAATAAAAATCTGTTCTTTCCTGGCTGCCCTCCTTCTCAGTTGACTTTCCCAGAGAATCGGCAACACCCCCTTCTCCTCTCACCCTTGCCAGAAGCATTACTCACTGACAGGACAACAGGGATGGCAAGTCCAGTTTCCCCTTATGAAACGGTCCTTGGTTCTGCGGATCCCTAGCTGTGAAACCCTCAGCCGTAAGAATCTGTGCGCCTTCACAGTGACTGTACAGCTCCAGCCCACGGCCTCCCCCACTCAAGAGAACGGGTCCCGCGAGTAGAAGCAGAGGTTACATCAATGTGGAAGGGTCCATGGTCTGGCTTCTCCCCATCCCTGCTCCCCTCCTGGCTGCAGGTCAGTCCGAGGATGCAGCCCTTGGCTGCTCATGGTGGGAGATGGGACAGTTTTAGAAAGGAAGTCACCAAAAAGCCGCAGATGCACATTCCTACTTCAGTCAAGGCTGCCTTAGGTCAGACATCTGCGCTGGAACTAACTGGGGCAGATATGGACAAGCTGGGAGATCTTGGGGAGAAGGACAGAGGGTGGGCCGGCCAGTAGGATGCGAGATACTGACGTGTTCAGGACGTAAAGCACAGTGTGAATGATGTACGGGATCAGGTGGATGTTGCTCTCCCGGCCGCCGCCGCCGGTGTCCGCGCTGAACGACTGCTCCATGGCGAAGCGCAGGAAGAGCAGTTTGATGTCGTGGATATTGAGCTGGTACGTGGGCTCCCGCTGGCCTGTGCATTCCTGGAGGTAAGTGTTGTGCCTAGGGAGACGGAGAACAAACGCTGAAACAGAAGCCAGTTCCCTGCAGAAAACCCAGTTTGGAAGGCAGCTCCCTGCCCGACGGCGGCAAAGCTTACAGAAACGGCTAGAGGAATGACAGGGAGAGTGGAGGACAAGGGCTGGGCCTAGGAGGAAGACAAGAGCAGAAGGCATTCTCATTTCTGCCGTGACTGAATGAGATGCTCTCCAAGCTTTGACGAGAACCTGCCAGTTCTGAGGGGACCCATTTCTTGATGGACAATTGTCACAGGACCTACCATGGCCGCATCTGAAAGTAGAAATGCACTTCCACATTTTGGAAGAAGAAATGTAGAACTTATCTATTCTGACTGACAAGGTTATCTATTCCTGAGAATCATCTCTTCAACCTTCAAATACAAGTTTTTTTTCTATGTCAATATACATCGCCATCTATCTGGGCCCTGCCTCTTATTAACTGTGTGACCTCAAGTAAGTTCCTCAACCTCTCTGTGCCTCAATTTCATCTGCAGAAGCTATGTTATAATAACACACGGTAGGCATGTCAATATGTTGCCGCCTGTTATTTTCACCATTAGTACTGCCAGGCACCTGTTTTATGGTAAGTACCTTTACATCCCTGAGCTGTAAAACAGGCCTGGCGGTGGGGCGCCGTTCCCCAAGGCATCAGCAAGAGACAGGCCCTCTGAGAAGCTTTAGCTACTCTACTCTGGACTTTCAGGAGGAGGAGGCCTTGAGGGGAGCCTGACTCGCCCACGCCACTGGACTATTTGTGCTCGCTACTTCAAACTCAGAGGCACATACTGTAGAAGTGAACCCGGGGAAATTCTGGCCTCAAGAGTCAAGGCAGGGGTCCCGTGTCTCAGGTCCTAAGACTGACAATGGAGAGGGAGCAGATAACTAGAAATCCTAGGCGGCGCACCAGACCCTGAGGGTGCTGGTTTCCCCCAGCAGAGGTCCTCTCTGCTCCACCAGCTCCCCTGCCAGAAGCAGAGAAAGAGACGTGGGCTCCCACTGAAGGTGACAGGAAACGGTGTCACCACCGCTGGGCTGACCGCAGACCTTCCCCCATGTCGCCTGGGATTCCCCTCTTTTCTACCATGCAAAACGCTCAACACTCACCTTGCCAAGCAGGTAGCAAAAGCCGACTCGGGGACGTGTGGCCCCCAGACGGGGAGGAGCCCGTTGCACTTGGTGTTGGCGTTCTGAAGGGCAGCGCTCTCCCACTCTTCCCGGCCTCGAGCCAGCCTGGACAGGGAGAGCAGAGACAAGTGACTGCTGGAATTAATTTGGTGAGCAGGCGCCTGGGTGAGTTGGGGTAGAGAAGGGTTTGCTATCACTATGGAAGCGAGTGAGCCCCCACTCCTGCCTCGACAGAGAGGATTAGCCATTTGCAGCCTCGATATGGTAAATGCCATATCTTCACTGCTTCAGATGGCTGTCACCAGCCTGGGGCCAGAGCCAAGTGTATTTTCCGAGCCACATGGCAAGAATGGCTCTTGGGCCTCTACGGTTTAAGATTGAACACCCTACACCCCAGAGACTACGGAACAGCATTAAAACCTCAGGGCTGGCGGTCCCTTGCCCTCCCAGTCCAGGGCCTTGGGCAAGCTGCCCTCCCTTCTCAAGTAACACAGGTGTCTAGAGCTGAAGCAACATGCGGGAGAGGCCCACTGCAGGAGTCACTCAGCAAGAGGCAGGACCTACCTGACGGCGGCCAGATGGCAGTCGTAGTGCACGATGTTGAAGTGGGACACGGTGCTGTAGCCCTGCTGTTTCCGGGGCTTATTCTCCACCTCCTCCAAGGCCACCCGCTTGGTGAAGGTGTAAATGCCCAGGACCTTCGTAGGCTACAAAGACAACATCAAAAAGAAAAACGCCAAGCAAGCGCTGGAAGGAGGTGAAGCAGAGCCGAGGGGCCCCAGGTGTTAACACTCCTGGGGAGGAATGTGTTCAGAAGAGGGAGTGACGGTGAGCCCTCAGACTCTTGGTTATGTACTTGGCCAGGCACAGCCCTAGCGAAATGAGCAGTGTGGGGAGCAAGTGAAACTAAGAAGATGGAAAGGCAGCAATATAAGTCTGAACTGTCATTCTTTTCTTTCTGCTTCATTTATCTGAAAATGAAGAATAAAGTGCCGTTTCGATAAGTCACTTGCTTTTCACAACTTATCAGGCAGCTCCGAGGAGCCTTGTTACAGCAGACTTACAAGTCTCGCAGCCCAGGGCACTTGCCCTTCAACAGCTTGGGTGCTAAGCAGTAAATCCAAGCTGAATGGGAGAGGAGCCTAAAAAGTCCCCAGGGGAATAAACAGGTCACTTGCTGTTCTGCTCCTTTTAGGTGTAAATCTAGTTTGGCAGAGCCTACAAAGTTAAGGTCTTAATCTTCTCTCCAGATGTCCTAAATGGAAGCAGGATAGTGTGATTTTAAAAGGCTCAGGTGCGGAGTCAGAGAGGGCTGGGCTAAAATTCTGGCTCTGCTATGGACCTTTGCTTTCTCATTCAGAAACTGGGGCTTTTTACAGGTTTAAAGATAAACTTATCCAGTTACATAAAGCTCTGAGCACAGAGCCTGGGATACAGAAGGAATCCAATGAGTGGTCGTTGTCAATGATGACGATGAAGACAACGACTAATATTCAAAAGATAACTAATGCTCAGGTCAGTTTGCCTTCCTGCCTTTAAAGAGGACAGCTGGCTCTAAGATGCAAGGCTTGACCCTGGTCCACTAAGAACAAAACGGCCTGCCAGACAGGGACGCCACCAGAGCAAGGGGCCAGGCTGCACCGTCAAGGCCAGGCCCTCCTGACGCAGGCCCAGCAAGCTGTACCTGGAACTTGTAGCCCTCCCTGCAGATGCAGCACGTGAGGCCTGGCTCCTCAATCAGCTCTTCCATCTGCTTCAGGAGCGCCGTCTTGGTCACCACCTGGCCCTTTTCATTCGTCTGTAGGGGGAGCCCAGGCAGCACGTGAGAAAGGCACTTCCACCCAGGCTCCCACCCAAGCTCAGGGACACTCGGAACGGGGCTGACCTTGCACATACACTAAAAGGTCTGTTGCATCGAAAGGAAATCTCTTTAGTTGGCTTTAATGAGGGTAAAGACCCAGATTCTTCTGCTATTCTCTTCCTACAGGAACCACTGAAGCAGAGGAAACCATCCAGATGGAACTTTGGCAAGTTGCCACTTGCCACCAAAAAAGCCCCCTTTCTTTGTACCAGCAATACCAAGGCTCAGCTGCCAAGGGCTGCTGCACTATGATTCATTTACTGTTCCCATGGGAGTTGAAAACTGCTGACACCCAAGTTTGCTGGCTTGGACAGGACTATTGCTTCCTCCAGGGTGGACAGAGAAAACGGCACAGAGCCCTTGGTGTCAAACAGACCCAAGTTCAAACTCCTGTCAACAGATTATTAGTTATGTGCCTTGGCCTATTTACTTCACCTCTCAGCCTCAATTAGTTCATCTGAAAAATGGGTAAAATAACATCAACCTCATAGAAGCACATAAGGGCTTAAATAAAATCTTACAAGTAAGGTGCCTAAGTATAGTGCCTGGCAAATAAATCCCAGGCAAACAATGGATAGCATCATCATTTTCACCGTTTGTGTGACCCTGTTAAGTCATTTAACCTGAGTCTCATCTGTATAGTGGGACAACAGTCACACCTCTCAGGGTTGTTGGGAAGACTGAAGGGGAAGCACCTAGCACCGTGCCTGCACACCTAGCTCCCTCCTCCCCCTGTCCAGCCTTCGCCTTCACCATCCCCAACCCCAGCTCTGTCCTGAAGCACAAACGCCTGTGCCACAGCCAGCTCCTCAACAGTGAGGGCAAGAACATGGGACTTGGGGAGCGGCATTACCGTCATGCCCAGGGTGCCCAGAGCCTTCTGCCTCATCGCCATGGCCATGCGCTTCTTCTCAGCCCGGGTCTCCCTGCGGGCCGCATCAATCTTCTTGTTCACATCAGGGTGCTCCCGCAGCGCCTCCAGCAGGTTCTCTGCCAGGGTCCCAATGCCCTCATCGCTAGACACCTGCTCCAGTTTATGCAAGTTTGTGATGGAGTCAGTTCCGATCAGAACCTGCCAAGAAGGGACCAGAGAGATGCATGCCTCCAATTATGTAGATAAGGATTCTTCCCAGGAGCTTAAAGGTTTAGAAAAATCAATGGAATGTGCACAATCTCATGTTCTCCGTTCAGGTTCAATTAGATCCTTTGATTCCACACTTAGAGAGATACAGACAAACGGAGGAGGGGTCAGCTCTGCCACTGACCTTGGACCAGTCACTACGCACTTCAGCTCCAGCATCTCTATCTATAAAATGGGGTGGCTGTGATGATGATGATTAGAGCACATATGTAAAGCATTCAGGCACAGTGAAGGGGGCTAAGATTCCCTGGAGAAGCAGCCGCTGATGGGGCCTGAGTGGTGAACTCAGTGACTACGCCTAGCAGAGGAGGCCCTTGACATTCCCAAGGACTCTGCTAAGTTCTTCATCTGGAGCCCTTTGGGGCCACCAAACCCAGGAGCACAGGAGTCTTCTCAACCTAGAGACATTAGAGGTACCACCACAAGCAGGAGTAGGGATAAGAAAACACTTTTTAAGAAGTAGATATTAACAAGAAACCCCCATGGTTGAAAAGGTTGGCAGTCACTGCACTACAGCACCACGCTGTGAACAGGGACGCAAGAATATCAGAACACTGAAGGCAGGTGTAGCCTGAAAAAGCTCTCCAGCTGAGTTCACTGAGCAATCCCACCACATCACTGAAATCCGCACCACCCTCACCACAAGTGAATTGATGACAATTAACTACATATTTGACAATAAATTGAAAACAGCAAAGTAAACCTGCAATGTGACAGCTCAGCACTCAACTCAGCTCACTCCCTAGCTCATAAATCTATTCTCATAGCAGGTACGCTTCAAATTTGTGCCTCAGCAAAATTACAGGCTATCTCACGTCTCAAACTCCTAAACAGTGAACCCATAGTTCAACTCCCTACTGAGCTCCTCCACAGGTCCCCCACACTCAACATCGAGTGTTTATTGTGTGCCTATGTGTGAAGCAGAGCTTTGGAGGTTGGGGTAACAAAGACCGTACCCTCCTAAAGCTTAAACTCTAGTCAGGAGGACAGACCACACATCAAGTCTAGTGTAATGAACTCTCCTCCACCTCACCTCAAACCTCCTAGGTTCTCCACCTCCTTTAACGGCACCACCACTCACCTTGTCACCCAATCCAGAAACTATGCAGAATTCTTGATTCATCCAGCAATCTCCAAATCCATTTATTCCACCTCCCAGATCTCTGGTGAATCCGTTCAACTGTCCACCTCACTAACTAGTTCAGGCTGCCATCATCTCTCACCTAGATTATGATAAAAGCCGGCCAATTGTTTTTCCTACCTCTCATCTTACCTTCCTCTCCACTTCACCCTCTATAATACGGCCAGGAGCACTGCCCTCAGGAGAAAACCCACACTTCCTTCCCTGGAAAGTGTGATCCGGACCCATGCTTATGTCTCCACCATCAGCTCCTGCCATGCATCACCTCCCATATGCAAGTGCTTTCAATTCCAGGAATGCTTTAAGCTCTCTTGCCTCTGAGCCTTTGCAGACGCCATACTGTCTTCTTAAAAATCCTCTTTCCGAATTTAAAACTATGGACCAAGAACAGTTTAGTGGATACCAGGGGAAAGGTGGGGTGGGGGGTGGGCACAAAGGGTGAAGTGGTGTACCTACAACATGACTGACAAACATTAATGTACAATTGAAATTTCACAAGATTGTAACCTATCAATAACTCAATTAAAAAAAAAATGCAAAAAAAAAAAAAATCCTCTTTCCTTTGACCCCTTCCACAGCGCATTTACCTCAGTGTTCAGTTACCCCTATGTATTTGGCTCTATCTTCCACCAGACAGTGACTTCCCAGAGGCACAAGCTGTGACTGTGTTGTTTGCCACTTTTACCTCAACCTAGCACAGGTACACAACAGGTGCTAAATAAATATGTGTTCAAAAAAAAGTGAATGGTCAGAAGTATGAACACCAAGTAGCTAACCAGATAAACCCTGATTCTAAAGAAAATAATTCAATTTATTAACTAAGAACAGCCTGGAAATCCCCTGACCTGAGTTCTAGGTTCATTGTGCTGCCACTAGTCAAATCATAACTCTGTTCCTTGAGTTATCCACATTCAAAATAGAGATGTTAGAGGATAGAGAAAATAACATACGTGAAGACTCTCATGTAGGAAAAATTATCTCCACAAAGATGTACTAATTATGACTACTTCCCCTGAATTGAACAAAAATAACAATATAGATTTGAATAAGACATACGGAAGAATTTTTACTGTAACCAAATTACCACATTTTTCAAAGGTGTCATCAGAAGATTACCAAATGAGAATGTGAACTATATTCAAGGCAGAACACTATAAACAGAAAAAAAACCCAGCCCTGAGGACTCCCAAAACTCAACACTTGAAAAACAAAAGATATGAATGACTGAAGATACAGAGAGGAAGCACATGCAAAGGCGGGTAGCATCGTTCCCCATTAGGAAAATACAAGTTACAACCACAGTAAGAAATCACTATATGTCTATCAGAATGGACACAACCAAAAATAGTGATACCACCCAGTGCCGGCGAGGGTGTAGAGTGGATCACTCATGCACTGCTGGTGGGAATGTAAAATGGTGCAGTTACTCTAGAAAACAGATTGGCAGTTTCTTGCAAAACTAAATATGCAACCAGCAATTGCACTCTTGGGCATTTACCCCAGAGAAATGAAAGTTTACATTCAGACAATCCTGCACATGAATGGTCATAGCAGCTTTATTCGTAATAGCCCCAAACTAGAAACGATCCAGATGTCTTTAACGGGGGGATGGTTAAGCAGGCTGTGGCGCATCCATGCCATAGAACACTACTCAGCAATGAGAAGGAACAAACTATTGGGACATGCGATAAGCTGGATGAATCTCCAGAAAATTACGTTGCGTGAAAAAAGCCAGTCCCAAAAGGTTACATATTGTATGATCCCATCTATGTAACATTATTGAAATGACAAGATTCAAGAAATGGAGAAGAGATCAGTGGTTGCCAGGGGTCAGAGGCGAGGAGATAGCAGAAGGTGGAGGGGGCTATAAAAGTGTAACAGGAGGGATCCTCAGGTGATCAAACTGTCTGGATCTTGACTGTACCAATGTCAATATCCTGGTTGCGATATTGTACTGTATAAGTTTTGCAAGATGTTACCACTGGGAGAAACTGGGTAATGGGCACATTTTCTCTGTATTATTTCTTAACAACTGCATATGAATCTATAATTATCTCAAAATAAAAAGTTTAATTAAAAAAACATCCAGTCTGGGCCAGCTGGGATGTATGAAGGGTAACAGATACCTCAGCCCAGTGAGGAAGAGATCAGAAATGAGCAGCAGAGAAGAAAAGATGGGCTTCCTGAGAACTAAGTTTTCAGCTGCCTGAGGCAGAACAGAAATGGTGGTGATGGTATTACAAATGCACCAGTGACTGGCCAGAAATAAAACTGTTTTACACTCTGGCCAGCCAGACCCTCACCATTTACCTGCTGCTCAGCTGACCCATGAGATAATGAAGCCCCACGTAAGAATGAGTTGAATGAAGAAATCACAACTACAACTAATCCTCTCTGCATACAGGGACGAACCAGATGACTCTGAGTCCCTTCTACTCTATGAGTCTTCTGTATTAGAGGAAGTCATGTCTCAAGGCTAGTCGAGGTGCTATCTTCATTCAGTCATGGGAGATGAGAAGGGAGTGCATGGTTCCCCCACACTACATGTCCTCTCTCCAGAATAAGGTCCACACGCACGCTGGCTACTCACCTGGGTGGCAGGGTGCTGGATAGCCAGTCCCCGAAGAAGCCTCAAGATAAATGGTAGGGCTGGGCGAGACAAAAACTTTTTCCAGATGTCAGCATCCAGACTACAAAGCAAAGGAAGGCTTATTAGCAGGCCAGAGAAGCAAATGCTACCTAGAAACCAGGTGTTGACTATGGCATGTTTAAACATGACCCTTTAAGAGTGCCATAAAGAATCACAAAGGACCAGCCAGTTCAGCTGAGGAGCCAAACAGAAAAGAATAATCTTAAATAGAAACCGAAAAGCTGCCATCCCTCCCATAGCCCCACAAGGCTCTGCAGTGGCTGAATGGTCCACCTTGGTAGTTTCCAGAAGGGGAAGGAGACCCCACAAAGGGTAAAGGGGAACATGTGATACTTTATGCCAAGAAGTTCAAAAGGAACCAGGAAGAGGAGAAGGAAAGCAGGCACTGACACAGACGCTTCTTACTTCTTGGCACTAGGAATGTGCTTTTTCATATAGTCAAGTGCATTCTGGGTGATTCCTTTCTGGAGAATCAGATCTTTCAGCTGATGCCCATTGCTGTTGTTCTTGATGCCGGCTGCTATCTTACAGAAGCAGTCCAGGAAGACTTTATCATCGCCACTGTGATCTTCATCATACCTAGGAGGAAAGAGCAAAGAGTCCGAGGGTGTGAAAGGAATAACATAAACTGATCACATCATTCTCTTGGTTAACAATCTTCAACAGCCTATAGGATCAAGTCTAAATTCCTTGGCATAACATAAAAACCCTGCTGATCTGGCTCCTGCTACCCCTCCCTCTTACTTCTACTTTTTCAAACTCCTAACGTTCTCTTGCATTTTCATGCTTTTGCACATGTGACTTCCTCCATCTCGTCATACCCTTTTCCCATCTCACCAACCACTTCACCTTCTCTGTGTAGCCAATTGCTACTTTAACACAATTTATTTCAATCATTGACTCCCCAGTTAGACAAGCCCCTTAAAAAAAGCCCCTGGCACACAAAAATCTAAGAGAAATTCAGGGGATTCTTCCTCAGTCTCAAGGAACTAATTCAGGGTTTTCATGGGGACTCTCACTTAGCTGTCCGAAGTCCAACCAACATACTTATCAAAGCTGCAGTATGGCTTGAACCGCTCCACCAAGATCTGCATTTTCTCCACCTCTCCAAAGGAGAGGTATGGGATGATGCGCAGCAGGCCCTGGAGCACGCTAGGGTTGGAGCGGACAAAGGTGCTGTTGATCTGGTCCAAGAGCATCACGAGTTGATCTTTGTCACCCGTCAGGAGGAGGTTGCCCTGCAACAGGAGAGAGGAAGGAAGACCCATCAATGGAGTCAGGACTTTGGCTGCAGCCAACTTCTGATCCCCAAAGGTCATCCACGTCCATCAGAGCCATCAGAAGTGGCCCTGAAACTGTGTCTCAGCACTTCCTGGGAAATAATCAATACTGAGTTCCACTTAATAAATTAGTTTCTATGATGGCTCTGTTAATAGTCTCAGGTGGTCAGAATACACCAATACAATCTCTCCTCCCCCAAGTGAATGAAGGCTACCTGCTATTCATTTGGTCTCATCTCCAGCCAAAACATCAGCACCAGTAAGAATGGAGGAAGGCATGGGTGCAGTAAGTGGAGAGAAACTGAACTGGGAGTTGAAGACGGGGCATCTAGGCCTGATTCTACCAGTAGCCAACTATATAACTTTGAACAGCTCACTTCATTTCTCTGGGCTTGGGGTTTCCTCAACTGTGAAATGAGGGGTTGGACTAAGGCCCCTATTAGCTGGAACACGCCAAGATTCTATTAATGAGCAGCTTCTGAGTGAAAGAATATCCCTAGCAGCTTTATTTCCTCTGAATCCATAGATTTCAGGCTTCAATCCAGGGATGTCATCTTTAGTTGAGCCTTGGCACTCCCGTGACCTGAGCAGGTTCAATCATTCTTGGTTAATGCAACAAGACACACATGAGCCCGTTGCTGGCAATGAGACAGTGCAGACTCCCAGTGTCTGTGGATGGAACACGGGGCCCCACTCACCTTGTCCTCACTCAGGGGCTCAGCGTTGGACTCATCCAGAATGATTTCCATGATACTAAGCACCTGTTCGGCCACAGCTGCGCCGCCGCTGTCCTTGCTTTCTTGTTCAGCTACAAGGGCCTGTGGGAGAACAAGACCCAGTGACTCTGGGGATAAGACTGCAACCACTCATTGCTGATGGGATCTGTTCCTCAAGGATCTCCTTTATGGTCTTACTTCCCAGAGACTGTGCGTGTGTGTGTATATGTGTATGTTTCTTTCCTGGTTGCCCTGAGGACGATGGTACTTGCATCAGTGTGCAGTGTGGACTGTTTCAGGCACTAACTTCCTCTTGTCTCTGATTTGAATTGAGGAAGGTGACAAGAAAGCTGTGTGTGTGTGTGTGTGTTTCTTTCCTGGTTGCCCTGAGGACGATGGTACTTGCATCAGTGTGCAGTCTGGACTGTTTCAGGCACTAACTTCCTCTTGTCTCTGATCTGAATTGAGGGAAGGGACAAGAAAGCTCTTTGGTGTCATGGCAGTAGCACAGGGGTGAGCCAGCAGGAGGAGAAGGGACAGCCTGAACAATCCATGTCTATGTGGAAGTCAGTTAGACAAACGAAGGGCTTGAAGAGACCACAAATCCATTCCATCTGAGTCCAGAATTGAGATGTCCTCCCCCACCCAGGACTTCCAAGGCTCACTCTTCCTATTTGCAGTCCACACTCTTTACCAAGTTTAGAGTCCCCAGCATGACATTCAAAGTGTTCATTTCCAGCTTGACCAGCTGCTGCCGGTTGACTTTCACCTTCACACAGTAACTGAACAATTTCAGCAGCACCTGACAAGAAAAACCAGCCAAAACCCATGAGACCATCTGAGAGTCTACCATGTGAAGACAAGCAGGAAAGAAACGTTGCAGAGGGGTCATGTACAATCAGCAGGTACTCCTCCTGAAATGCGCGGACAGCAGGGAGAAGCGATCCTTAAGGGGCTGGGATCTCCTGCCAGGTTAGCAATTTAAATAACAATGTTCTCCAGCAGTAGCTTGTGTGGGCTGGGTACATCTCTACCATCTCTAAAACTCGGACAGTGACACCAATTCCTAATGGAATAGGTGACGCTCTGTTGTCCTGGGTGAAGTCCAGTACTAACTCAGACTCTGAGCTAATAGTAAACAGAAAGGTCCCAACGCTCATGGCTTGTGGGAGCTCAGACTATGAAGGGTCATTTAAAACATAGGCACAGTAACATTTGTTCTCATAGCTCCTGGAGGTGAAAGTAATAGTGTTAATATTTGTGGTGCCTTTGGAATCCTCTACCCCTTATTTAGACAGTTGGATGAACCACCAAGCAAAATTCTACAAGAAATGAAACAGTTACTGACAAAATCCATTTAAAAAGCAATAATAATAATCGACACAAGTGCAGTTCTTTGTGAAAGACAATTAGAGATTGGTGCCACAGGTGACGAAAGAAACACAGCAGAAGGCTGCCAACACACTGGTTTTTTGGGAGGAGTTGAGGGCTCAGGGAAGCTGCCAGGCCCTTCACTGGCTTGCACTGGTCCATGGCACCATGCTGCCCTCTAGGGATACATCGCGCAGTGGCCACAAGCTTCTTTTCATAGCAGCCTCTCTCAAAGCAGAAGGGCTGGTCCCACCTTGCTGCCTGCAACTCACTGTTAGAAGGTGGCGTCCCTGCTTGAAATCCTTGATCCCTGCCAGTCTGGTAAGCATGCATTCCAGGCCTCCACACTGAGCCATCACACCGGCCATCTTATACACTTCTTCTTCATCTTCTTCTTCATCTGGGGTGGGCACGGGGGAAGCCAAGCAGAAATGGAAAGGAAGGTGAAGATGGGAATAAAACAGATAGCCCTCTTCTAGGCTGAGAGCTGGTTCCCTTTGCCATATCTCCAACAAAGAGTCAATAAAAGGGGTCAATGTTGGATATTAGATTCACTATCTCACTCCCAGTAGGAGATTTTTTTAAGGTTCAAGTCAATTAAAATTTACTCAAATACATGAAAATATATCCACCACTACAACCAACCAAAAAAAAAAAAAAACCACTAAGCTAGAAATAAATCTGAACTCAAGTTTCTTGCTAACTGCATTTTTTCCCCAAGTTTTTTCCTACCCCAGAGGTGTATGAATCAGGCCATAGACACTGCACTTTTCCTCAGTTGGAGAAGTAATCCCCCCTCAATTCTGATCAGAGGTACAGGAGAGGATTTTCCCAGAACACCCCTAAGTCCCAGGAGGTGAACCTCTCACTGGCCCCAAATCTCAAAGCCAACGTGCAGCAGTGTCTACGGAAAGGGCCAGACCTGTGGTGGAGTCCAGGGACTCAATAAACTCCTCGGTGGCATCACCCAGCAGCCCCCGCATACGGTACACAATCCTCATGGGCTCTCCCTGAGCAGAGAAAGTTGGAGAAAGGCACTTGTAAACAGGCATTTAATTTCATTAAAACTCTCTGTAATAACTGTAACAACTATTATTTATCATTTTGCTCAGTGCTAAGTCCTATGTTAATTAAGCACTTTATAATTTATCCTCTTATACAAGGTTAAGCAGCTTGTTCAAAGTTATCCAGCTTTATAAGCCCAGGTCTAATTCCAAGCCTGTGCCTCCTTCAGGAGTAGAAACTCTCTAACCAATAGGACCACTACTCAAAGAATCAAGACAAGGGAGGTCACTTTGATCAAACAGCTTTGATTCAAGTCTCAGGAATCAAAAGCAAGAAAAGAAAAGACACTGATCTTTGCATATGGAGATCCTGAGGTGTTCACATAACCCTACAGCAAGGAGAGGGATCATCCAAATTTCCCCAAGTTAAAACCTATAAGCTGATGGAATGATTAGAAATTAGAAGATTACAGCAACTTTACTAAATTCGAGGCTCATGAGAGTCCACTATACGCTGGGTAGTGAGTTAGGCACTCTAGCGTACATAGTATTCTCATTCTGGAGATGAGCAATGGGGTTTGGAGTCACACTGTATGAAATTAAGTTGGAGAGAAGGTACCACACTAATTCAAGCTGCCTGCCTCTAAGCCCGTGTTCAGCTTCAGGAGAGGAAACCCTGGATGGAGAGAACCTGTCAGGAAGGGCCAGTTCCAGAAGTGTTTCTGGCTACAGAAGCCGAGTAAGAACTAAGAAAGAAAACCGCCACAAACCATGGACAGAGACAGAAAGAAACATCGGAAACAGAATAGGCTCTAGTAACTAAAGAGACGGGCTGTTTAACTGGGAAATGGGAGACAAAGTAAGAAGGGAAGTTGATGAAGGCCCAGATAAGAGGCTGCCACAAACTCTGGACTTTGCCAGAACTCCTCAGTAGATTAAGCACACTAATGTGAGGGATCACAGCTTCTTCCTTGCCTCATGGTTCAAAGGCAGAGATGCCCATGTATATTCTTTGGGTTCCATACCACCATTTACAAGGGTGCCCTTGGAAGCCTAGTCTCAATTTTTTATGTGCATCAGGGATTAAATCTGTATCATTCTGTTTTGATGCTAAAACATCAAGGACAAGCTCCACTGGATGGGGCAGTCTTCTGCACGTCCCTCTGCCAACAGCACTGTATCTATCCAACTGGCAGCAAACCAAAAGTAAACAATGTCCAGGATGCCCAGCACAGTGGAAGAAAGAAAGGAGAGAAGCAAAAATATGTAACAAAGACCAAAATGTACCAATAGTACACTACCAATTTAGTTTCTTAAACTCCACAGAAATATTTGGGACTAAGTATAGAAAAGTTCGCCATGCTTCACTGGCACACTAGTTTGCTGTAATTAAACTATTTGATTCACTTACTAAAGATCCACCTAATAAAGAGAAGAGGTGGGAAGGAAGGGGAAGGAGAGAAAAACATGGAGGGGAAGGAAAGGAGACAGGAAGACAGGAAAGAGATTGAGACGGGAGGAGGGAAAGTGGAAGTGGACTGCCTAAGACTCTCATGAGCAGACAGACGATGCTGAGATGGCTGAAAGGACCAGAGTGCATGCTTCCTTCTTTCCTTCTCCCTCCTCAAGAGTAATTCCCCGTTCAAGTCTCAGCTCTCCAATTAGTAAACAAGAAACTATGCTCCTTGACACAGCTACGGGAAAAATGATCTGACAAGTGAGCAAGCCCATCAAAGCTGAGAATCTCAGTCCAGAGGTGTCGTATACAAAGTGTACAAGACAGCAAGGGTTCCCCAATATAGTGCTTCCTCAGCCCTTGCCCAGCCTGGGCTGCACACAGCCGGAAAACACTTGTCCTCCCTTGAGGCTCTTCGGCCTCACAGCCAGATGCCTCCAGAGGAGGACAAGACGACTGGTTCTCTCCACAGCCACGAAGAGAAGGACAGCTCCTCGGGCGCCGCTCCAAGCGCCTCCTGGGAGAAGCCTGCGTAAGTGCAAAGAGTAAACCCACAGCTCCAAGCGAGGAAACCGGCACCTACCTCATTCGTGGCACACCAGACCTTCTTGTAAACCTCGGCCACAGGAAGGTCCAAACTAATGATTTTATTGTTCACCAGAAGCTGAGAGAAAAGCACACGAGGCTGTTATTCCAAATAATCGCAAGGCAAGTAAATTTCAAGATCAAAGGACACTTTACGGTAGTGATTCATAATTCATAATTTTTGTGTGTCATGGACCTATCGACTCTCCCTCTCTGAAAGATGCACGTGTGTGCAAAACACACAGCATCTTATGCACAATTTCAGAGGTTACAAACACCCTTTACGGAAACCATGGACTCCAGTTTAAAAGTCCCTGCTGAGCACCTCCTATTCTGAGTCCACTTCAGGCTCAGCACCAGAAAAAGTAATTCCCTCTATTTCACCCAAAAAGCTTTTCACCACGTATAATGCCAGACCCTAGAGGTTATCTGCCAGAAGGTACCAGATACAGGGCCAGAAATCTACACAGGGGCTAAAGTGCCAGTATTCAGGTAGCTTAATTAACTTGGAATCACTGGGAAGCCACTGCCAGAGCAACAATAATAATAAGAGCCTACACCATGGCAAGCAAAAGCCATTAGCCATTTGCTTACTGCATGCCAGGCATTGGGCAGAGCCCTTCACTGGTAACTAACCTTAACTCCAGGTGAGGCAGGTAAGTGGGAATCATTAGCCCCCGTTTACAGAGATAAGGAAGCTGAAGCAAGCTACCTGCCCAAGGTTAATCAGCTACAAAGGATAAGAAACTGGATTTGATCCCAGACCATGCTCTTAATCATGGCAGCACTGTACTATGCTTATTACCTCCATGCCACTGTCATCCTCCAGAAGAGCCACCAAGTCACAGTCCTGGCAAATCTTGTTCTTTATGTCCCTCATAAGTGGCCCAATGCCTGGCTCATTGCTGCTATATGGGTTCCCAGGCATCCTGCCCTGTAAGAAGTCTTCTTGTTGGGGATCCTTCTCCAGGGTCACAAAGAACTCAGTGACTTCATTCTCCTCCTAAGGGACAGAGAGAAGGACGCCTCAAAAGGGATGGCATAAAGACATGTGTAGAGGGATAGCAGAGGTCTTTTAGATTTATACCATGCTACCTTGGTCCATGGACACTCTGAGGGAAACACACCAAACTCATCCAGCCCCTTACACATTCAAAGATATAAAGGATAGGAAGCTCAGAGGTGATTCAAAAAATCCAAATACAATTCATCTAGCCTTAAATATCAAGCATCTCCTCTGAAACTCAAGGGTGGATTAGGAGAGAAAGCCTAACAAAATAAGCAGATGAGGAGTGACATATGAAAGCTGCATTACTGAAACAAGGGGAGAAGAGGCTTACCTCCTCCTGCTCATCTCATGCCAATGCCAACCAATCTGGGGCCAGATAACTTTGTCGGACGACCCTCAAGTCAAGAAGAGGGTCTTCCCTATGATACCTAATGCTCAGTATGCACAACCCCAATGATCGCTCCTCATCAACTGACGATACTGCTGTTTTTCATCCTTCCTCAACAAGAGGGGGTCTTTGGATCACACCATGCTTCTATATAACTCAGCCTAGGGAAACATGCATTGTGTGCACAAAAAAAAGGGGGAAAAAGAAGGAAGAAAGTAGGGGGCCAGCCCCGTGGCCGAGTGGTTAAGTTCGCACATTCCGCTTCGGTGGCCCAGGGTTTCGCCAGTTCGGATCCTGGGCGCGAACATGGTACCACTCATCAAGCCATGGTGAGGCAGCATCCCACATGCTACAACTAGAAGGACCGACAATTAAAATATACAACTGTGTACTGGGGGGCTTTGGGAGAAAAAGGAAAAATAAAATCTTCAAAAAAAAAAAAAAAAAAGAAGGAAGAAAACGAAAATTTCTTTATAGTCTAGCTCATTACTGCTTCTTTCATAGCATAACTGGATTGGTAAGCAGCAGGATTTTGGCAATGGGAGGGTAGACATGATCTTGACCTTGAATCTAGGAAATATGATCAAGGAAGGTCATCAAATTTCTCATCATCAGGAACAGGAAAATTAGGAGAATGCTTCTGTTTTATGTCCGTGGAGTTTTCTAAAATGTTGAGTAAATGGCCCATAGCTGGTAAGTCTGCCCATGCCTATAATGAATCACCAAGAAGCTTCATGGCAAATGGCTCATGCTGTGACCCTGAGAGCCAGGGGAAGCATCACTGCTTACAGGATAAATGATGCTGCAGAGCCTCTCAAAGATGAAGACAGGAGTCCGGTAGTCATCCAGATTATAGCGCTTGGCTGTCTCAATGCACACAGCCATGAAGGCCTTGGTTTCCGATTCTGTACCTGCCAGAAATCAAAGTGGCCAAATTAGTTAGGAAAGAGCTTCACACACAGAAACCAAGAGGAAACTTTAACTGAAGTACTAACACTGACAGGTTCTTTCTGCCTGGTAAGTTTTTAAACGCCCAGGTGGCAATATCAATATTTCAATTGGAAAACTTAAAGCTGATTGATTTTTATACTCAGACCACACTCCATCTGAAAGCCTTAATGCCCAAGTCAACACAATGATTCATGGTTAGTTGTGTACATGTCCAGCTCCCTCTTGGAATTTTTTAAATTATTTTGGAATCATAACCTCCTTAAGGACAGGAATTAAGCTTCATTCAGCTTAGCATCCTCTTGCCCAGAATTGGTGCTCAAAAATGTCAAACAGTGAGTGTAACTGTATTTCACTCAAATCAAAGACAAGTTATAGTTTTAAGCTTCATTCAGTAGGATTAAGTAGATTGCCATCTAGAAGCCAAAGAGACAACTGTAAGTCACACAAGAAAGAACATGTTCTTTAAAAGGGTCCAAATCGGGGCCGGCCCTGTGGCCAAGTGGTTACGCACGCTCCACTTCATCAGCCTGGGGCTTCGCTGGTTTGAATCCTGGGTGCGGACCTGGCATGGCTCATGAGGCCATGCTGAGGTGGTGTCCCACATAGCACAATTAGAGGCACTCACAACTAGAATATACAACTATGTACTGGGGAGCTTTGGGGAGAAGAAGAAGAAGAAGAAAAAAAAGGAAGATTGCCAACAGATGTTAGCTCAGGTGCCAATCTTAAAAAATAAATGAATAAATAAAAGGGTCCAACTGACAAGGTCATAAACCAGCTCAGCATGTCATGATGAAAATGGCATCAGAAGGACCTCTGTGTCTGGTAATATGGCAGACCTCATTCCCTGAACTACTTACTCGCCACTCCTCATCACTTAAATAATTTAAAATATTCAACTGCCACGATAGCCAAGAAAAATCAAAAGCCAAAAACTAAGAGAAATCAGGAACGCAGGGAAGTTTAGCAAAACTCTGAAGCTGGTTCCTGCCTTTAGCCTTGGTTTCCATAACCTGCCAGGATTGAGAGCTGGATGCAAAGGCCCCCATCTGCCAAGGTGGAGAGCTAGGCAGAAACCCCCTCCCCACCACCCCATACACATAAATCTGGTACCCCAAAAGGCCACACCTTTGGTATAAGGGTCAACTAGAAATAACTCCCCCTCTCCCCAAAGCAAATAACTGAAAGGAAGTTGTCTTCCCTTACAATTTGACACTGAGTAGAGGGAGGAAATCTCCTCAGAGGACTGACGTTCACAGGGGTTTGTGGCTCAAAATCCACACGACCTAGGAGGTCTGAAACACCTGAAGCTCGAACTGCGCTGAGGCAGCCCTGGGGTGACAGTGCCCTGAGGTGCCTTGCAGAAGCAGTCACAAAACCCTCTCTGGAGAAACCCATCTTTGACTTGGGTCCTAAAAATTTCCACATTAAACGTCCAATACAGGAGCTCACAGTCAAAAATCACAAAATACAAAAAGACTTGAAGCACCCTAAGCAAGAACTGGAATAACAAACAGCAGATTCAGATCAAGAAATGTTTCAAATTTTAGAATTATCAGACACAGAAATGTGTTTGATATATTTAAGGATTATAAAAAGGATGGAAAATGTGAGTAAAAAACAAGAGACTATAAAATCTATATAGAACTACAAGAACTTAATGGGCAGATTAAACAGACTACACATAGTAAAGAAAAAACTAACGAACTAAATGATAAAACTGAAGAAATTATCCAAAATCAGCATAAAGATAAAATGAGATGAACACCACAAAAGAGATGTGAAGAAATACGGATGACAGAGAGAGGAGTCCCACAAGGATACAAGAGAGAGAATGGAGCAGAGGCAACTGAAGAAATAATGGCTGAGAATTTTCCAGAACCAATGAAAGACAGCAATCTGAGAACCCATGACTTCTTTCTTCTCTATGAGCTCAGCCCAAATTGACTGAGCCTGGCTCTGGAATTTTATAACTCCAAGAATCAATACTCTCTTGACAGAAGAGTTTCTGTCCTTGAATTTGGGGAGATGTTTGTCACCCCTCCTCTGGCTCTGTGGAACTCCAGGAAATCTGACTGATGGACCCAGGCAGACCAAGATGGGACGTGGGAGTCTGGGGTTCTAGGCCATTGGGCAGTGCTACCTGTGGTCATGTCCTCCAGCATCTCCAGCAGCATATCCTGGGTCTCATCGATCAGCTTAGTCCTCTGCACCACCAGCTTTCGCAAGCACAGGTATCCATTCAGCACAGTACCCACCAAGCGACTTTTAAAGTGCCTTTTGATGGATTCCACCTCGACGAAGGAGGAGAGAAGGCCTGTGGGGAAAGGAAAAAATTCCTGCAAGAGCTCTGGATGAGAATTTGAGCAAGGAAGGTCTGTTTCTTCAAAAGATTACGAGCACCTCAAAAGCAGGGAAAGGCTATCTTTGTGCTTCGCACAGAGCAGGTGCTCCGTGAACTGATCAATAGTGAAAAGGAGCTCAAAAACGTAAACCCATCGATGAGCAGAAAAAGGCAGAGCTTAAGTCTGCACCACGGTCAACATGAGAGGGAAGAGTCCAACCCAGCATCCAAGGAACTAAGGGTCAGTCCCCGAAATATACCCAGAGTGCCCCAAAGGAAGGGACTGGTGGCTCCCTCTACCTGTGAGGCTTTTGAGGGCATAGCCCTGCTGCAGATCAGTGCTCAGGGTGGCCTCCTCCAGAGCCAGCAAGCGAGCTATTTCCTAAACAGGACAATAAACACAGTCAGTGTGACAGCACTGCCAATGACACTGGTCACCTCCACCACCCGTCCAGGAGCTTGAAGCACCAACCAAAGACACTCCATCATTTTATTCTAATGATCCCTCAAGCTGAACCTCTATAGAACTCCTTTCCAAGAAGCCAAGGACAGCTAAACAACGTTAAGGGACTGCTTAAAAATTGGAAACCACCTAAATACCCCCAATATATTGATTGCTACATCCATATGATAAATAGAATAAAATCATAAAAACAGTATTTTCACCAAGTATTGGTGGCAAAAAAGAACACCACCAAGTTTCTCTCAGAGAAAGAGCATAGTGGAAGGAAAATTAGGGAAAGGGACTCTCCTGGGCCAGGGGGTGGGATACCTTGGTGATGAGGTTGCCCACATAGGGCAGGACTCCCCGAGCTGCCAGGTAGACTTTCCAGTGAGCGGAAGTGATGAGCTTCTGGTAGAGGGCCAAGTACTCGGCCGCACACTCGCCAGCTATGCTCAGTTCATCCAGGTAACTGCCATCGAGAGAGACAGGGCACCGGGAGAGAACTCTATTAGCTCCAATAGTTCTAAACAGTTCCTCTTTGTCCTTCCATCTTCTGCTCTCCTTCCTTTCCCTTTCGTTCTAGAGGGTGGAGGGAGGGTACCCGAGAAAACCCCAAACTTCCCACTTGGGAACTTCTCATATTTGGAAAGAATGCAGAGCACACAACAGGAAATGCGATGCAATGAACTATAAGCATCTGGAACAGTAAGCACCAAAATATGAATACTGGTTATCTGGGCAGTGAGACTGGTTTTTGACTGAGTTATTTAGAAGGCAAGTAAACCCCCAGAGTTTACTGGCCAATGATGGGGGCTTTAGAATCAGACCACCTGGATTCCAACTTTGCCTTCCAGTGGACAAGTTAATTAACCACGTTAAGCTCAGGATGCTGTGAGGTTTGAACGAGATAATGCATGCCAAGCATTTATATGCTCATAGGATCTCAATAAATATTAGCGGCCAGTGCTGCTGCCGCTATCACTACTACTGCTACCACTGAAACTCAGCTTCTCAGTACTTTTTCGTTTCTATGGTCTGCTACATGGACTGACATGCCTACAGAGCAGAGGTGCGCCTCCCATCCCAATTCCCAGAGGATTCCCCTGGGAAAGCGGGGAAGGCTCTAGAAGCAGCCCAACCACCCTCCCTACCCTGCACTCAAATGGTACCTGGTGAGGAGGTCAAGGACCTGCTGCTTGCGGCTGGGAATGGTGGCAAGAGCTTCCACGATGGTACAGGCTGCCTGCCGAGCAGCCTGCGTGGCGGGAGTAAAGAGCACCTACAGGACACAGGAGAGAAGCCCCTGGTTCAGATGACGGCTGTCTCACCAAGCCCCTAGCAGGGCACGCTCAACTGCCACCACCCAGAAGTCCTCTGGGCACTTCTCCAGGAAAAGACTGAAGGTAAAAATCACCAGCTAACACCAGATCCGACTGCTGCCAGCTGGGACAGAGGCTGCTAAGGGGTCTCCTTCACGGAGACTTTCTCCATCAAGGAGTGTGGAGAACATACTCACGATGACTGAACTAGGGAGAAAGACCAGCGGGTATTTTCCTTAGCAAAGACTTCCATACTTCTGTTTTGGGGACACCTATCTGTTAAATACTTACATTTGATCTAAACTAAGTATTTCTTATTTTATATCAATGGACAGATGGATTCTCTAAAATATAATTACTTAAATCCTTTAAAACATCAGCTAGAAAGAGGAGGGAGAGGACAGCAGAAGACAGGAAAGATGGAAGGAGAAAAGAGGAGCATCGACACTGAGGTTGGGTTCGGCTGAGTGGTCAGGGAGGAGAGCAGAGAGGACAAGGAGCTCGATGAGCAGGGCAGAGAAAGCTCTCTTCGGGCCAGTCCACCAGGCTGGTGACTGCAACCAAGAACTTCTACCTACTTCTTATTTGACAGGAAGCAAGAAAGCCAAGAGAAAGCAGAGCAGAGGTGTGGGGAGGAGCAGAAGCAGGATTCTCAGTATCTGGGGCCAGCATAACAGGGCGAGGGAGCTGGAAGGTGGGCACTCACTTGCCGCAGCCAGTTGTTATGACCCAATTTGAGATCCAAGGGGGAGGTCCTCTTCCCCCGACGACTCAGGAACTGCTTCCACCTCCACACATACTTCTCAGTCAAATAGAGATGGCGGAGCTCTGATTTGCTGGGGGACTTCCCATTGCCATCTATCCCTGGCAGGCAAAGGGGTGTAGGGAGAGGTATAAGGAAAAGGAAGTGACAGGAAGAGGGGTTTATAGGGCTGTCAGGATAGGGGTAGGAGAGATTAATTTCCCAAGGCTTGGAGAGACAGACATACCTCGGATAGGAAGGCACTTCTTCCAGGCTTCATAGGATGCTTTGGGGTCTCTCTTGAGCCACAGTTGAGCCTGGGCATGGATCTCATTGCAATATGGCTTAACTGTGGTGAGGGCCTCAACAGGCACATCCTGCAGGAGGAAAGCAGAACAAGGTGAGAGAGCACGAGGGCACAACTGAGCCACAGCTCCAGTACAATGGCACTGGCACCCCAAGGGGACATATGCAAAGGCAAGAAGATCAAAAGGATCAACATTCCTATCTTTTATGCCCGAATATGTGTTCCTGTTAAAGCATTTTGATCCAATTTAGCAGTAGCATCTCCATGCTGAGCTTAAGGTCACTGATTTTGACTGCGCAGGATAAGATGTAGCTGGCTTCCTACAGACAATCCTATAGCCCCATACACTAATTCCTATCCCAAGGCTGATTTGCAGTTTCCCAAACATAAATCTTCAAGGGATCACTGAGCAGTCTCCAGAATTTAAAGAGCCATTGGTAACCAGAACTAGCCTGTACATCAAAGTGCTTCAGACAGTACTCTAAGCCAGCAGTTCTCCAACTTTTTGGCCTCAGAACCCCATTATACTCTTTTTTTGGGTGGGGAGGGGGTGAGGAAGACTGGCCCTGAGCTAACATCCGTGCCAAACTTCCTCTACTTTGTATGTGGGACGCCACCACAGCATGGCTTGATGAGCACTGCATAGGTCCACAACCAGGATCCAAACCCACAAACCCCAGGCGGCTGAAGCGGAGTGTGCTAACTTAACCACTATGCCACCAGACCAGTCTCCAGTTACACTCTTAAAAAACTACTGAGGGCTCCAAAGAGCTTTTGTGTGTGTGGTTCTATCTATCGATAGTTACCATATTAAAAATTAAAACAGAAATTCTTAAAATATTTATGAATTCATTTAAAAATAAGAATAAACCCATCACTTATAAACTTAAATGACATTTTTTATATTTTTTCAAAACAAAAATAATCTAGAGAAAGGAGTGGCACTGTTTCATAGTTTTAAGGATCATTTAACGACTGCCTTAGTAAGACAGCTAGATTCTCCCACTTGCCTCTGCCGTCTAACTGTTATGATACATTGTTTTGGTTGAAGTATATGACAAACATCTAGCCTCACACAGATACTAGTTTAAAAAGAGAAAAATATTTTAATAGCTTTTTCAATTAATTGCTGATTTCTTTCTTTGATACTATACCAAAATTCAATATACTATAGGTTCTTAAGGACTGGCTATAATGTGGAATTTGAAACCAATCAATAAACTTTTCATATTCCATTACACAAAAATTCACCTTTTACCCATGCATGATTCTGTAGCGTGCATTAGTCATTCGGAAAATACTGGTTCACTGGGTTGCGCCAATTCCTCTTGAAGTGACAGGCTCACTTCATTTATTTTTCAAGAAAATGTCTGCCAAACATCCAATTCTGAATACCCACAATTTGCCTGTCAGTCGTTCTTGCAAGCACAACCGCGCTTCCAGGAACAAGGCGAGGGTTTAGCCTGCCTCACAAACAATCACAGTTTTTCCTCAAGACGCCACCGTACTTTGGTGCACAGCAGGAGCACTTTTGTGTACTTCCTGCATTGTCACACTGAGTATTAAAAAGATTGGTCAAGAGTCAAGATTTACCAAAATTAACCTGTACTGCTTCATCAAGGATGCTCCTGAATGCAGCCGCACGGCTGCAAAGACCAGGACCACAAGGAACGCTGGGGGCTGCCTGTCAGGCCAAGGCCCAGCGGGCTGACCAGCGTTGATTCTCCACCATCAGCACAAATTTCCAGAGGGCAAAGGGCAATCACGCCTCACAAAAATTACAAAAATAACATTGACCTCACAGATTCCTCAACAGTCTCGGGAACACCCAGGGATGTGCGAGCCAATTTTGAGAAGTGCTGCTCTCTCTAGGCTGAAACTAAGCAAAATGTGAACATCGACACTGGGCTTCAGAGCTTAGAGGATACAAATTCTGCGAAAATCTCCTTTTGCCTCACACTGTGGGAAAAATGGCAGTTACGTGGGGACGGACCAATTTTACTTGCTGGGAAACAGAGCCTCCCGGGCACCTCGGTCCTGCCCTTTCTGAGGACCGTCTAGGCAGACCAAGACAAGGGACATGTAAACTGTTCAACGTCGAGCTTCCTCCCTAGTACTTGGCACTCAGAAAGCAATCTTCCTCCAGTGAATACTTTGTTTCCCATTAAGGGACTCCATAAGGATGGAGCAGGAATCAGAATGGCCTGGGGACCACAAAGGGGGATTGGAGGCAGGCAGCCTCAGGCGTGGCCAAGAAGAACTAGGCCCATGTATTCTACAAGCTGGTACAAGCAAGTCAATCTGTGGCTCAGCTATAGTTATTTTAGGAAAAAACCTGGCTTTATTCATTTACTTAACAATGACTTACTGAGTGGCTATTATATGTTAGATACCATGCTATGCACTAGACACAAAAAAATATTACTAAACCGACAGTCCCTAGATTCAAGGCGTTCACAGCCAGCCTACCAGAGAACTGGATCTTCTAAGGAGCAGCTAACAAAGAGAAGGAAAACATTCTAGGCAAAGACAGCATATAGCCACAGCTAAGACTTATTAAGAACTAACTTGGGCCAGACACTGCTCTGAGCACGAGATCTCCATTAAGTCATTTATTCTTCACAACACCTCCAAAGTGTTGAATTCCCATTTTATAGATGGGGAAACTAAGAACCTACGGTAAGTAACTTGCCCAAGGTCACAATGCTAGTAAATGAAAGAGCTGGGATTTGACACCAGTCTGCTTCAGAGGCCAGGATTTTCACCACGCACAATACCACATGTGCAAAGGCACAGGGGTAGGAAAGAACCCCATGCTCTCTGGGAGCTGCAGTCATCTGACGTGCCTGGAGAAAGAGGCAGTCCTCCACGGGTAACTGCTTTGTTCTGTGCTTTCGTATGTTTGTGTTTATCTTATCTTGACTTTCCTCTGACAAACCTTCCTTCTCAGAAACCCCAACCCATCTCTGTTGAACCACAGCAAAGGAAGCGATGGGGTCCCCACCCCCCGAGGTCAGGCGAGTTGAGGGTAAGGCAGAGACCTTCAAGAGGCAGGGCACAGTGCTGGTCGGGGCAGGAGGGGGTCTGCCACCCCGCCCTTCCCTCTTGGACTGCCCGCCCAATACCTTGTTCTTCTTGCTGGTTGGAGCAGGAGGTTTAATCAGCTTCTGCAAGATCCGCAGGCACATGAGGGTAATGTTCTCCACAACCACAGGGGTCTTAATGTTCACAGCCATGAGGAAAAGGCTGAGAGCTGCGGACGGGGAGGCAAGGCAGAGTCACAGTCATAAGCACCTCACGCCTCCCCCAGCAAGGTGTGCAGGCGCAGCGCCCCAGCCTCCCACCCTGTGGCCAGGACTGCCCCTGGGAGCCTTCCTCCCTCGGAAAAGCTCCTGACCAGCTGGGCCCCAAACTCACCGCAGCGTAACCGGAGCTCCCAGCAGCTGTCCTCCTTCGAGATGGAATCTGTCAGCAACAGCATTTCATACTGAAGGCTACTTGCCTGCAAGGCCAACGGGAAAAGACATGAGCAGAGAAGCATTCTAAGGGTCAGTCCCAGGGCTGGCGCTTAGGTCCAACGTCTAATCTGGAGACTCAGAACTCAATGTCCGGTCACCGGTGGCACCATCAGAGAGAAAGGAGAGCTGCAGGCCTTCTACTCCACACTATCCTTCCCCCTGGAGGGGGCTCTGACCTGTGAAAGTCACTCTGGGATGTGCGTTCTGCAGGCGTGCTCGCCGCTGCTTCCCTCCTCAGTCCCCACAATGAGACTAGGGAGCCTGGGGGAGGAGGCCGAGGGCACAAGGAGGGGAGCGAGGGGCAGAGCAGACGGCTGCGCAGCTCACCAGATCAGGATTGGCCCAGTGGCCCTTCAGGGCTGTGGAGACTTTGCCGATAATCAGGTCATTCACCTGCTGGGTGGCTTCCGGATTGTCTCTGGGGAAGCAAAGAAATGGAGTCCTGTTACTCACCATTGGCTGTGTCCTTCTTTTCCTCCTGAAGGAGCCCAGAAAAAAGGAAATCAATGTCTAAGGCTACCTGGCCTTCCTGAGGGCAAGATGACAGCATTGCCCCACAAAACCCTGGTAATAAAAAGGGCATGTCTAGGGCCGGCCCCGTGGCATAGTGGTTAAGTTCTGCATGCTCCATCCACTTCAGTGGCCCAGGTTTGTGGGTTTGGATCCTGGGCACAGACCCACACCATTCAACAGCCATGCTGGGGCAGTGACCCACATATGAAATAGAGGAAAACTGGCATAGATGTTACCTCAGGGCCAATCTTCCTCAGCGAAAAAAAAAGAGGGCATGTCACAGCCACCTTTCCTGGGAGGAGACATGGAGGGAAGAGCAGCACCAACATGTGGGAGATTTTCTCCCCACCCACATCCCAGGCTGCAGAGGCCCCAGGCGCTGTCTGGTGTATCACAGTCTCCAAAATCTAGGTGTGCACTCCAGTCTTCGCCACAACTCTTTGCTCATCTTTCCCAAGTGCCTCCATCTCATTTCCCATAAGGCATCCACATTTCCCATCTATGCCCCTTTGTAATGAAGTCTATATTAATAATAGCAAAAAAAACCAGTTCGTATCATGCCACTTTCTTGCTTTCTAACACGTTCTGAATAAACTCCAAAGTCCTTACAATGGCCCTACAGGATCTGGCCCCCAGAGACCTCTCACTAATTCCTTCTCCTCTGTCTCCTCCTCCATCACATCCTTCACTCAGGCTACACAGGCCTCCTTGTTGCTTCCCCACCATTCCTGGCACACCCCGCCTCTCGGCCTTCCACTTGCCGTTCCCATGCCGTGCAGCCCATGCCTTAGGTACCTGCATGGCTTGTGCCCTGACTTCACACAGGTCCTTCCTCAAGGATGACCCCTCAGAGGCCTCCTTGACTACCTCATCCTAAACAGCAATCTCTGCCACAATCAAGGTTGCCATCCCAGCTTCACTTCTCTTCACAACCTAATTTCCTGACATCGTATTGTGCAACTAGTTGTTTAGTGTAGTTCTCCTCATCCGGAGCATAGGCTACGTGAGGGCAGGGACTTCGCTTCATTTGTCACTGTTTCCTTGGAGTCTAGAACAGTGCCTGGCATTCAGCAGATGCTCAACAAATATGTTTTAAATGAGTGAATAAATAATACAGCAAGTAATTTGTATCAACCACCTAACATGTTCCAGAACTCATGCCACATACTCTGCAAATAATCCACATGCAGCTCTGAATACAGTATCTGGCACATACTAAGCACTCAATAAATACAACTTACTCCTTACACCAATTATTTCATCCCATCCTCACAAGTCTTTAAGGTATTTACTATCATCAGTATTTTTCAGATGAGGAAAACTTAGGCTCAGAGAAGCTACGTAATTTGTCCAAGGCACAGAGCACAAAGCATCAGATCCTGAGCCCGGGTCTTTCATGACCTAGAGTCCAAGCTCTGAATCGCCAGGCTCCACAGCTCCGTCTTCTTCCCTGAGTCTCGAGTCCGAGCGCCCAGTCGTTCCCTCTCCTCCCTCATCAGACCTCAGAGAGCATTTCCTCAGGAAACCCCACTGGAACCAACAAAGTACAAGCCAAAGAGACTATTCATAAGGAAACTTGGATTTCACGTGCTCCCCACGTTCACTGTCTACACCCTGGACATCTCTACGATAAACCAGCAAACCTGTTTGGCAGGGAGCAGCACAGTCCTCTGCACCCTCTAGTGCTCCCAGAATTGCTGCTGCCACCAACCCCAGCGTTAGTAGGAATTACTAGCCCCGCCATCACAACTCAGGCTCTGACCTAGTCAGGAGGCACATGAGCTGGCGGACCTCCTCCCGCATGGCCGCAGAGCCTCGGCGGAGATTGTAATCAAAGAGCTCCCGAATGAGGCCCTGGGAGACAAGGATGTGCCTTAGGGCTGGATTGGTGGCCAGGGCCCGGAGTAGTGTGATACAATGTTCTGTGACAGCCGAGGCACAGCCATAGCACTTGGTGGAGGACGTGTGGCCGCAGCCCAGAACGGACAAGGCGCGGTACTGGCTGGCGGTGAAGGTTGGCTGCACAGAGGTCCGGGACGATTTAGTGGCTGCTTCCCTCTGCTGCAGGTCATATTCCAACAACTCTTTGCGTGAAGCAAAGACTTTCTAAGAACAAAAAAACAAAAGAGAAAGAAATTAGCAATTAAAATAAGGAGGAAGAGACAGTTAACTGGAAAATTAGCTTTGGTTTTGAAAAAACACTATATGTGCATTATCTAATTTAACCTTCTCCATAACCCCACCAGTTAGATACTTTATCCTCATTTTACAGAGGAGGAGACTGAAGTTTAAAGGGGTTAGCTTCACCAAGGTAAGTGGCAGAGCCAGCCTTCAGTCTCTGATCACAGGCACATGCCCTTAACTCCCACGTAACACTGTCCCGTAAAGAACAGAGAAAAAGGTCAAGAACGTAGGCACATGCAGGAATGACAGCAATTTTGGGGGACAGGGGAAGTAGCTGCTCCCCTTGTCTGCGGCCAGCCTCCCATCCCATGGAGACCAGGCCTGTAGCGGTCCATCCGCCGCACAGCCCACCTAGTGGAAGGGAGTTGGTGTGCCCTCCCCATCTATTAGCAACCATGGCATATCAGAAAAAGAGGGAACAGAATCTTGGCACCTGATTTTTTAAAACCACTAACCCCTCTACTAAAAGATGGGCTGTATTTAATGGCTAAGAAAACACATCTATAATAGTCTCCATTATTCTCAGTTCTCTGAAATGAACTCAGCTCTCGGCCAAGCACCAGAACCCGCTATGGGAGAGAAGCTGTGTGGTGCAACCACTCGGGCTCTGCCTTTTCAGCTGGATTGGGCGAGGGCAACCCCAAGAGCTGAACTGCTGGATGAGAGCAACAGGACTGCTTTGAAAACAATATCAGTAATATTCGACACAACACTTTAAAGCTGCCATTTTCCTACCTGGATGATTTTGGAGAGTTCATCAAAAGAGTTCTTGCAATCTCCACAGTACTCCTGAGCCAACTGCAGAATGTAACGATTCACGCTGGCTGAAGTGGAACTGATGCCCCCAGCTGTTCCCGAGTCATCCTGCAACCCAACAGGTAAGCTGTCAGCCTTCCACCGTAACGGTCTCCCGCAGGGGGCAGCCCTGTTATGATCCAAAGCCCTCTCCCAGTGCCCCTTCTTGCTTGGGGTTACCTGCGGCTTCTCGGGAGCTGCCTCATTCACTTTGCAGAGCAGGTTCTCCAGCTGTGGTCGATGTCCCATCAGCTGATGATACACTCGATCAGCTTTGTCCAGAAGCGTGTTGATGTTGGAAACAGCCTACAAAGGAAAGGACAGGGACGCATGTTCAGGCTTTTCAGCACAGTGATTTTCGCTGAGTAATCCAAATGGCTGCCTGCCTATTGCAACAGTGCCTAGAGGTCAGCGTCCGTATTTCAGACATTATTTCTATTCCTCATAATAATCCTCAGCGGTAGGTGTATTATCTTCAATAATATACAGTTTACATAGATAACACAACATACACATAAATACACAATGCTAAGAGAAGTGATTTATGTCAGGTCACACAGCATTAAGAAGCACAGCTGGAGCTGAATTTTTGTCCTTCTGACTCCAAAGGTAAGTGCTCTTCTGCCTTCCCATGCTACTGCTAGTAGCTGTCCCAATAGGTCCCCCTTTTCATTGTCCTCTAACATCCAGTCCCACTGCAGCCTGCTGGCTGAGAACTAGCTCTGGACAAGCTAACACTGAGGGCACGCCCACAGCTGCACACGCAGCAGTCTGTGGACAAACGCAGGGCAAGCCATCCCACTCCTCCTGCCTTTCCTAGTCCAGAGTTATCTGCCCCTTGAGATAGTCTAGTTTCATTACCAACCAACACTTCTCCGAAATCCTATGTAAACTATGTGTTCCAATATATCTTATGCCATTATTTGCTCCCACCCAAAAACCAGGCCCTGAAAACTCTGCTGAGTCGCGGAAGACTTGGGCTAGTACAAAAAGTACACCCCCCTACACTGGCGCTGCCCAAAGCGCAGATCAAGGCCACTGCCCTGAGTCTAGCACAAATCTGGCCTCACCTTCTTCCGGTCTTCTTCATTCTCAATGGGATCCACCGCACAGCAAGGCTTAGCATAGAGCATGAAGTCGAAGCGAGCATATTTACAGAAGCCACAGGCATTGCAGAGAAAGGGATCCTTTTCATCATAGTTGATGGATCTGAAGAACCAAAGTATTTGGGTCAGGGGGCAGCAGAGGTTTCGGGGTGGGGGAGACTCTATGAGGAGATGGTTTGTGCCACATCTATACTCCAGAAACTATTACAGGGACTACTGGAGGGACAATAACAAACAGGTAAGATGACTTAAGCAACTAGGCAACAAGGAAGACTCAGACCTAACCCCTCCCCGCCCCCACCACATGGGACAGGCAAACACACACACACCGCCCACCACAACTATTCCCCCCTCTCCCTTCTCTCTCTATCTGTGGACTCCACAGTCTGAATACACATAACCCTTTAATTATTGTGAAGGCACCAGACACTGAAACTGCCCACACTGAGACTCTTACAAAAAAACACAAAGATGCAGCCCTAGCCCGGGCGATAACCACTCGCTCACCTGCATTTGTGACACTGGTAGACATTTTCTCCACAGTTCCCACAGACCCCTGGGTTGGCTGGGACTGAGGCACTACAACGAGGGCACTGCAGGGTCTCTGTGGAGGCCTGATAGTTCTCATAGAAGTCTGCAAACTCTATCATCAGGTTGGAGGCCACAATGGGCAAGGGCAGGTCAATCTTCACCTCTGTCTGCCCAGGGGTCAGCTGCACCTTCTTGGCTTTGTGCCAGCGAGCCGGCCTAGGAGAGATGGGGTCAGACAGAGGGCAGAGGGCCTGAGAGCCTCTTATTTAACCCTCAGTGAAGATGGTCTGATGAGATGAAGAGAAAGACTGTCCTATGCATTTTTCTAAGGCAGTGAAGTGGTTTCTCTAACAAAAGGAAACCTGGAAAATAATAGCTACCTAGTCAAAAAAAAATTTTTTTCACTACCCTCTCTCTGTAAAAAGAGGACAGAACATACAAGTGCTTTAAGATGTTATATATCACATCTGAGATTTCAGAAAAACAGCAGAAGTACATATCAAGGGAAGACATTACTCCAAAAGCAGACCACTCTGAAGCCGGTAACCCCAAGAGGTGCCATCAAGATGACAGCCGCAAGTTCCAGCACAACCACCTTGGAAGCATAAAGCTCAGGTGCTTTAGAGGCAGAGGGACACACCGGGATCTCGACAGGTGCCAAGTAGAGTCAGAAAGAGAAAAGGTGGAACAGTTCAGGGGTAATTATATTAATACGATTAGAGCAAGTATTTACTGAGTACGTCCTTACTAGGTGCTAAGCTCTGTTCTCAGCACTTTACATATACTAGCTCATGTAATGGACTTATCTACGTTTTACAGTTAAGGAAACTGAGGCTGAGTTAAGCTCTCCAAGGTCAGACAGAGAGCTGTTGGGCTGGGATATGAAGCCACCGTCTTATTTCACAGTTTGAGTGCTTCACCAGCAGCTGCGCTGACTACACAACAGAAAATCAAATCCACCTCCTCCAGAAGGGAAGGGTTTATCCCAGGGAGCAGCTTGTACTTGCAGGTCACCAATGTTAACTCTGCTTTTCAAAGGAAGAGAAAACTTCCTTCAGGCAGAGCTCCCGGCGGCCACTTGTCGATGTGGTACATTCTAGTTTATTCTGCCTCTTGGAATAATAGCAATATTTCCATTCTATGTGCAGACAGGACACTGCAAGTCTTAATATTCAAGCAGCGTCTGCTTATATTCTCTGTCCAATAGCAATGCCTGTGACTTCAACAACAGAGACCTGTCTCTGCAAAAGTCAACACTATAACTTATATAACTATAGTTATAACACTATAATGCTAGTGCCTTCTTTGGACCATCTGCGACACGCTCCACTTCAGACACTGGGACATAAGAGCTAAAAGATATCAGCAGACATAGAGGGAAGGCACCACGCAGAAATGGAAGAACTGTGTACTGGAGAAGCTTCCTGAGAAATACTTCCTGCTCTGTGAATAGCTGTCTTAATCCAAGAAATGACAACTACTTCCCAATACAGAAGATTCTACACAAAAGTAAAACTGCTCTAGTGAACATGGGTTTGAGAAGCCTGGAGTCCCCCTCACTCAGCTTCCCCTCCCTACGCAGGCTGTTGAAAAGCTCCCACAGACCCCTAGGACTCCACTGGACATAATTTTGAAATAATCTTTGTCCAGCATCCTCAGGAACTGGCGTTTCACTTCTGTCTCTCAGTAATGACAGAAGTAGGTAAGAGGACATACTAGGCCTCTAGGGATGTGCTGCTTTACCCAATTCCAGCAATCAAAGCCAACAAGCGGTGTAGAGCCTTACAAGCCTGTTGCCCCTTCCCAAGCCTAAAAAGCCCATACTTGTTTTTCAACTCCACGATGGCCTGCACAGTTCGGTTGTTGTAATAGAGGTTGATAGTCCGCACCATCTTGGTCCGTTTTAGGTCCCCAATTTTCACTGTCACTTTGCTGATGGTGTGGCTGCCAATGAGCTTCACAACCTGCTGGGTGGTGGTGTACCGGGTGTCCACTTTAATGGAAGACAGCTTGATATACTAAATACAAGAGTATATACAAAACACTGTATTAGTTCGAGGCTAACAGCACACCCTGTTCTTTTTTTTGGTGAGGAAGATTGACCCTGAGCTAACATCTGTTGCCAATCTTCCTCTTTTTGCTTGAGGAAGATTGTTGCTGAGCTAACACCTGTGCCAATCTTCCCCTATTTTACGCCTATGTAAACTATGGGACACCTATGTACACTATAAGACACCACCACAGCATGGCTTAACAAGTGGTGTGTAGGTCCATGCCTGGGATCTGAACTGGCGAATCCTGAGCCACCAGAGCACAGCGTGTGAACTTAACCACTACACCACCTGGGTGGCCCCATCTCACCCTGTCTTCTTCAAAATTCATCAATGTAACTCCACTCTTCATCCATGGATGAAGTTTTTATTTAAGGGAACAAGCACGGCAGGTAAGGATTCATCCATTAGGAGAGGAACACCTACGTGACAACAGTCAATCTCTGGAAACAAGAAACCCACTGGCCCAGTAAGATTCAGGACTGTGCACATTAAGGATGTCACTTACACAAAATGGCACCTCTGGATTATTACACACCAGGCAGGGGTCACTCTCCAGGTAATAGCCATCAAACTCCACTAAGCCAGACAAGGTGCTAAGGAAGAAACCAGTCTCAGCATAAGGAAATTTTCATTTTAGAAAGTCCCGTGCTTCACAAAGAGCATGAAAAAGCCCTGGCTCAATACTCCCCAAAGCAAGCCCCACCCCAGGGAGAACACGGGGAAACGTGAGGAGTCAGTCCCACAGGGTGTACAAGTCACAGGGAGGACACGGGGAAATGTGAGGAGTCAGTCCCACAGGGTGTACAAGTCACAGGGAGGACACGGGGAAACGTGAGGAGTCAGTCCCACAGGGTGTACAAGTCACAGGGAGGACACGGGGAAACGTGAGGAGTCAGTCCCACAGGGTGTACAAGTCACAGGGAGAACACGGGGAAACGTGAGGAGTCAGTCCCACAGGGTGTACAAGTCACAGGGAGGACACGGGGAAACGTGAGGAGTCAGTCCCACAGGGTGTACAAGTCACAGGGAGGAAACGTCAACTCATCAACCTTAGATGTTTCCTATTTCTGAGCTCCCCTGAGGTCAGGGAAATCCTAAAAAGTTACATTAAAATTTGACTCAAAGAAGAATCACAAATTTACTAAAAATCATTGAACTGTACACTTAGATGAATTCTGTGGTATGTAAATTATACCTGAATAAAGTTTGGAAAGAACAAAAAAGAACAGTCACTATTAAACCAGGGAAATAATAAATTGTCACTTTAACCAATGCTCTTTCAAAAGTTTTTTTTTTAATGCAGCCATTTTCTGTAAACTTGTCTTACCTGATTTAGACTTAGACCCTTGAAACTAGAGAACTTTTTAAATTCCTGGTTTCTAAAACCCTCATTCAGCAATTACATGTTGAGTACCTTCTATGTGCAAGGCCCCAGTTCCAAAACAGGGAACCACAGATCAACTAGACAGGGGCTTATCGATTCCTACGTCAGAGCCAACCACTGTGGAAACAGCAACTGAGCTTCCAAAAGGGAGAAAGCAGAACAAAGCTCACTTGTAAATGTTGGAGTTGGGATGGTTGGTAAGAATATGGTTTTGAGTCCGCAGAATCTCCACAGCCTTCTGTGAATATTCCTTCAACTGAAACAGAAGTCAACAAAGGACCATAGTTAAAGCCCAAGGGACAGTCTTACTGGAAAAGAGTTCTGTCTTGTGCTTTCTAGCTGATACCGCCCTAGAAATCCTAGAATTCTCAGTTTCCATTCGTGTCGTACAAAGCTAGGCCTAATTCCTAATGGTTTACAGTATTCTATCCTCTTTGGAAGTTCCCACTCCTTGGACAGTCCGCTTTTTCAGATCTTGTGGAGAAAGACAATTTCTATTCTTATGGGGAAGCCATGATATGGTTATCTAATTTAGAAACACTTTCGGGTATGTAATCAGGGCTGCCAGCAAAACTAGAAGAGTTGCATTTTCTTCCCCACTTGATCTACTTCTGTTGGCTAAGCCAAATTCAGATGTTACTTACTTGCTAGTGTAGATTACTGATGTAGTATACATATTGGGAGTCCTTAATACATATTTAAGGGATTTCACATATCTACCCCCTATAGGGGCTGGCCATAACGTTCCTGACTCCAGAGAAAAAAAGTTAAATGTGGCAAGTTAGCCTCTCTGACCATAAATCAATTATTGTTACCTTCTTCTCCGTCTGTGGGGTTTTCAAGGAGAAATATCCCAGGAGGTCCACAAACTGGGCAGCCTTACGACCGTAGGCTGGGAGTTCTGGCCATATGGACCACATCAGATCTAGCAGGAGCTCCTGCTGAGATTTGCTAGAGTTTCTGTAGATAAATCACAGTTCACATTACTAGCAGGCAGCAGAAAGCCTGAGGTTCTTTTAGGCCCAGGCGCTGTTTTTGTAGATATATCTGTTTCCCCACAACTCTGGGTTAAGTCTGAACGGTTTTGTTCCTCTTTTGACAATTGACCCTAAAATATGTAGCACAGTCCTCTCCTGTCTTCAGGAGGCGAACTACTCCCATTTTCCAACATTACTCAACGGCAGAAACAGAGCCTTGTTAGCCCAACAGTCAAGCCTGGTCATTCCACAAACTTCTAAACACAGCCTTCTTAGTCAAAAACAGATTATCTCTCGTTTATGACATCAGTTTAACAGCTAAAAAGCAGATAACTCAAAGAAATCTGTAATAGTCAAGAGGATTCAAGCCAGTGTAAATAATGACACTGTGGCCGTGAGTATGTAACATAAAACTGAGACAGAACCACATCATCCATTCTGGTCCCAGGCGCATGCGGACTACCAAACCTAAGCTCCGGACCCTACCTGTAGATATGCAGCGTCAGGCAGTGGGCCTGCCAGCGCACGGAGGAAGAATTGGACTCTAACAGGAAGCAACGCAGAAACTGGACCAAGGTTTCCTTATCTGCAAATTTGTTCAGCTGGTTCACCAGAGCTGTGCACAGCTGGTCCTCCTGGCTGCCTGAGCTCTCACCTGAAAGATCAGGGTAGGACCGAGGGCTGAAGAGTTAGGAAGAAGTGGTGCAGGGTCCTACAGTCAGTGCTACCAGATGGAGAGGGATGGGATTCTGCCCACGTCTAAAAGTTTCAACTAAACAGTTATAATTTGAAAGCAACTTCCAGTTATTTACTGAGGGACAAAAGGCCAGCCTCAAAGGACATTTAATAATGCCACAAACATAGGACAAAAACCCTATGTAAGGCTGGCACTGAACACAGTTACACTGGAGGAGGAATTTCCTTTCAAAAGGCTGCCATCAGACAGTCAACAATACTATAGAGCTGCACAGGTGTCTGAATGATTGAGACACTGAGCCACTCCGCTGCCCTCCACTCCTGATCGCTGTCGCAGGCCTCCGAGGGCCATGTCGAGCACTGGAGCAGAAGGGCGTCTGCTTTCTGAGGGTAAGGGGTCAGCTGAAAGAGCTTCATCTGCAGAGCATTTAACAGTTCACAAGGCACAGTTCTAAGCATTACTTCATTTAATGCTGACAACCTCTCCACAGAGCAGGCTTTGTAATTTCACAGAAAAGAAACTTGGCTTACTAAAAATGGTCAGTGCTCTTTGACCTTTCACGTTACTGACACTTGGTATGGGAAGTCACACTGTTGAAGATGTCACCTTCAACCTAACTGAAACTGAGACTAACAGTAGACACCAGAGGGCATTTGAATTTGGGCTTCCCTGTGAATCAGGATAAACGAGCTTTCAGAAGACAAGAATAAACCACACGCTCCAAGAGCGATTAGAACACATCACCCTGGTCACCAGACAAGAGGGTGACTCTTACCCTCTTTCTCCTTTTCCTTTTCTTCTTTCTTGCTCTTCTTAGTGGACGACTTGGACTGTGTTGTGGCTTGTCCAGAACTGGTGGCCACGGGGGCTGAGGACGAGGAAGCACTGGAGGACCCTGCCGAGGCTGCCAGAGCAGCGAGCACTTTGCTGCCGCACAGAGCACAGGAGAGCAACTGCAGCAGCACCGGAGACACGCCCTCATCCACCAGGAAACTGACTTGGAGGAGGAAGTACAGGACGGCTGTAGGCAGAGGAGGTGGCAGCTCAGCTCTGAGACGACTACAAATAGACTTACACGCAAGAGAAGGAGCAACTTCTCCGCATGGTCAGGACAGCCCTATTCACACCAGCTTCCTTGTCCAAGTTCTGTCTGCTAGATGTGCCGAGAATTTATACCCTCTGTAGAAACATCTGACAAATACCCTAACTATCCACAGACTAGCTCCCAGCCCCCACTTCTTTGAACGAGACCATTTTCTAGACTTAGTAGACTCCTCTTTAGCTTTACTACCACAATCTGAGGTCAGATACTCCTACCGTGTGCTCCCATAGCACCCCAGATTTTGTCTGCTGGCCCTTATCACTTTTTACTTGTCTTCTCTGCTTGGCAGAGTTCTGTCCATGTATCTTGATCGTGGCTGTATCTCCAGCACCCAGTTTAGTGCTTGACACACAGCAGGCCTCAAGGAACAGGCCTGAAGGAGTGAACTGAGTGAATGAATGAAGGAGCTTGCTTACAGTCGTCCTTGATACAGAATTTCTGCCAGTTGACGGTTCGCTGGGCAGCAATCTCTGCACAGGCTTTCAGGTGCTCCATCTGAAACGGAAACCGATCACCAGACGTGAGGAATTCTGCCAAGCAGGCCACAGGGCACTGCACTGCTGCCCTGGAGACTGAACACAGCCTTGTATGCAAGGCTGATCCAGTGCCCGGGGAAGCTGGGACCAAGGTCCCCACACTATAGCTGTCACTAAGCCTCCTACGTTTGTCTCCCCACCACACAAAGGTCCTTTGTTTCAGGGATCCCTCAGCCCACTCAGTAATGCAGCAGGAAAGGCAGGCCATGACCAGGGAAACTGCAATCCAGTTTACTTTTTTCTCGCTAAAAGCACAATAGTAAGAACACTACATTAGGAATCTTTAATACTGAAGGTCTCCTTTCTAGACGCTCCTATGCAATATATTCAATTTACTCCCCAAACTCCAAATAATTTATCTTCAGTCAGCAACACATTTTTATATGTCTACCTCCATCATTTCTTTAGCATTCAAAGACAAAAATCAGAGGTGCACAAATTTTAGGTTGATCCATGACATGAGCAAATGACACTGGTAAGAAGCTCAAGCCACCCCTCCTCACGACGGAGGAACTACTGCCACGTGGGGGCAGGAGCAGTGAGGGGGATCCCAGACCCTGAAGCCAACTACACCCGGAGCACACCCAGTCGGGCATCATGGATTTACCCTATCTTAACCCTGGCCATGACCTTCTCTACTCCCCCACCCTATTACCTACTCACGGAGCCACATCACATGCCCTCTCCCTGCCCTACCATTTCCCCCTCCTCGTACCAGGCTGATGAGTGTGTCATATTGCAAGGCGGAGCCAGAGCTGGCTGTAACCACACTTGCCCGGAGGAATATCCCCTGCTCCTCCAGCAGCTTCTTGATCCCACGCACGTGGGAATCCAGGGTGTGCAAATCCCGGAGTTGGCGGTATTTCTCCTTTGATCCACAGATGAAGAGCAGAAGTTTGCGGACTTGACGGCGCACAAAGGGAGTCTGCTGGATCATCAGGTACTGGCGGGGAGAAACAACACAAAGAGTCAACAACTCTGGGACTGTATCTACACCAGCCACAGCTCCTTGAGTTTTCAGGAACTATTATTAAAAACTGGTGAGAACACACAAAACAAGCTATTTTCTCACGGCTAAGCCAGCCTCTGGTAAGCTTCAGTATTCCTTACATGGACCAGGAGAAGGCAAGAAGCTAAAGAAGGAAACACAGCGATACTCCTGCTCCCCTTCCTGGAGCACTTAGGCATCTACAGGGAAGCTGGCCTCCACTCAGGCCCACCCAGAGTGAAACTGTAAGGAAAACAATACTCAGAAATCTCTTTCAGGTAAGAGGTGGCAAAGAGGCTGGGCTGTTACCTCTGTACAACCTGAAGCAGTCAGTTGGGGTTTGCTAACAGATTCTTCTCCCCAGGGTTCTTGATGTGCCAGTCAAGCTACTGTCTTTCGGCTCCAAACCCAGCCCACCCTGCCCTGCACTGTGATGTCCGGAATTAGGCTAACTGCACTGCTTCTTTGCTAGCTGGCTCCCTCTTAGGTTCTGCCAATAGGGAGCACTAGAGGGACACTGGAAGGCAGGAGGGAAAGACAGGACATGCTCCTTCCTGTTTGCCTGCCATCACAGCGAAAGCCCTGAAGGAGAACCCTGGTAGCCTCCACCATTTCCTCAGGGACAAACCATCTACAGTTGGTTCTAATCATCAGCTTCTTTCAGGACTTTCAGAACCAGCCGCATCACATCCCTCAGACTCCTGAGGTACCAGCAGTAGCAGCCCCTCCGCAGAGAGCCAAGTCCCAGAGCCACCAGCCTCTGCTCTGCACACAGGGCTGCTGGTGGCCACTTCCTGCAGTTACTCTCTACGTTACTTCAACATTCCCTTTTTACCTTTTTGGTTCTTTGATGGCTGTTTAACTAAATCACTATATTAAAATCTCTGTTAATTTAACTCATATACTTCCTGCTTTCCAGACAGAGTTTGAACTATTAAACTTGCCCATTATCACCATATACGGGGGAAGTTACATGTACAGAATCAGAAGCTACAGAGGATGGCTTGCTTTGATACACACCTTCCACAGTTTCACCACACAGTATACTCCAGAGGCAAGACCTAAATGGGTGGGAAGGACTCTGCTGGGGGATGTGCTGCATGAGGGTAAGGAAGAAAGGGGGCCACAAAGGCAGTCATGGCTGCTGTGTCCTCTCCTTGACTGGCATGCTGCTTGGGACCTTCACTTACCTCTGAGAGAAAGTAAAACCATGAATGATCAAAGACAGGAGGTGGGATTCGAGAATTGGTGTCAGCAATCTTCTTGATTTGGTATGGAAGCCTCAGTACCATCTCTGTTAGAAGCTGAGTATACGCCTCAAACACATCAGCAGCATGACCCTGGGAGAAGAACAGCTGTGTGACAACCTGACTGACAATCTTCCACAACCACCATTAGGAAAAAGGCTGGCTTATTGCTCACTAGGCATAACTTACGTTGGAGTTGGTAAACAGTGCCTTTCACAGCTGGAGCCATCACTGACTGACAGTCTAGTTTACAAACCCAGCAAGGCCCCAGGCTCCTGGAGCAACACGCAAAGGTTACAGTGGAGACAGAGCTCACTGTTCTTAAAAGTTCTTAACATTTCACTCTGTGGTTTTTGACACTGGGCTGACTGTACTCTGCTTACACAAAAATTAGAGTTAGAATGGGAAAAAAATCAAAAAAACAGTAGTGGGGAAGGATTTCTGACCTTCTTTGAGAGCTGTATTCCATTCCCTAGAACCAAACTTTCCATGGTAACAAGAAATACTTAAATAAACCAAGAGGGCCAGGATCACTGCACTCAGTGGAGATTCTGGGTTCAGAGCACCCAAAGAGGGGGGGGACTGAGAGGTTTGAGGACAGTGGAAACAACATCCTGCAAGCCGTGTGTCCCACAGGAAGAGTCTGCAAGAGTTCGGGGGCACAACTGGTCTCATATTTTCAAACACCATTTATTTATCGGTTCTATGCCAAGCACTGGGGGTGTAAACAGGAATAAAATATATGTGCACAAAGTGCTCTAGAAAACCAGTGAAAAGCTATCTCCATCAGACATGTGCTAGGGAAGGTTTTCCCAAAGACCCAATGCTTCAGCTGGGTCTTGAAGAAGGATTAGGAATTAACTAGATGGGGGAAGGAAGGGATGCGGAGGGAGAGGAAAGAATTTCAGAAGGACAGCGTATACAAAGGCAACATGCCACATCTGGAGAAATGCACAGATTAGCAGGACTGTATGCAGGGGTGGTGCAGGTGGTAAAAGCTAGACAGTTACATAGCTGAATCCACAAGGAACTTTTATGGCCTAAAAGTTATGGAAAACCACCAAAGAGTTATAAAACAGAGAGGGACATGATCAGAGTTACATTTTATGCCTATTATAGTCCTATACTGTCCAAAGCAGTTCTGAATACACAGGAAGATGTACAGCCAGGCCAACCCACTGTGCTCCACCACATGCACTCAAACGGAGTAGAAGTGATAATAATTAACATTCATTGAGCACTGGTATGTACTAGGCATTGTGCTTTACAATCATCACCTCATTCAATGCTCATAACACAACCCTATAAAGCAGATACTCTATGTATCCTTATTCTGCAGGTGTAGAAACTGAGACTTATCATGGTTAGATAAAACGTCTCCAAGCTTTGTGGCTGCTAGGTGGGAACACTTGTTCCCAGGGACTTGTTCCCAGACTCACCTGATCAGAAAGCCCATCTTAACTAGCGTGTTACAACACTTCTTACGACAGCAGGGGGCAGAACCTGACACACACATGAGGACATGACCCACTACTGATGACATTTCCTTGTGCTTTCTCACCTTTTTTCTAAGAACCTTAATGTGAAAGGACATGACTGTCTGATTTCATTCGATTCCTCCAGTTCACAAAGTGGCAGGAATCAGAGCTCCAGTAGAAGGTTGGGTGGGAGAAATGGTTATGTATTACAGCAGAGAGAGTAAAACCCACCACGGAGGCTCCCTCCTGTAGCTCCTTGCCCTCAGCTCCTTCAGCTCTACTCACTGAGGGCGAAAAGGAGAGTGCTCTGGATGAAGGACCAGAGCGGTCCTCTGCCCAGGGAGAGGCCTCACCTTCACATACTGGCGGAGGAAGAACGGGCTCATGTCGGGTGGGGATGAACTAGTATGTGGTTTCAGCAACTGGCTGGTAGCCACAGGCTCCTCATCATTCTGCTGGCTCTTCCAATACTCCAGCAGGGATTTGAGCACGTGCAGGCAGTAGTCCACAGCCCCAGAGCTCAGCAGGGCTGCCGCTGTGGCACTAGAGATGAGGGAAGACGACTGGGAGGGAGGAGAAAAAACAGGGAGGGAGCAGGTAAGAATGGCTTGTAAATCCAGCTAGGTTTAGGGGGTAGGAAACACAACAGTCTTAGAATTAGTGTCACGGAAGTGAGTCAGTCGGTCCCTTGAGTTAAAAGTTTCCCAACTGGCTCAAACATTTCCCCAACTCTTTTAAACAACGGCATGGCAAGAGAAAACAAAGGAACACCAGTTCTCAACTCTAATCTCTCTACACACATGTGCCAGAGGCCAAGGTGGCAAGGATTAGATAACCTTTCCCCCTGGAGGGGATGGGTTTTCTCTTCTTCCTTGGGAAACTAGAAAAGAAGCCCATTTCAAGAAGGAGAGAGAAAACTTTCCTCTATAGGCACTTCTTAGCAACCCCATCCTCCCAGTAGGGGCTCTTCCCATAGAACTAGCTTCCAAAGGAGATGGGATGAGTGATCACATGAATAAGAAAGTAGGAGAAAAGCTACTGTAAATAAAACCATTAGGAGAGCCTTGCAAATCCCAGCAAACCCCACAGCTCATAAGCTCATTAAGATTGGATGCAGTTCAGCCTCCATTCCTACCTTCTCTGCTTTGTGTTAATCTCCTTTCCACCACGCACACACTGCTTTCTCTCTGCTTTATTACCATACCTTATAGCAACATACAGTAGGGGAATCCTCTTAGCCACTCTGCACCTTGCAGAACAGTCCCTGCTTTTCAATAATGGAACTTCCAAACCCTTTAACCCCTCCATTGGAGGGATTGTTGGCAAAGAGCAAGGCTTGGAAGGGATTCTGAAAAAGGCAGAGGCTCTACTCTTGAAGACGTGATAGCTTAGAATCTTACTCCCTCTTGGGTGACAATGGCCTTATTCTAACAGAGGACTATCACCTCTGCCCTCGGCCCTAGCACCAACCAGACAATCCTCTTACCTTTCTCCAAACCCATAAGCTCACAGCAAAAATACCTCGCATATGGAAGACTTGGATCCAGATTTGGTCCGGGACATGAAGACGCTGAGGAGTCTCATGACCACTAGATGGACTTCATTCAGGGCACTGCGCTCATTCTTCCTGGAGACATCCTGCAGGTGGAAGGAGAGCCCAGAAGCCCACACTGACTTTAAGCTTGAGGCATCTGAACAAGATTCCCTCAAGCCTATCAGTGTTAAAATGTTCCTCAGATGGACTCAGAGAAAAAACAAGCTCCAGTGTATCCATGGACCATACCTGGATTACCGAGAGCCCGATACACTTAGGAAGCCATTATTAAGATACAAACAATTCGCTTAACGTTTTCACCTTGTAGCTACAAAATGTCCACAAGGGCAGGAAGTTGGTCTTGTCATTAACCCCCAGGTTCAAAGCATGCCTGGGCCAAAGCAGGCACTGAAAATATTTTTATTAAATCAACAGAACTAGAGCGCTCAATGGACCGTTACCACCTGAAACTGTCAAGTTCCTCTAAGAGGAATGAAAAACTGCAAGGTGATCTCAGCCAACCCCTGCTTCTCAAACAGTATGACTCTCCAGTTTCACCTTTTTATCCATGCCCAGTTCAGCAATAAGCTGGGAAAGCAGGTTGTCCAGAGCCCCCTTGTCTTTCTCATCTTCGCCATCCAGATCTGTAGTGAGCATCAGAATGACCTGGAAGTCAAGAGAAAGAGAAATCATGAAAGCCAATTCCCTAAAGAACAACTCTAAACACAGGGTGGTTCAGAAGAAATCCCAACCTTCCTCACCTGCCTGTCAATCACAAACAACTACAATCCATGAAAAGGTTCTAAATCCCAGGGTATCCAAAGTTTAAGTGTCCAGAGCCAGAAGAGTCGAATTTTGGCACATGCCACACTTGGCACCACAGAAAATGTTTGCAGAAAGTTTACAAAACTAACTGACTAACCTACATTATATCCAACCAAACTGTCTTGAGATGGAGCAGTGTGCTGAGCTACGAATTAAAGAAGAATTCTGCCCAGAGGAGGGCAGCTAGTGGGAGAAGAGCTCTTAGATCACACTCTAATACTAACACTGAGAGAGACGCCATAGACCAACACTCAGGGGCAGGCCTTTATTCCTGGCACTATCAACAACTAGCTGCATGACTGCGGACGTTTTTTTTCAATTCTCTGACCCTCGGGCCTTCTCATCCATAAAAGGAAGGGCTGTGACTTGCAGTTCAAAATTGCATTCCATTATTCTATGACCGAACATCAAACAAAGCCAAAGACGTGAGCTTGCATAAGGATGGACCGACTATAATGTGATGGACCCAAGTAAACTGTGGGATACCTGCATGTACGGGATGGCCCGGACACCTCCAACATTTCGCAACTGGGGCAAGGTCTGTAGCAGTCTCTCCAACAGCATCAGACGAACCATGTGCAGCCTAAAAGGCCAAAGAAAACACATGAAGCATGAGCTACGGCACAAACACTAACCAGCTGAATACAGTTCTTTCCTCCTGTCACCAAGGTAAACAATAAGCCTACTGCTTAAGAACAATCCTAACATCAAGAAAATGTTAAGAAATGCCTATTTTGTGTACCAGCAACATAGAAGCAGAAATCTCACTTTGTTAAAAAGGAGTAAAACTATTCCAAAATACAACTGATGGTACTGAAAGCCTAATACAGCAAAGTTAAAATATTTCTCAAGCAAGCAGGTCCTACTTGTTGTCAGTATCAAAACCAAACCTTCAATAATAAACTTTACGGTTCTTTCTAACACATCGCCCTATTCTGCCTCCAGCCATTATTTTCTGGAATTCTTCTATCTACAAATTCTACATCACCCAGTTGCACAGTGACCCAACCCTTTCTTTCTCATGCTTCCCATGTCCTTGGGAAGGCCAGTCACTGTTTTACCCTCTCACACCTTGTCCATCATTTTTCCTAGTGTAAAATTCAATTTCTGTGCCACCCTTTCCAAACTAGAACCATGATTCTCCCATACATACAGACGGCCATGACCTAGACTTCTTCATCTACAGATAGACAACTGGGCTCCCATATTAAATGTGTGCCTCTGGATCTCTAGTGAATATGCTGACTCAAGATGACCAATATGGAAATTAATTAATTAGGGTCTTGTTGACAAGTTGGTTTGTAGTCTTACCTAACACACAGTTTTACACAGACTATGTGTGGCATTTGCTGAATGAATTAATGGATTAACTCTCACAGACAGTAAACCATTCTTGCTTCATTTTACTTTACGGACTGTGTGTAAGAAACCATATGCCTATATGTTTTCTTGAAATATATGATTTTCATGTATTTCTTGATACCTAGCAGGTATCCAGAATATTTTCAAAACAAAGTTTGAATGAAAGTACAGAGTCTAACTTGAATAATAAATGATTATCATTCTACAAAGAACTAGAAGGAATGAGCTAAAAATGTCCTTCAGAATACAGTAACACATAAAGGCCCACATGTGCATCCAGGAATACTTAGGCAAGCTACGGACGGACTACAAATGAGTAAGAATTGCTCAGAAATGGACAAGTACAAGTAAGGAAAGATGAGATGACAGCAGCAGTGTGATGCTTTTAGGATAAAACATAACAAGCTTTGAGATGGATTAAAGTCTTCAGATTTGGAGAACATGCATGTGAATACACACACACAAAGCACAAAGTCAACACAATGAGTGGAGTCTGGACCTGAACCAAGATCATGCCAGATTATTGGCTTTTCAAATTCTCAGATAGTACTCTTGAAACCTAACAAAAAAATTAAACACTATACCAAAAACTGCAATTTCCTTTTTTTGCGACTTAAAAGTAAAAAAAAAATCAGTTATTATATTATTTAAAACAACTCACTTAACAATTGTTTAATTAACCTGTTTCTGGAAAAAAAAAGGTAATTTAAAACCACTTTAGAGACTTTCATTATCAATATGGTTAGGTTACCTAAATTGACCCTCTTGCTAAAAACAACTGAAAATCCTAAAAACATATAACATCATTTTAGAAGCAATGATGAGTCTCGAGAAATTTCAAAGGATTGAAATCATAGTATGTTGCCCAACCATAGCAAATTAAACTATAAATCAATAACAAAGAGATAATTAGAAAATTCCCAAATGTTTGAAAATTTAGCAATATACTTCTAAATATCCCATGGGCCAAAGACTAAATTACAACAGAATTTAGAAAACATTTTGAACTGAACAGCAATGAAAACGCAATATACCAAAATATGTGGGCTCCAGCCAAAGCAAGCTTTAAAGGGAATTTTAGAGAGAAATTTACAGCTTCAAATATGCATATAAAAAGAAAGATTTAAAATCAATGATTTAAGCTTCCATCTTATGAAGCTAGAAGAACAGAAATTTATGAAGAACAGAAAATTAAACCCAGAAAAATAAAGTACTAAAAAAAGTCAGTAAGTATAGAAAGGAAATAATAAAGAGTGGAAATAAAATAGAAACACATACAACAGAGAAAAGTTGGTTCTTGGTAAATAAAGTTGATAACTCCTAGCCAAGATTGACTTTTGAAAAACAAAAACATAAGTTACCAATATTAGAAATGGAAAAGGTACATCACTACAGATCCTAAAGACATTAAACAGACGATTAATACATTATGAACAACTTTATGCCAGTGAAGTTGATAACTTAACTAAAATGAACAAATTCCTTGAAAAGCACAACACACCAAAACTGACACATGAAGAAATAAAAATAATTCTATATCATTTAAAGAACGAATCTATAACTTAAAGTCTTCCCTTAAAGAAAGTCCAGACCCAGATGACCTCACTGCTAAATTTTTCCAAGAATTTAAAGATGAAATAATACCAGTCTTACACAAACTCTTCTAGAAAATAAAAACAAAACATGTCCTCACATTATGAGGCAAGAATAACATAAATATCAATACCTGACAAAGACATTTCAAAGAAGAAAAATCACACGCCTCAATAAAATATTAGCAAATCAAGTCCAGTGGTACAAAGGATAAAATATCACAATCAAGTGTCCCCACAAGGTTGCTTTAATAATGAAAAAAATCAATTAATGTAATTTACAATCTTAAACAGAATAAAGGAAACACACATAAATCAACTCAATAGGTACAACAAAAACTAGAAAACTTCAAAACCCATTTAAGATAAAAATCTCCCAGCAAACCAGAAAGAAAATTTCATTAATTTGATAAAAGAATATCCATAGACTTCAGTGAACATCATACTTAATGGTAAAATATTAAACTTCTTCCTGTTGAGAAACGAGATAAGGATGTCCACTGTCACCACATCTTTCAACACTGTACTAGAGGTCCCAGCCAATGCAATAAGGCAAGAAAGGCAATTAAAAGGTATAAAGATTGGAGAGAAAAAAGTTAAACTGTCATTATTTGCAGGTGGCAAGACTGTGCATGCAGAATCTATAATTAGAACCTAATTATCAAAATCTATAATGAGGATTTAAGTGAATTTAGAAAGAATACAAGGTTAAATACATTGAATACAAGGCCAAAACAAAAGCAATAATGAGATCACCAGCAATTAATTATTAGGCAAGAGACCGAATGAAGATAGAAATCCAGAGGGGTAAGCAGAGCCCTGAGACTGATTTTAGGGCATTTGAAAACTTAAGGCCATGATGCTCTGAAAGCAACCTGAGCATCTGGTTGCTGAGACCTTCAAAGGGCATCTGGAATAGGAAAAAATGGCCACTATCTGCCCTGAGTGGGTAGAGTCTTCTATAAGAACCTCATAGAAGAACCAGAGAAGGCTACAACCTCAGTTTAAAAGTAAATAGAAATACACCACTTCCCCCCCCCACCACTCCACTCAGAAGCCTACAAGAAAAACTAGCTTATTCAAATCTTGACATTGAGAAGAAGGGAGGGAAAAAAGAAAAGCTGCTAAGGATATAGTCCAGTTTATACATTTTTTCCTTCTGGTTAGCAATTTTTGTGTCTTATTTAAGAAATCTTTGCCAACCCCAATATGAAGATATTTTGTCTTTTAAAACCTGTAAGGTGTTATCTTTTGCATTTAAAGTAATAATTCAACTAACTTTTTGGTAAAAGATCAGGTGAAGATTCATTTTATTCTATATTAATTTCCAAGTGACCCATAGCCATTTATTAAAAAGACCATCCTTTCCCTCACTGTACAGAAGAGTCATCTTTATCACTAATCTGGTGACCATGTATGTGTGGATCTCTTTCTAAACTCTAGTCTGTTCCATTAACCTATTTATCTATCCTTACGCCAATATCCCACTGTTTTACTTACCACAGCTTTAGCTTTATAATAAGCTACAGTCATGTAAAGTCCTCTATCTTTGGGGGTTTTCTTCAATATTGTCTTGGCTAATCTTAGACCCTTACTCTTCCAAATAAATTTTAGTATCAGCTTGTCAATTTTGACACATACATAAAACTAGCTGAGATTTTTGACTGGGATTATATTGAACCTATATCAATTGAAGACAACTGTCATCTTTACAATGAGTCTTTCAACCCATAAACATGATACATCCCTTCATATATTTAGATCTTTAATTTCTCTCAGTTTTCAATATAGAAGTCACATAACCTTCAGACTTATACCTATGTATTTGACTTTTTCTGATGCTACTCAAATAGATCTCAAGACACTATAAATAATTAAGCGCGGGAAATTTAAAAACACAAAAGAAAAGACATATTAAGAGACATGGAGAAGAGAATATAATGGTCTAACATCTGCAGAGTCCCAGAAAGAAAAATAACAGGAAGTGAGGTAGCAGCAATATCCAATGAGATAAATAGATGAGAATTTTCTAGAACTAACACATTCAAGCAAAACAAATGCAAAGAAATCCATCATAAGCATACCCTAGAAAAACCACAAAAAACAATTTAACAACAAAGATCTTAAAAGCAGCAATAAGGACATTATTTTCAAAGGAGTAAGAGTTATAATAGCAGGTGACATCTTATTGGCAATAACAATGGATACCATTTTCAATTCTGGGGGGGAAACTGCCAATACAAAATTGTATACCCATCAAAAATACAACCACAAGCTCGGAAAACTGGACAGCCACATGTAAAAGAATAAAAATTGACCATTCTTTTTCACCATTCACTAAAATAAACTCAAAATGGATTAAAGACCTAAAGATTAGGTCTGAAACAATAAGTCTTCTAGAAGAGAATATAGGCAGTACACTCTTTGACATCAGTTTCAAAAGAATCTTTTCAGACACCATAACCCCTCAGAAGAGGGAAACAATAGAAAGAATAAACAAATGGGACTTCATCAGACTAAGGAGCTTCTTCAAGGCAGGGGAAAACAGGATTGAAACAAAAAAACAGCCCACTAATTGGGAAAAAATATTTACAAGTTATTTATCTGACAAAGGGTTAATCTCCATAATATATAAAGAAATCACACAGCTCAAAAATCAGACAACCCAATCAAAAAATGGGCAGGGGACATGAACAGACATTTCTCCAAAGAAGATATATGGATGGCCAATAGACACATGAAAAGATGCTCATCATCACTAATCATCAGGGAAATGCAAATGAAAACTACACTAAGATATCACCTTACACCTGTTAGAATGGCAAAAATATCCAAAACCAAGAGTGACAAATGTTGGAGAGGCTGTGGAGAAAAAGGAACCCTCATACACTGTTGGTGGGAATGCAAACTGGTGCAGCCACTATGGAAAACAGTATGGAGATTCCTCAAAAAGTTAAGAATAGAAATACCTTATGACCCAGCCATCCCACTACTGGGTATCTATCCTAAGAACCTGAAATCAGCAATTCCAAAAGTCCCATGCACCCCTATGTTCATCGCAGCATTATTCACAATAGCCAAGTCATGGAACCAACCTGAGTGCCCAGCAACTGATGATTGGATAAAGAAGATATGGGATGTGTGCGTGTGTGTGTGTGTGTATATATATATATAGTGTGTGTGTGTACGTACACACACACACACTCACACACACACACACACATACACACACAATGGAATACTACTCAGCCGTAAAAAAGGACAAAGTCGTCCCATTCAAAACAACATGGATGGACCTTGAGGGTATTATGTTGAGTGAAATAAGCCAGGCAGAGAAAGACGAACTCTGTATGACTCCACTCACAGGTGGTAGTTAACATATAGACAAAGAGAACTGATCGGTGGTTACCAGGGGAAAGGGGGGGTGGGGGAGGGCACTAAGGGTGAAGTGGTGTACCTACAACATGACTAATAATAACGTACAACTGTAATTTCACAAGGTTGTTAACTATCATAATCTTTTTTTTTTTTTTATTTTTTTTAAAGATTTTATTTTTTCCTTTTTCTCCCCAAAGCCCCCCGGTACATAGTTGTGTATTCTTCGTTGTGGGTTCCTCTAGTTGTGGCATGTGGGACGCTGCCTCAGCGTGGTCTGACGAGCAGTGCCATGTCCGCGCCCAGGATTCGAACCGACGAAACACTGGGCCGCCTGCAGCGGAGCGCGCGAACTTAACCACTCGGCCACGGGGCCAGCCCCTATCATAATCTTAATTAAAAGAAAAAACACATTCACAAAATGTGAGCTAAATAAAGACATTTCCAGACTCACAAAATCTGAGATTTTGTAACCAGGGGACCTCCCTAATGATGGAAAATTTAAATGACATACTTCAAAAAGAAAATGATCCTAGACAGAAGGTCTGAGATGCACAAAGAAATGTTGGGCACAGAAAGTGGTAAACATATGGGTAAATCTAACAAACACTGACCACCGAAACTGTACAAAACAGTAAAAATATCTTGAAAGCTTTGAAAAGACTTTTTTTTTTTTTTTTTGGAGGAAGATTAGTCCTGAGCTACCATCTGCTGCCAATCCACCTCTTTTTGGTGAGAAAGACTGGCCCTGAGCCAACATCCGTGCCCATCTTCCTCTGCTTTATATGTGGGATGCCAACCACAGCATGGCTTGCCAAGCGGTGCCATGTCCACACCTGGGATCTGAACCAGTGAAACCCGGGCTGCCAAAGCGGAATGTGCAAACTTAACCATTGCGCCACCAGGCCAGCCAGCCCCCCATACAGACATTTTTAAAAAAATGAAAACAGGGGCCAGCCCGGTGGCCCAGCGGTTAAGTTTGCACGTTCCACTTCGGTGGCCCAGGGTTCGTTGGTTCAGATCCCAGGTGCGGACATGGCACCGCTTCGCAAGCCATGCTGTGGTAGGCGTCCCACATATAAAGCAGAAGAAGATGGGCACGGATGATAGCTCAGGGCCAGTCTTTCTCACCAAAGAGAGGTGGATTGGCAGCAGATGGTAGCTCAGGGCTAATCTTCCTAAAAAAAAAATGAAAACATAAAAATAATAACTTAAATTGATAAGGAGGAGTAAAGTCTTCTAAGGTCCTGATAATATTCAGAAAGAAGTTACAGCTATTAGTTAACTTTAGTTTTGGATAAGTATGCATGTTGAAAGGATTAGTATAACTACTAAAAGATTAGAAACAAAGTGAACAACTTCCAAACTTACAGGGTTGGGGGAGAGGGAAAAAAGGAATAAAAAGTAAATCAATCCAAAAGAGGGCTACAAAGAAGATAAAAAATAAACACAGAAATGGGCAGAACAAGTTAAGAAGCACAAAGTAAATGGTATGCATAGATTTAAATATATCAGTAATTAACACCAACTATACATCAACTTAACTGATTCAATTAAAAAGCAAAGGTAGACTAGATTAAAAATATTTTTGAAAACAAATTTCAAAGAACCAGAAATCACAAAGACCATATTATCTCAATTCATGGATTTACCTAGAAACCCATTAACAGAAAAGGGGAAAAAAAAAAGATTAAGTAGAAAACCCTTCTAAGTTAAGAAATTAAAAAACGAACTCCATCAAAACATCATCAGTTTACCGAGCCAGAGGTCACTTTCATCAAAGAGATGAAGCAAGAGGCTCAGTGGAGGTGGGCGGACACAGGGAACAGAGGGGACTCTGACGCCTGGCTGCTCCAGTGACTTTTTCTTCTCACGGAAATCACTCAGTTCAAAATACTGACTTGTTATTTCTGCACTAATGTGATAACTGGGGGCCTCAACAAATTCAACAAACTTTATATCACAAGTGTATTCTTGGGTTTTTCTTCTTCTTCCTCTTCTACTTCTCTAGTCACCTTTTGGTTGAGAATACATTCACTCCAATCCTCCACCAACCTCCACCAGAGTTTCCGGAGGGGATAGATTAGATTTTATTGATTACTGTCAATTTGTCAAACACCCCACCACTGGTATGTCTAAACATAAACACATATTTGCCTAGAAATGTGTCTGTCTTATTTCTCCGTTGCCTTATGAACAGGCTGAGCAAGGAGTTATGTCTAGTATATACTTAATAATTATCACTGTTGAGCCTAGAACAATGCCATTTATAAAGAGAATGCTATAGAATGAGTTTATGGCTAATCCTGAAACAAGAAAAACTTGAGTAAGGAAGATACATGTTTTTATCTTTATAGTTACTAAGGGGTATAGGGAGGCCTTCACAGAAAAACCACTTTCTATTCTCTCTGCAACTGATTTGATGTAATTCTAATTAGGACAAAGAAGATAAATCTAGAAAACTTCCTAAGATTTTAAACTGTTTCATGAGTTTACTACCTTTATATTTCAAAAGAAATATACTGTTATCACTACTCTACCTCCCGCAACTGATCCATCATTCTGTTCCTGAAATATCCTCTAGGAAAGCGTCTTGACCGAGGATAACTGGGTCCTGACCTGTTGCTGGCGTGGACATCTCCTTCTCCTTCCCCTTCTCCTTCTCCCTCGGAGCCATCTCCTTCCTGGTGTCCAGTGGTGGTGCTGATGGCACCAGTGCTTGAGCTGACACTTCCTGGTCCAGCCGGATGTCCCTCTGCTGTGGCATCACCATAAGCACTGCTCCGGCCAGATACTAGGGGGAAATGGTTTAAAAAATGCAAATCAATTCCCAAAACACAATGGAATCTGAAGTCAGCAATAGTTAGATGATGAGCGATACCTTCAGGTATTTTTTCTTCTGTGTGAAGCTAACTAAGAATTGAACTCATGATTTTGGTCCCACAGCACTATCCTAAATGAATGACTCTCAGGGCAGCCATTCATCCTTCTACAGAACACAAGATCCACCTACAAGAATGATCTTTTAATCTCAGCTGCTGATAAATTTCCATCTCAAATTCCAAAGGAAATGTACACTGATTTGAGAATCTAGAAATTATCAGCTACTCTTAATCTCCTCCATAGAAAATTTTCATATCCAATTTTTAACCACAGACTAATTTATAAGATCAAACAAAAATGGTTTTGTCATGCTTCCTCATTCTAGAGCCCCATCCTATAAGCTAGTACACTGTGAAGATGGCCTGCTATATTAACACATCAGATCATTAATAGGATTGCCAAAAAATCTTCCCCCAATAGAAAAACCAAAACCACAGTATGATGGATTTCAAGGTTATACCATCACTGTTTTAGATTAAGCATGATTTGGGATTACGCATGTCACTGCTTTCTTCTACTAAGAGAAAATTAAAAGCTGTCTGTAAAACCTTTCAATAGTAACTTCACTGAGCTTAAGCTATTATCACTGAACATCAGAAACTCCAGGGGTGAGGCTGAATGAATTCCATAAGGCTTTCAATGAGTCCTCAAAGTTTCCCTTTGCTGAAACCAATCCCAAGACCCAGGCAGGTCCCCACCCTCTGCCCAAGGAGATCAGGACCCCTAGCCACATTACCACTGTGCTCGCCAGCCACTGAGTCCACTGCACTTCCCCCGCTCTCCGAGCCCACACTACCACCATGGTCAGCAGGAGAGGTCCGAAGGGTGGAACCATCAGTCGCTGCTGTGCTGCCCTCGTCGTCTGAGGCTGGAGCTGAGAGAGTAACGAGAGCTGTTACAGGTAAAAACCCCTCCTTGGGGCAAAAGCATCACACCACATAGTGCAGAGGACACAATGCAGTCTATATGTCCTGTCATCAAAGAAGAAAGGGAAAGATTTGCTTTGCCGGTTAATCACTAACAGGAACAAACACTGGAACACGGTGCATTGCAAACAGTACTCAGACAGAAGTGAAAACCCAGTTCACTGGGCATTTCCTTCGCTATGACATTACAGTGCAAGTAGGACAGTGCAGAGATTCAGTAAGAATCCGTGACATGGACACTCAGTTTTCTAGCTAAAATGCTTCACGGTCACCATCGTGTAGGTGTTACTGACACCTGCTGAGATTGGAAACTAGCCATTACCATTCAAAGTATAACTCTCAATTTTAATGATTTATTTTATAATCAGTCAATTCGTGCTTATTGTTAGGAAATCAGTTATCACGAGCTCTTGAATCAATCGTTTGGTTTTTTTTTTAATCAGGTGGTTTAGAGGGGAACTCACTGGGAAATTTCACACCTCCTAACCATCCTCATCAGATGCTAATTATAAAGCAAGGAAATTCCCCAGAGACAGCCACAGCATCCAGGATCAGGGCTGAGCTGAGACAGGAGGAAAATGCTGGATGAGATACATGGGGGAGGAAAGCCAAGACAGCTACAGAGCACAGGAGGAACACAACTGGCACAGCACAAGAGCAACCTCAAAGCCTGAAATGAGAGCAACTAAAGAGACCTATGAAAAGCAACAAGCCAAGGCAGCAGGTGAGAGGGGCCAGCCAATTTCTCCCTTTTTTAATCTATCCAGGGTAAAACTCCCAAAAGAAAACAAACAAACAAATACAAGAAAGCGTCAGTCTGAAAAACTCTAAATCAACCCTTCAATTACTCAAGGGTTAGTTTTCCAGTGGATTGTTCAGGTGTGCCATCCTCCTCTATTTGGTCCAACTCTCCACTCAGAAAGTATTTTATTTTTTATCAGATTAGGAAAGAGATCGAAAGTAAAGACAATGAGGTCTGAAGACGTATCAGGCATCTGCATTGTCCACAAAAACCCTGTCTCCCAAGCTCACAGACCCCTGACGTTTAGCCACATCGACTGTTCTGAACCACAACTCAGATTCTTGCAGCTTCACTTTGATTTGCAAATGAAGGAAAAAAGTTAAAAGGTGTAAGCTCTATTTCTTATCTCCCTTTTAATACTGTCTAAAATGTTACAACTCTGGTGAAGCCCTGAGAGCTGCAATTTAAGCCCTAAAGCTGATCAATCTGCAAGCTGCTCTCTTGGCCTTTCCTCGGGGAATTAGCTGAAGCCAGGCAGCATGCAAAGTGTAGGGAAGCAGAGCCATGAGCACCTTTGCCGAGCTGCATCACTATGCCTTCCATACCTGTATTTCTAAAGCAAAGGCAGAAGCAGGAAGTCCAGAATGGCCTGTCAAAGCAGCTGCCCATTACACTCTCACAGCACTGGAAACAAGGCCTGAGGGTCCTGGGGCCCTGAGCCGTGCTCCTTGCTGTGGACAGTTACCTGATGCTGTGGTGTCAGAGAGGGTTCCTGCGTCCAGAGAGGAAGAGCTGGGTGCCTGGCCGGACAGCCCCAGGCTCTGCAGGCCCAGGGCACTGCTGCTGCTGCCTGGGAAACAAGTGGAGAGTGAGCACAACATCCCCTCCAGACCCCATCCACAATGCTGCTTTGGCCACCTGCTGCCCTCAGGAGTCTAAACTCACCAGCATGTGACCCCCTTTGGCCTAGAGGAAGTTAATCAACAGCCATTGCTGTCCACCCACCAAGTTTGGTCACAGAGATGGTGAAAGGCTTCCTTTAGCTCAGGCAGGACACAGGCTGGAGGAATCTAACAGATTTGGGAGGAAATAATCCAAAAGACCAAACTAACAGAAACTATGAGATTGGCTCCAAGACTGAAAATCCCACCACAATCTCTCTCACTCTCCACCTGTACCTCTGAACAGCTCTCACCCAGATCAACCTCTCCCCAAATCTGGGGACAAGCTAAGTCAGCCAGATATCAGTAACTGCCAAACCCTCTTTTCTGTGCAAGCCCAATGGGCTGCTGTGTTCCTGGCATTTCCTTCTACCTTGTTGGTCCTGCTGCAGGCTCAGGGCAATGGCTAGTTCAACCATGGTCTCGTCATCTGCATCAGGCGGGATGTCCAGCATGGGGGGGAAGCCCTCTGCGCCTGCCAGCAGGGCCTCCAGGGGAGAGGGGTTGCCATTGTTGACATTTTCAGCTGTCTCCAGGACCATCGACTCAGACTGCAGAGAGAAAGCTCTGTCAGTGTCCCGTGGTAAATGGTAGCTGTTGGAAGTCCACTGAAGAAGAGCTAGAGGAGAGTTCTGAGGATCCTCCTCCCTCTCCTGCTGCCAGAGACTCACCACCATCTCAAAATCTCCATGGTCCACCTCACTCTGTTCCTGGCTTTCCTGACGGATGTGACCACCATTTGGGATCCCTGATGACTGCATTTTCTCATCTGCATCATCATCGTCATCATCATCTTTGTCTCCTGAGTCAAAGAAACCCCAGTCACCTGACGGTGCTTGCTCTTTCCTCCTTTGGCATGTGGCATAAGTCAACATAGCAAACAAAAACCCAAGACAAGCTACCAACTAGCATCCTGTGCTTTAGAGGTGAACTCCAGGGTGCTGTGCCTGGCCTTATTCTCTTGTTTCCTGGACCTGACAGGATCTGGGAAGATGGGGTTGGCAGTGACAGCTTGCCCCACTGAGAAAAAGACTTTTCCAGCTGATGAAGGTTAAAAAAAAAAAAACCTTGGATTCCAAAGGGATTTCCATAAAGCAGAGAAATCTAAGACCAGTATGCCCCATGAGCTCTCATCAACTCTCAGGAGACCCTGGGCAAGACAGGAAAATAATATAATCAAGATGTTTATTGGTTATCTGTCACGGCAGCTTAGAGCGTTATTTTACTATTTTTTCCCAAAATAACTGGGTCAGTGAGATTTTTTTCATACTACATAGTCATCATGAGAAGAACCAGAATTGAAATGTAAAATCATCGACCGGAAGCTGAGGACACCACTACAGGTTCTGTCCAGGCCAGCTTCTGTGTGATGAGAAGGTAGAAGTCCTTCTTCTTCTAACAAGGTAGAAGTCCAGGTGAGACTGCTAATTGTCAGAAGAGGATGGAGACCTTGCCTTCCACTCGATGGCCTGTGAAAGTACGTGAATATGGCCTTGATTGGAAACAAACTATCTGCATTCTAGCTTCTCACCAGAGAAAACGTGCACAAACTGTTGCTTAGCTCATCAAAGCTTAGATAAGATAAACGATACTCAAGGAAGACTGTCTGAAGGTCACAAAGTTGCATACATTCCTCTAGACTTAGGCTGTACCACACAGCAGCCATTAGCCACACACGGCTGCTGAGCACTTAAAATGTGGCCAGTCCAGATGGAGACGCGAAGTGTGTATGTACTACACACTTGATTTTTAAGACAGTACAAAAAATTTTTTAAAGAATGCAGAGTTTTTCACTAATAATTTTTTATATTGACTACATGTTGAAATATTATTTTTGATATACTGGATTAAATTAATTATTAGTAAGTTAATTTCAAATACTTCTTTGTACTAATTATAAAATGTGGGAACAAATAAAAAATTTTAAATTATGTAGGTCACTTTCATTGGGAATTTACTTCTGAGCCAAACCAAGTAACCAGAGAGTTACATAATGTAATAACTGTGTATAATTGTATATCACTTTGTAGAATTGCTTTTACTAGGCTGTTAAATGTTACCTCTTGACTTGTGTCCAAGTGTATCATGAGGGAAATCTCTCGTGAAATTTGCTATCACTTACTGTCAGTAAGTCTGCTGTGGATACTACCCCTTAGGCAACAAGAGAGACCCTTAACAAAGAGCTTTTACGCCAGGAAAAGTATATTTTTCCTGAAAATTGATTTTTTGTCTTTAGCCACTGTGATTCTTGTTAACTGTTCTTATTTTATTTTTGCTATGGTTCTTAGGAAGCTTTCAGCCAAATATAAGACCTTCTCCTAATCACCGCACAGGACCTCGTGATGTGGATTTTTTGCATCCTTGGCTTGGTTTTACTATTGTACCTTTATTTTCCTATGGCCTTGATTTTATTTTCATCCTATTTACTGTATGCATTTTTATATGGCACCTGAAAGTCTTCAGGAGAGAAGGTAGGGTAAAACAAGAGCTATGTACACAAAGTCTCCAGGACCTTGGTAAACACGAGCAGCACAGCCTAACCCTGTACCCCTCATCCTCCTCTCCCCACCAAATGTGCACAAGCCTAACCCCAGACTTCACATTACCCATTGGAGTGTTGCTTCGAGGGGAGGAGGGCAATGTCACGTGTCTCCGCTTGTTCCTGGGCCTTAGGACTCGAATTAGAGCTTGTTTACAAGAGAAGCTCACGGCAGGATCCTGAGGTTGGAAAGGAGACTGTCATGCTTAGGTTTTATATCATTCATGAAACTGTCTATAAAGCACTTCCCTTTTTGGCCAATCACTTACATGGATCTGGAGTATCTACCTACTCTCACCTGCAACCCTGCTGACCAAGTTCAACGGTTAATCCCATTTCCTGACCTGGTATATGTAAGACCCATTCGCTACATTCCTGTCTCTCAGTTCCCAGTAATAGACTGGCAGGTCATTTGCTCCTGAAGTCACTTTGGCTCTCTACAACTGGGTTCTGGCTTATAATCAGGCTCATCTTAGCTCTGTGCTAAAATCAGTACTTCTAACACTTAGCTTCTATGACAGAGTCAATGGAAATAGATCTTCATGATGTTCATTCATGTGTTCATTTAATTAGTACTTACTCAGCACCATGTAGCAACCACTAGTATATTCCCTGGGGATTCAGCACTGAACAAGAAGAACCAAGCCCATCCCTTTTTCAAACCTTTCTTTTCCATGAAATGAGTAAGATCTTAAAGCTCTTACTGATACTCAAAACTCTTAATTCCCATTATCTTCGTTTGTTTTATTTAATTAGTTAGCAAACTTATAAAAAAATTTCTAGACATTCTCAGACTGACAAGGGATATCTGGGGCTGTAATGATACATACAGGACATAGCAGCATCTGCATGTAGATCTTGGATGCTGTATTAATACAGTCCAGCTCACAGGTACAGTAGCCATGGATAATGTCCACCAGAGCATTGACGGTAGCTTCAATATGAGTTAGGCCTGAAGGGGAGAAAAATACGGTGGAAGAAAATCCTAACTACTTGAGAGCCTAAGACAAAAGCACAAATTCCTATCCCCTCATAAAGGTCATGCTAACCAAAAAAATCACAAGTACACACGTAGCAAAATAAATAAAACACATGACCTTGACGTGCCTTTTAAGTTTACTGCTCAAGCAACCTCCAAACCTAATGAGCACCAGGGTCGTTCTACTTTTCTAGATTGCTATTCAGATGCTTACTCTTCCATCTAAACTTCGGATAGTGTGCGAAGTTAGTTAGATACCAAAGGCAGCGGCAGCTTAGAAATAAAATAATTCTCAAGGCTGATACTTAACTTTTATCTTTTGAATTGGCTTTGAATCAGGCTTTCAAAGATTTTTTTAAAACAAGTCAAATATCACTAAGACGCGCGCGCACACACAGACACACACACACAGTGTCTCTTTACATGTGAAAAATTCAACCCGACATGAAGAGAGAGAAGAAAATCCCACTTCTCTGCCACACGGCTAAATTCCTGTATCAGGAACAATGCACTGATCTCACAGACTTCTATTTCCTAACTATTATTTCCGGAATAAATGGATGATAAGGCTAATAAAAGCTAGGGGTTTGATCTGTTCAAAGACAACTTACATCAGGCTTCGCTCTCTATCAAGATTCAAGTATCCCTTTTAACACGATACCTGGCAGGCAGGCGGGTGCCAAGAAGGCGTTCTTGGGTTTGGATGCATGGAGTTTCCAGAAGTGGTTCACCAGCTGGGTGATGAAACTACAGCAGTCTCCTTCCAACTGCTTCTGAGGTTCTCTCCCCTCATCCACTCCTTCTAATCAGGAGAAGAAAAATTATTAACGACGGTAAATCTGAGATGGAAATTTAATTTGTTTTAAGGTTAACTCAGGTCAAGGAAGCTTGCCTGGGGAGGGAGTTTCAAGTGGGGCCCCAATCAATATGCCAACTATCCCTAGACTCCAGCAGGCACATCTAGGAAGAAAACAGTCTGGGAAGGAATATCACAGAAAACATCGTATGTTAGAGTTAAGTAGCAGGGGGAGCATTCAGGGTCTTCACAGCAGATTCAGAGATCTCAGGCCCAGCTGTTCAACTTCTAAAAGCTAGGGGAACACCTGAGACTTTCTAGAATGATTCCTAGATTAAAATAATAGAAGGAGTAACAAGATGATGACAGCATTTTGGGAGCATGTAAATAACAGAACTGCAGAGGCATCACTAAGCTGTATTTGACAAAGGCAAAGCAAGTTCGATGACCCCCAACACGAGGAGAGAGGAAGAAAACACAATCGAGCCCTGCTCCAGACTCTACCCACATTCATCAGATAGCGGTGAAAGAACAGCCTGAAAGCAAAGGCTGTGACCCCATTACTTTAAAGCAACCAGGGCCCGACCTTAACTTGACCCTGAAGATTAGACGAGGTAGTAACGTCAGAGACAGATTATATCTGATGTCCAGAGCACTAAATAAATGCAAGAATAATCTAAGGGGTAAGCACTGGAAAGGGTAATTACTCAAAGAGGTACAATCCTAATGTCAAAAGCCCTACAAGGCACAAAGAAAAGAGAGTAAAATCCCTGTCTCGGAGCAAGAAGTCAGTCAGAGGCCAGTGAGAACAGTAAGAGGACGAGAGGGTGAGAAGGTATATTAAGCAGATTTCAGGACCACGGCCACATAGGCCAAGTTCACCTGTTTCCATCTGGGGCAGCTTTGACTCCGTAAAGTGGACAAGGTTGTTAGGGCGCATGATGGCAATAGAGCGAGCTGTGATCACCAGCCTCTGGAAGACCTCGGGGTCCAAATCCTTGCCTTCTTTGCTGGATGTGTTGAGACACTGCACAGCTTTGCTCAGCAAGGCCTGATCCTAGAACAAAAGGATCACAGAGGATGAACCAAAAGCAAGGGCTGGGTACTAAAGCAATGAGGGGAGGAAAGCTGGCAGATCGTCAGGACAGCCATGTCCTCCCAACACGACAGCTTAATTACCAACTATCTGGAACAAATCTTCAAGACAGCCCAGCACAGGTAAACGTCTTAACACACAAAATGCTAAAGGCACACACACAAAAAATCAAAAGCCGTGAAATCAATATCAAAGTATGATAGGAAAGCTAGAAACCACCGGATCCTCCAGAACTGCAACATCCAAGATCTCTTTCCTACAGTAGAAGAGTCACTTCCTTACAAGTTCACGTCGCCGAAAGGTTGTGTTTCCACAACTGCCTCCTTTAGAGGTTCAGCAGGTTAAACTCACCCTTTTCTATTCTCTGGGTTGGGGGCACAAAAGCTAACCAAGTCATCTGGGCTGCTGGCTTCTTCCTCATGGATCTGAACTGTCATCTTCTCCATGTGCAGAAACTGGTCTAACTTACTGCCTTCGACCGCTACTTACTTTTACAGGTGAGATGCCCCCTCACCAGATTTCCCCCTCAGTCTCTCCACAACCATCCATGTCCTCATAAGCAAGTCCACCTAACTTAGGGTTGTGCTGCAGCTGAAGGAGTGAAGACCGCAGCAGTCCTGATCTCCTGACTGGTTCCCCTCCCCTCGCTCTTTTCCACAGGAGCCACTCACTCTCAAACGTCCTTCCCCTCTTTCTTAAATTTGTTCGTCCTATTAGAATGACAGAAAAAAATATATGCAAACCAGGTGCCCTTTAGTTGGCTTGTCCCCAGTTTTGAGTGAGCTCGTTAATTTCTCAGGAGAAACCTGAGACTGTGGGTGGACTCTTCAGTGCTGTCCTTTCCCCACCTGACTTCACTATGCCCCTGCTTTACATATGAAAGCCAACTGACTTGATTCCCTGTCAGCAACACAGCTTCCACTTCTACAGAAGGCATCCCGGAGAGGGAACAATTACCTTGTGGCTGTGGTAGGCCGAGCGGCTGGTGTGCAGGCTGGCCAGAAGGCTCTTGGACTGCTGCTGGACACTGGCAGGTGCTGGCAGGGATAGCAGCAAAGTGGCCAGCTCCTGAGCTGCATTCTTGTTTCTCTCCTGATGCAGAACACAGCAGAGTTATCACTAACCCCGCCTAATCCATGCAGAATGACCTGTCTACACTCTGCCCTCCCCCTTCCTCCCTTCTAAGCTACCAGGGCTAAGTGATGCTCCATAGACTGCAAAGAGCAAAATGAAGAATTTCAGAAATTGTACTCCCCCCACAACAGAGGTACAGAAACGGAGTCCCAGCTCATGACTCCCAGAACAGCGTTCTTTTACCAGCACTCATCCTAGTCTATGAAACACTCTCACTATGGGTCTCCCCAAAACAGGACATAAGGCCTTAAGCTGAAGACTTTTCTGGAGTGTCTTTGCAAATCAAGATTATGCTATAAATGTTCTTGAACTGTGAGCACTCGGGACCTCTGACAGCTTCACTGACTTCTTGCCTCTTCAGAAAGTTCCCGCCAACTTTGAAAAACTAACTTGCCTTTTCGATGATTGGGCCGACAGCAAAGCAGCTTTCCAGGGCTTCTAAAGAACTCACAACCAGCCTAGGGAGACAGAAAGCTGGCTTGAGTACAATAAGAATCCTTCTCTCCACCTTGTGCATTAGCCTATGCAAACTATAGTCGTGAGGACCTTGGGGACAGCTAATGAATGCCAAATACAAAATCAAAGCACAATAAGACCTGCCACAGGCACCATGCATATCATTCCCTCGTGTTACAGGCCAGAAGAAACCTGGCGCCTGCTTGGAGATCAACCTGAGGCCATGTTCATAATCCATAACTCAAAGACAGGGCTTTTCTTCCTCAAAGAGGATAAACGTGCTTCCTTCTGCTGCCTGTGGCAGGGATCACTGAGATGGGCTTAACAGTCTTGATGCAATGGGACCAGAAGCTCAGGTGCCCATGGATCAGTAGGCAAAGGGATACACGACGGGAAAGGTTAAAGCCATCTTCCTACACTGAGAAGGTTATATTTTATTTATACCTCCAAGAAAATGCACAAAGGCACTTCCTATGAGTCTCTAAGTATGGGGAAGAGAACAAACTGTATTTTCAGGAGCATGCCAACTACCAACATTCAGAGTGCCACAAAGCACCCTTAGAAAATGGAGCAACTTTCTCTTAGGGAAGGAACAGGAAACCCAACTGTTCAAGGGTACAAACAACATGCTCCCCAGGGCTTACTCCTGTGAGTTTAATATGGCATGATAAAAGACCAACATCCTGATGGCTGAAGCTCTGGACAGAGAGGGAAAAGTAACGAGAAGGCAGCTGGAGAGAAAGAGGTCAAGGGGCAGAGGAAGGCAATAAAGAGCCAGGGAAGAGGGACTTGAGGCATGGGACCACGTTAGACAGAACAAGCTCTCTGGCGGCTTAACAGACGGAAGGACATTTCTGTTGTCCCACCGCCCCCAACCCCTTCTCATCCATGGTAGAGGGGGCAGAGAGGAAAGGGGTAAGGAAGAGAAAGCTAAGAGAGTTTGAAGCAGCCAACACCAAGTGCGCACATCCAACCCTCCGCATACTCCACTTTAGACACAGGAGAGCTCTGCAGCCATGCAATGACCAGAACAGAAAGAAGCAGGACTCTTCCACAGAAGCAGGCTCAACGCAAAGCCACACCATTGGTTACACTGCTCTCTGACACACACTCACTCGTGCAGAGAAAAGAGAGAGAGGGCATACTAACCGGTCCAGCTTGGTTAGGGACTCAGTTTCAGAACTTGGGGGAGAAGCAAAGAAAAAAAAAGGAAAAAAATGTGAAGCTCAGAGAAACCTGGAAATACATCCTAAGCAAACAATATGAGAATAAGGTAGGGGAAAAAAAGAAAAAGAGAGAGAGATAAGGGAAGGGGGAAGGCTGTGGTGGGAGGCAGTGATTCCAAGCCAGGCTATTCTTATGACTTACAATGTAAGAAACTCAAAATCTTACATCATGAGTTACTTCATCTACCATGGCATACCAGCAGCTACCTAGCACAAAGAAGCCAAGCGCAATGCCTAAGAAGGCCACTGGAGGGAGCCTTAGAAGGCTCTGAACTCTGCTACCAGACGGAGCAGACGGCCTCCTGCTAGCAGTGTTATTACCACATAAGTAGCTGCTGCAGAGAAAGATGAGAAGACGATGAAATCAGAATGAAACGGAAGATTTTTCCCTAAAATTTCAGCAAGACTGGATTCTAATCTATAATAGTGGCTTAAGCATCTTCTAGTCAGCAGTCTCCGCTACTCCAAAGGGTACCTAACGTTAAAGAGAAGGCACAGAAGCCCCCGGGCAGAGACTGGAGTCAGACGGCTCTGAGCTCACTTTCAGGCTTGTCTGCACACTAAGGAGACACTGAGTGCAGGGAGTTGTGTGAAAATTTGAAAATCACAGGCTAGACTGGGGACAGTTATTAGAGGCTGACTCTCTCAAGACACAGGTTCTGCAGGGAAAGTGAAAAATGGCGAGAACTGAAGCCAACCCCTGCCAGTGCTGATACCTCTCCAGGACAGTTCCACTGGTGGTAGTAGGGGCAGCTGAGTCACTGTCTCCAGTGCCATTGCTCTGGTTCAGGTTTGAAGGACAGATGTTGCTGACGGAGGCAGAAGGAAATTCTTCTGGAGGCTCATCAGGCCAGCCAAACTGCTCCTTAGTCTTGCCATAAATTTTTACAGCATCGATCATAGTGACACCTGCTGGATCCACCGAGGCCCCGACTGCAATAAACAAGAGAGGCCTTTAGGATGCACGTTCTCTAAAGGGCTAACACCACCATTCCAAAGCAAAGACCAGACTAGTTTGGGCAAAGTAGCAAATCACATCAATTTTAGAGTCATAAAGGGACTTTATCTCCTGAGACTTCAGCGGCACCTTTGATCATGTATAGATGCTGAGTATGCGTAGAAACAGTTCCATGGACCAAAAGCCTAGGAAGTCCCCACCTCAGAAGAAGAGTCCCTAACATCACTGCAAGAATCTACCTGTGCTAACTCCTGTCCCCCACCCACAGGGATCTCTAAGCACTCCCTTTGTTCAAAGCACAGATCACAGTCATTCACACTAACAGCAATTATTTCTCAGAGAAAGAATATCAGATAGGTGGCCAGTGAATGGTAGAAAAAGATGCCAGCCTTATGAAAGGCTCAGGGATTTGTACTCTGAGGGTTTAAAGTTTTTAACACCATGGCAAGGCAAGGCATTGCTGAACACCTCTCAGCGACCTGTGACCTGAGGCCCTCCCCTGCGCTTTAAGAAAGCCTTGAGATTTCACATGCTAATCTTGCTGCCTCTTTGCCTGAACATGCAGGCAGCCCCATCAGCAAGGCTGACCCAGCCCTGCAGAAGTGAACACTGAAGCAGAGGTTTACCCTAGCTTTACCCCTCCCATTCTCCAGTGGATCCCCTTCCTGTCACCTTGCCTCATTTACATCTCAAATGAAGCTCACAGTGGCATGATGGCAAAGAACACAGAAGTATCAGTAGAGGAGAGGGTTCCAGAACACTGGAGAGCCACAGAGAAGTGGCTCCCAAGTCAGCAGTCATAATGAGAAGGATACAGTCAGTGCCAGGGGCCGGTGACTCACTGAAGAGGTTCAGTTTCTTATCAGCCTGCAGGGCTTCTTCTCTGGTGAAGGGGAAGTCAAACCAGCGTGAGCGACTCAGGTTAAGCTGCATAGTCCTCCCAAAGATCTCAATATAAGATGGGGCCCGTTCAATTGCCTGGGTCCCAATCTGGATCCGCATGCCTGTCATCACCATAGTGCTGTTGTTGTTAGTAATCTCAATGGTGAAGCCACCGGGCTGTAGGAAGTGAAGGCACACATCAGAAAATGAGTATGAGCTCTTCCTTACACACCTGTAGTACTTCCTCTGACAGTGACTCAGTATGGGATCCCAGACAAGACCTTTATCCTGTTAACTCCCGAGTAAGGACTTCCTTACTTCCAAGGACAGGAAAATAGAGGCAGGGGGTAGACGCCCCTCAATTTCAGGCTTCTCTCTCCCCAGTATTAACCCCCTCCTGCTGCCTTCTGCACAGTAACCCTGCTGGTAACATTAGAATGGAAGCCTTCCTGCATAAAAGTGAAAATATTCATTTATCCCAAGGACCACTTAGCTACAATCAGGCTTAGTGACTGTGAGTATATACTTCGTACTTGCATGCTGAAAGGAGATGTGTTCTTAAACCCTACTGTGTATGAGTCCTTCTACCCAGGGAAGGACCCAGCCTACTCCAGTCCTCACCTTGGTGTTGGCCACATACATGCCAGTGGAATTCAGCCGGTGCTTTATCTGTTGTGCATTGTAGACCTGCAGGAGGTCATTACCACCAAACTCCACATCTGTCAGCTGCTGGTTGTGTTCAAAGAAGTCAATGGGGAAGGTCACCTGGCTAGATGTGCGGGTTGCTGTGGAGAGCAGCACCAGGTTGCCAGAGAGCATCAGCAAGTATACTGTCTACCACCTCTGCACCCACGCCACAGGTAAAGACCCCTCCCAGACTGCGCCCACACTCACACACACCAATCTCTCTAGGCAAACTCTGGATTATAATCTTTGCATCATACTCATGCCTACACGTGGTTAGCTGTCCAACAGTCATTATCCCTAACCACAACATGACCTAGCAGGACAAAGAAATCTGATGTTGGTGTGGGGTACAGTTAATAACAATAGGCTCTCTCATAGCTTCAAACAAGGTCCAAGAGATAATTCTTTACTGGGCACCTAAGAACTGCGGACCTGAACTAGGGAGCCAATGGGAGCTTGTCATTTGTATGACGTGTCTCTAAAAGCCACACAGAACACTGGTGGCCTGAGGAACACTGACTCTGCTTTAGGGAAATTAGCTAGTGCATTATCTCTACCTTTATAAAACATGCAAAGAGGACAGTCACCACTTCCTCACGGATATTTACAAGAGTCTATTCTGAGTCAACATCTAGAAGACTGCCGATTCCCCTCCCCCATGGGTCTTTGGAGGAGCCTTACTGATGGTAGCTGTTTTGCGCTTTCGAACAGGCTTCATTATGCTGATGACACTGCTGGGCTGCAGAGATGGCTGAAGCCAGTAGGAGGTGTTCTCCACATTGGCCATGTAAATGCGTAGGCTGCCATCCTCACACAACAAGATCATCGTTGTCCGCTGCTGCTCATTGCATGCTGTGTGCCTAATGGCAACCATGTCTTGGATCTAGGAGGAGGGGAGACAGGAGGGTGGTAGTTTCCGCACCTTCACATCAGAATCTACAGACGAAAAGATGCAGGGAAGCAACTGGTTTCATGGTCAGATGTGGGGTACAGAAGGGTGGCAAAGAAAAGGAATCTAGGAGAAAATGCACCAAAATTCTTTTACAGGCCTCCACTGAAAGAACTAAGAAAGTGACATGATATACAAATACAAAACTAGAGCAGGTTACCGTCTATTCAGGTGATGGGGGATTCTGGCACTGACCTTTGCTTTAGCAGGGAGAGTCTTAATCTCTTGGATAAGAAAAGTGTCTGGTTTCACCATAACCACCAGCGGCACACCTGTAGTTTGCTGGACACAACACACCAAGCCAGGGTGGTTCATCACCTCAGACCACTGGCAAAGGGCAGGAGACGTCTTACTGCCACCATTGGAACTGCAAACAACAAAACTGGCCAGTTAGGGTGTCAATCACGATCTACTAGTGTTTTTCTTGACCTAAAGGCCATCCTCACTAAATACTTGACTCCCAGAGCAACGTATTTGTCCTGGAACTCGACTTATCCATAAGTCTCAGTTTTATTCAGAGCTATATATACACTCCCCTATACCCTGATGTGTGCCCCTGGCAGGAGTCCTGGTTTAGGATGTCCACTGGTAGCTTCCACTGTCTGAGGGAACAAGTGGCCCTATATGTCTAGAGGTTTTAACTGCATAGGGCCATGGAACTGCTGAAGGCTGATGACCCAGTGTCCTATTAAGAATCTCTAAGCACATCAAGTCATATCTGAACGTTACCCATTTTACTGAATCCTAAACCAGGTAATTCACAAAACAGAGGTTAGAGAGAAAATGCTGCGATGGCTCTTCAACAGTAGATAAGATGGGAAGAAACCATAAACCTCTTCTTCCTCCTCCCTAAATAAAACACTTACTACACCTCACACACACCTCTATTATGTAGAAACCTGATGGAAGCCGGTACCTCCTCCAACCCCAACCGTGCCCCCACTACTGGCAGCATGCTTTATTTACTGATAAATCCCCCCCAGGAGAGGGACTTAAAGGGCATTTTGGCAGCACGAATGTCTAGGAGAAACTTACTCCTCGAACTTCTCAAAACTCAGTAATCACATTAAAATCAGGTTTGCCGCCTTGACTAGAGCTTTTCCTTCTGAGTGGCAGTGGCCCCCCCCCAAACTACCTCTTACAGCTTGATGTCTCTCCATGGTGGGGGACAAACCACGCAGACAGCCCAACCTGCCAACACTTGATTTTAAAGACACCTAGCAGGGCAGGGAGAGGATGACTGGAGAAAAGCCAGTTTCAGCAGACTCCTAACAGATGCCAGTACTCGGCAGGGGTGGAGAGCTCCTGCTGGAGTGGGCATTGTGGAAGTGGAACAGGAAGTGCTCATTCTCACCTTTTGATGTTGATGGAGAAGAGCTGCAGCACCTCCAGAGTCGTCCTGCTGATGGTGGCTGCAAACGATCTGCCTTGACAATAGCTGAAGAAGAGCATCTGCAGCACGTGGGAGTAGTAGACAGAGACCCCTCCACCTGCCACCTGGCTGTTACTGTCCTGTCAGGACAAATCACAACATTTGCATTAACTTCTCACGTTGCCTTGGTGCCAGCTTCCAGTTTTGCTCGTTACTAGCTTTAAATCAAGGTTATGGGCTCTCATACTCTAAGCATGAGATCCCTGTGAGTAAATCTTTAAAATACCAAGAGAACAAAGGAACTTCAAGTTGAATCAGTTTAGTCCTAAAGAACAAGAGTTTTTGCTATTAGGTAAAAAATTAGAAGCAAAAAGAAAAGAAGAAGAAAACAACAACAAAAGAGATGCTGAGCAAATGAAATCTGGAATAGAAGGAAGAGCAACATTAGCTCTAACCTTCAGGTCCTCGTGGTTGATTTCCAGTACGTTAGTGACATAGAAGGGCCCCTGCTGGGCACTGCTGGCCTCTTCCATGAGCTGAGTATAGATGTACCCAGCCGAAGACATTATCACAATGATGTTCTTTCCCTCCTCGTTGAAAAGGAAGGTAACATCTCTTATTTTTGAGCTTGGCAGGAGAAAGTAGAAAGTTGGACTCAAGGCATCAACGGACAGGTCATAAATCTGTAGGATGGAAGGAAAAAGGTGAAATAAAGGAGATCTATTTCAGTCTTATCCCCCAAATTAGACTTGTAAACCCAAAAAGCTGCAATTGGTGAGGAACAGGCATTCATCCCCAGTCAACAGGCATCTCTAGATGTCAGGCACTGAGCACACAAAAATGAATCAACTATCTTTTTACTCTCTCTCAAAGAACAAGCAGGGGAGAGATACACATCAACAAATTCTGTAACAAGTACAGTAATGGCTGTGCACTTGGTCCAGTGGGGGTAGAACCAGAATCAGTTTCATATTGCCTACACACAGGAAGCTCCTACTCAGCAACATGACAAAAGGAGACAAAATGTTAGGATTTTTTTATTTTTAATTTCTGGGAGAAGCCAGCACACAATGAACATCAGACATTCCGGATTTAAAAGCAAAACCATTCTAGGATCACATCATCAAAGAGCTGTAACGGTACCTTGACAAAGTCTGCAGTAACAATCGCTAACTCAGTCTGTGAACCAGGTAACCACACGGCTTTGATGATGAAGTTCCCCGTTGCCAACTGGGGGTGCAACACCAAGTGATCGGAAACAGAGCCCGAGCTACTGAAGGTCAGCACGTGGCAGTCCTAGCCGTGGTTGAAGGAACAGAACGGTTAAAAGATGATTTGGAAAGTAGGTGGACTCATCTCAGAGTTCTAAAGTTTCCTTTTTCTTTCCTAATATTCCCTGCCTTGAGAGGGCATTCAGACTTCAGATATTCAGGTTTCAAGAACATGCAAAGATTATTTCCAATACAAGAGAAATGTGGAAGATCTGGAAGAAAGTTAGAGCAAGATTTCTTTTCCATTCCAATGACTTTTAAGTTTTAATCTCAACAGTGAACGAGAGAAAGTGGTGCTGGGAGAGAAGGTGAGCAGGATCCGCAGCTCAGGGTAATCAAACCTGGACCAAGCCTCACCTTCAGCCCACAAACGGCAAGGTAGTCCTCCTTGCAGGGATTCCCAGTGAGGCTCAACACCGTAAAGGGCACGGGGGCGGAAGCCAGGCGGGTCAGAGTCAACTTCCTTTTGCTGGAATCTGCTTGCTTCAAGAGTGCAGAAAGCTGCAGAACGGTGATCTGCAAAGGAACAATTACCAATTTATTCTTAACGCCAGTGCTCTGAGAGAACACGGAGCAGTAACAAAAGTGCCTTCACCAGGGATACTAGTTCACAGCCATTTGTTTGTGGATAAGTCTCTCGGGAAAATCCTAGACCAGTATCAGCCTCTATTTCTCCTGGTTGAAAGATATGGAACACCTTCCGTTTCCTTCTTCCAGTGAGGACAAAACAGATGAGAAACGAAACCAACTGCTCTTTGTATAATCAGTTCATAAAAATCATTCCACAACTCCTATGTACTATTGTTCTTTCTAGTTTTCTATGAAAATGTTTTTCAAAGTATTTTTGAGCTGTTTTAAGGACTATGCATATCTCTAGTTTGCTTTTCACTTAAAGTTAAGACAACTTTAGTGGTGATGAAGAAGCCAGAATACAGAAAAGCAGGCGTTAAGCTACCCACCACCCTTCCAACTTCCACTGGTTCTACAAAATGACACAAACTTTCCTGTGTACTTAGAGGGCTGGGAGGCCAGGGAAGAACTAAATACAGAACACCGAGTCTTTCCATGCAGACTTTTATCTCTCAGCTGTGCACTCCAGAGTTACCAAACTGGGCCAAGACTGGGAGCCATGTTGTCCTAGAAAAACTCTTAGTCATTACCCTTCCCTGGAGGCTTGAAGGATATGGGTGGTTTTTTCTCTTTTTTTGGTGAGGAAGATTGGCCCTGAGCTAACATCTGTGCCAGTCTTCCTCTATTTTGTATGTGGGATGCCACCACAGCATGGCTTGGTGAGCAGTGTGTAGGTCCACGCCCGGGATCTGAACCCATGTAACCCAGGCCACTGAAGCAGAGTGTATGAATCCAACCACTGTGCCACTGGGCTGGCCCCTTGAAAGATATGTTTTGAGTGGGAATTCACTAATTAGAAACGGTCTCTGTTCTGGTCATAGTGGTGCTAGGTCTAATGAGATAACTCAGGGGTTTGAGTAGAAAAGCTCATTGATCTGTCCCTAAAGCACTCTTGGAATCAGACTTCCCCAGAGAGCCAATCAGAGCACAGTCATCTGTTTTGCTTTGCACTAAGGTAAACATGACCTAAAATGAGTAGGAAGGAACAGGAGAACCCACCTTGCCCTTCTCATGGCTGACAGCCAAATGCTGGCGGCGCCCATGAGGGGAGGAGAGCACACACATAGCCACCCGCCGGAGCACATGGGCACTGATCAGCTGCCGGATAGTCTGGCCCTGGTCTCCACTGTAATTCATCCGAACGTTCTCAAAGGCACCTTCCTGGGAGCCCAAGGTGGGGACCTGGCAAACGGGGGCAGAGAGAGCAGGCAGTAAGAAGGCAGCAAAGATCAAGTGGATTCATACACTATTCGTATGCCTGAGATATGGCACAACTTAGTCACTCAAAAGCAATGGATTCCAACATCTCATCCATGGACAGTTGAGTAAAATTTGTCCAAGTTACTCTCAGGCCAATAAGAACAATGAAGGGAATGTTTCACAAAGTTAAATTTAATTAATACAAAGTACTGCCTTTTAAAAAATGTTAAAATGCCCTTTTTTAAAATCAAATGATGCTGATGATGGAAGGAATTTTTTTTCATCCATTTAACCTGGTAGAATTAAGTCAGCAACTGTCTGGATCACCAACACCAACACCCCAATGTTTTTTTTCGCTTCATCTTTAATATCTAAAAGTCTAAAACCTACTGCTCTAAAACTGACTGATTTTTAATAAAATACCAGAGTATGTGTGTGTGTGTGTAGCTCCAAGTGAGTTATTTTTCCCTTAAAAACAGTCACCCTCTGAGATACACACGCGCCTCACTCATTCTTATACTTCCCTTCAGAAGGGCCAACACTTTACTTTCCACTCCTGTATAGCACTGCTGGAGAGGCCAGGCCAACCACGCCAGGAATCCTATATTCAGTGCTGCGCAGCAGGTTTTGAAGCGGATAATGACTTACGACTTAGAAGCCATGTTACATGAAGAAATAAAGAAAAGCTACCTAAAGGGCCGTCAGCCAAAGAGGACAAGCTTTATTTCTGCAAGTCAGATGAGCCTCAGGAGAGAAGACACAGTGAGGAGCTTTTCTATTTTATACACAGAAGAAATTTCTAACTATTCCAATTGCCCTCAAATGTTGTTCCTCACATCTCAAGGGTTCATACATTTATATGAACTGAAAAGAGGGCACAGTCACTGGGTTGTTCTAAATGGCCTCTGCATTCCTTCTTTTGAAGATACACTTCATATGCCGATTTGCACACTGGCTGTCAAGATGGCTTAGATGGCATCTAAGATAAGTTCTGGACAGCCAGGGATTGACGGTTCTCCGGACATTCCTCAGAGTATCAAGCACACCTGGGCATCTCAGTAAATCCGCTGGTTCCTACACCCACCCAACTTCCTGACCCTGACACACTCACCATGAGCTGGTCTGTCATCTCAACCACCTTGTCCACTGTGTGCAGCTCACGGAGGGCTTGCTGAGCCCGGCTGCTGCTCCCCACAGCTGAAGCCTGCTGAAAGTTGGTCTGAATGGCATCCATGAGGAAATTGAGCATGTCTAACACGAGAGGAGCGAAGGAGAAATTGGCCTGAGAAAAATCCAAATACACACGTGGAAAAAAAAAAGACAAATAATGGGTCATACGCATCGTAATAATTTTGCCAGTAACTACCTTCAGAATCCAGAATCCAGTTTCCTCACTTCCGATTCGATAATCTAGCCATCATCTCATTCTCTCTGTAATACTGAATTTGACTCCAGTCAATATGCTATTGTGCTACTAACCCTAGAGCGAGCTTCCTAAAGCAGGAGTCCCACATAGATACCAAATGCTTAAATGCACCCACCACATATAATTAGTTAACCTCTCTCCTAGCCATCTACCACAGCTCTAGTTATGTACCATCCTTGGGAAAACTCAGAAAATCATCACTGGAATCATCTTCTGTATTCTGTGCTTCAGATGAGGAACCTTGGCCAAAAAAGAGTGCTCTAGAGTATTACACAACCCAAATTTACTCTCCCACAAACCCCCCATAATACTCCTCAGTCATAATTCTTCCCTACAAGGTATAACTGACAACACACACTATTTGTTTCCACACTATGAAAATGAGTGACAGAGAAAGGAGACAACAACTCTAAGTTCCACCAGTGGAGCTGCAAGGCAGGGCCATCCTGCTGCAAGGCTGCCTCTGGGTTGCAGAAACCCCGGGTCTCCGCCGTTGTGGGATTTGGAAGTGAACCTGTGCTTCCGTTAGTGGCTTAGGAGCCTTTAGAAGCTGTGTCTGGGAGGTGGTGTCCAGCGACCTTCCCAGAGACTACCCCACGGTGCAGTATGTCTCCAGGCCCTGTCCCAGCCTTGTGCACCGTTTGCTCCTGAACCACCCACCAGGCTCTGCGCTCTGCCCACCCTGCTAGGCACCATCAGAGCCCTACCTGGTTCTGCAGCTCCTCCCGGCAGCCCTCCACTGTGCGGCAGAGGCTACTCTTCTTGGGCTTCTCTTCGTCAGCAACCTTTCCATCGCTGATGGTGACTTTGGCTTTGTCAGCTGGAGAGGTGCTGGTGTGGCGCACCAGACTCTCTGAAACCCTGGGTTCACTCTGAAATGCTGACTCCTTCACGGTGGAGCTCATGCCACTGCTAGGAGTTCGCTTCACCAGTGCCTAGAGACAGAAAACATGAGAGGCCCTAAGCTCTTGTCACAAGCATGGATGAACTATTGCCTAAGATCTTGGAGGAAAATCTGACCCAAAGGAGAAATTGGCTAACCATTTAAATGATATCCAGAAGCCTGAACTCTGATCTTCATGGTATTCATCTAAGAGCTAATACTTTACTCACTCACAGAAATAGATCTTGATTATAACATCTGATATTGTGGGCAAGTCTCAGAAAAAATCTACAAGACCGCTAAGGACCCCGAAAGTTCTAACATTCTAAGTGAAGTGCTCAGTGATAGAATCAGAGAACTTACCCCTAGACCCAAGCCACTATGAAGGTGACATGGGAATTTTTGGTTTGGTTTAAGCATTCCCATGTCACTAAGAAGTCACCCTGTATAGTCTAGCAGATGCCCCAATCTCTCACCAAACAGCTGCCATCTTCCTTGGCTCCACAGTCACAGAAGAAGGATCCATACTTGGCATAAGAAATTTCATGATCCTTATGGCACACCTTGGCACAAACTGTGCAAACACCCACCCCATCAACCATTTTGCAGGTGTGACAGTGGTACCTACGAAGAACAAGAACCAGCAAATGAGCCCAGAAGTCTCAACAATCAAGGTCCAGCAAACTCTCACCAGAAAGGAAGAACTCCTCTTACCAATGCTGGTTCATGAATTCTTTCTGAGTAATAGTAAAAGTGCAGAGTTTATTGCAAAGAGAATCTTCATCCTTCAAAGATAATAAGTCTTTTTAATCAAAAATATATCCTTCCACACAGGCACCCACAAAAACATACCCTATTGAAAGTAATCAACTCATAAATGACCAGTAGAAACCTGCTCCAATTGGAAAGAGCCTGTAGGCTATAAACGTGCTGCAAGTTCAGGTGAGACTTTAAGGTTTTGTGGTTAAGAAAAAAATTAATCTCATGCTTTCTCTGTAAGGGAGCTCATACCATCCTCATGAAGAACTCATCCCTTAAACTCCATCTTGGATGCGAAAACTGACAGATCACAGGACAAGTGACTCTGGAAGGCACGTGCTTACTAAATAGCCCTTTCCCCTGGAGATTAGATCCCTACAGTTTGCCCTGCAGGTCTGGAATAGTCAGTCTGGCATTAGTCCTGCAAGCTGGGAGAAAGCAACAAGGACTGGGAAGAGTTTTGAAGCTCACAGGAGCTAGAAAAGAGAGCCAAAGGCTTGTTAGTGTGAGCCAGGCAAATGCCAGCCAGCCACTACCTTGCACGGTTACCCTGGTGGGTACTTGGTACTTACTGAGTCCTCAGCCTGGGAATCTTCCTCTTCCACTGCCAACTCCTCCACCCAGTCTGAGTCCACCTCAATGGCCCGCTCTTCCCCATCCACCGAGAGGTGACTTGGGCCCTGACCATTACTCTGGCTCAGGGCATTGGTGACATCAGCCAAGTAAGACATAATATGGCATGTGCACTCCAGGACCATCACATGCTACAAAAGAAGACCACCATACCACAGAAAGTTTTAGATCTCTGTATTTGATTACTACATAAACTGTTTTCTCAATAAAGCTCAAGATCAGAGGGATGGTATAAAAGCAGAAAAGAAAAACATTTGAATTATCTATTTCTTCAGCTCTTAGCACTATGACTGCATGTAGCCAGTCAATAAATTGTACTGAATTAGTGTGATTCACTCATTCTTAAGCACAAAGATAATTTTTCATAAAACTCTGTAAAATGAAGTAAAAAAATTCAACCCAGGAAAATAGAGTGAAAATAGAGACAAAAATCATTCAAGAAAAAACTAGATTGATAGACAATAGAGTAGTGGTTGCCAGAGAGAGGCGGTGGGAGGAGTGGATGAAATGGATAAATGGGGTCAAAAGGTACAAACTTCCAGTTATAAAATAAATAAGCCATGAGATGGAATGTACAACATTACATTCAATACAGCTAATATTATATTGCATATTTGAAAGCTGCTAAGAGAGTAGAGCTTAGAAGTCCTCAACATTAAAAAGAAAATTTGTAACTATGTTTGATGATGGATCTTAACTAGAATTACTGTGGTGACCATTTTACGATATATACAAACATTGAATCATCATGTTGTACATGTGAAACTAATATGTCAATTATATCTCAATTTAAAAAAAGACTAGATTAGAAGTATGAATAGGCTCTCACTGACATACTTTCTACGATTAGCATTTTTTTTAACCTGTAGTGAAAGACATTTAAATTATTGGGTTTTAAATTACTGCAGCAGAGCAGAATAGCTTCAGAGATCAAGTGAAAAATTTTCCAGCAAACTACTGCAGGCAGTTCATGCTTGCCTTAAAAACCCAACAGTCTGGCATCAAAGCCTCAGATCGCTAAGTTCCTTCACTCTGTACTCTGACAGCTGAGTGCTGAAAGGATAAAGATTAGCAAGAAAGAAGGGAGAAACAGGGGGCTGTGGTGGGTCTCAGAGACCAGTTATCTGCTGTTAGCCACCTTTGTCAGGTTTACGAGTTGGGTAGGGGGAAAAAATGCCTGAATGCAAGATCTCTTGTCAGTTTCAAACCCTTTTTTCTCAACACAGTGACCTGAAACTTCAGGTAAAGTAAACAATTCTACCATCTGGACTGGAGCTGAGAAGGTAGTCTGTAACCCCATATAGCACCTGCTCAGAGAGCAAAGCTCCCCTGCAGGGGCAGGGGAGAATTTTCCATAGCATACCAGTATCTAAAAATAGCAGGAATTCACTATGTTTTAAAAAGGATTCTGCTGGATATTTGCTTACCAGAATATTTCCTTCCTATCACTTCTTGCCACCCAGAAGAGGCCTGAGGGCATGCAGTTCGCAATTACACACTTCTAGGCCTTTGGGATCGTAGGCCTTTATCCTCCGGAGGCCAGCCAGGGACAGAAGCCAGTGAGAAGGAGAGCCCTCCACCTGACCACAAAGGTAAGAACCCTCACTCCCTGACTGTCGCCACTCCTCACTTCTCTTACCTTTCCATGCATTACATTGGCATTCAGTTTTTCAACCACATTCTTCTGTGACAGGTATTTCTTGCTGTCCCAAAGAAAAAAAGGGGGGGGGGGGTGCATAAAATCATCTAGGGAACCAAAGAAAGGAAGCATCTTCATGAATTCTGCATCAATTTGTGGAGAAAGAGAAGCAAAGGCCTTCTTAGAAAACTATTTAGGTACCCAGAGGTTTGGGGTGCTCTGGTCTTACCATTGACACTTGGTACACTTTCCCCAAGACTTCTCTTAGGAACAATGAACAGAAAACCCTACTAAGAAAATAATGATGATCAAGTCTAAAGCGAACAGAGTTACTGGCTACTCCTTCAATCTCCAATAAAAAGGCAGAGATTCACGTTTCTTCTACATTCACTCTAAACTACAAAGAAAATAACCTGCAATTAATTATCCCCCTTTTCTCTAAGAGCAATGTTGTAACCTACAGATGGACTCCTCCAATTTCATCATCTTACCATCTACTCAACCAGTCCACAGCAGCATTATGAAGCTGAAGATGGCCAGCACCTTGACCTGCACTGGCCAGAGTGGCCATCACAACCATGAGTTCAGGGAAACCAGTCCCATCACCGTTGGCCAGCATCTCTGTTGCCATAGGGATCAGGGTGCCCAGAAGCACAGCACACACACCTTCCCCAACTTGACTGGTAGAAAAGAAATAGCAAATTGGTAAGTAATCAACAGGAATCTGACTCTGCGTACTTTTAAATTTGTAAGAGTAATTAAAAGAAGTTTAAAATCAAGCATTAAATACAGGACTATATATACTAAGCCTAGTTTTGGACCTGGGCTACTGGAGCACAAAATATCCACCCATGTTACAACTGACAGGCCAAGGCATGGCAAAAGTTTTTCCATGGGAAAAATCAAGGAGCTCTACTAGATTCCTTGAGTCTGTCAAGGGGCAGTTATGGAATTGCTGAATGCTAATGACCGATGCCTGAAGGAAAGATAGCTGCAAATGTTCTCAGCATATTTGTGGGATGGTTAGACATGTGACATAAATGCAGCTGCTCTACCTGTTTTCCCGAACAATGTACGTGGTCAGTAACTGTAAGAGCTGCCGGTTCTCCTGAATCACATCCAGCTGATCAGAATCTTTGGGGGGAGATGTAGTCATGCGGGTGAGCCAGGCCTGGAGACGCACCGGCTCCACACAGGCCAGCTGTGCCAGAGAGCCACAAAGATGCAGAAGGCTCGGGTTAGGGCTCTTCTCAGCTGGGGACAGACCAAGAGGCTAAGGTCAGCGGCGGAGGGTTGGGAGGAAGGAAGGGAGGTGCAAACTGAGAGCCAGGAAAGGGGGAAAGCCTTCAAGCAAGTTTTCAACTTTCTCCAAACTTTCTCTTAGGGATTCTCTCCACTTGTTAGCATTTTCATGCTGCAGTTATACTCGGGCAGAAGATATGCACAGTATTAGCCGGACATCAAAGTTCCCGTAAGAAGATTACTAAAAGCTGTCACTCACTCAGCTGGAAGAGTTTGGTGAAGAATTTCAAAACTCGGTTACAGAATTTAGCAGAGAGGTTCTCATTGGCTGTTGCCATCATGATCTGCACAAGTTCTCCACTGGGAGGCAGGAGGGGAAAAAATGAAAGAATCACATTAAGCCTCACATAAAAGGCATCCGTTTCTATTTCTTCACAATCTCATCTCCTCTAAGGGAACTGGTCATTTGTGAATCAACAACACTAGGTGTTCATGGAATCAACCCCTCATCAATAACCTCCAGGAGTCAGCAACTAACCTAAGTCCTCCTTGAGGTACAAACACCTAAGTAGGTCTTAAGTATTCCCTGAGAAAGAACACCTAAGTCAACATAAATAGCTCGTTGCTTTGAGGCATTCAAAACCGTTCACTGAATAAAACAAAATACAGCTCACCTGTCAGAGAAAAATTCCTCCATAGCTTTACGAGCCTGGCTGCTTTCCAGTTGTTTTTCCAAATACTGGAGACATTCCTCCAAGATGGATTCATCTAGTCCACTAAGGATCAAAAAGAAAAATTAACTACCAGAAATAAGGTGGTTTAATGTCCTCCTAATACTGATTTCTAAAAATACACAGTTCATTTATGACTAAACCTGAGGGCACTATTCAATTTCGTTTTGAGAAAGCTTAGCATAAAGCCTGGCACGAATGAAAGATGGAAGGAAAGGAGAGAGGGAGGATAGAAGAGGAAAGCAGGAGCCCTTGACAAAAACCTGGACTCCTCAACAACAAAAAAAGGAAATCCCAATACTTGGAACCTTTATTTGTCCAGTTCTCAGTGGGGTAAGACTGCAACTTACTCCGCTGTTCTTTCCGGTTCACCTATCTCAACATGGCCTAAACTATCAAGGTCAAACAGTGCTATGAGACCACCTAATTCCACAGACCACTCATCTCAGAAGCGCGGCTACAAAAACATCATACGTTTTATCAAGCCCCTTTGTACACTTCATCACATCTAGTACAGCACTTGATAAGCACCTATTGAATTACTTAAAGTTTCCAAATCTGAACATTTTGTTAATGTTTATTCCTAAGAATTAATCACAAAAGAGTATTCTAAGTCACCTTTCGTGCATGTCCACAAGAACAGGAAATGCACACAAGTACAGAACTTTCTATTAAAAGGCACAATAATAAGCTATTAATTAAGGACATAAAGAAGCCGGTGGTGGTACGTTTCATTGAGAGTAAGTAGCAGGAGGTCACAGGAAGCTTACTGACCGTTCTCCTCAATCAGGCTCACCTATTGGGATCTGCATGATTGGCCAGAATGTTGTAACAACCAGTGATCAGCTTCTCATAAACACGAGCCAAGAACTCATCAGACTCTGCAGGGCCCAGGATGCGCTCCAGTGAGTTGCTACTGATCTCAGCAACACTCTCAGTGCTTGAGTCCAAAAGAAGGGGAAGCAGGGTCCGAATTACCTGTGGCGGGTTCATCTCATCGGACCAACTTCAGCAAAGAAAATGGAACCAAGTTAGTGAAAATACTCCTCCAAAAGCTGTAAGGACAGGACAGGGTAATTCAATCACTTATTGAGGGGAAAGGCTTTTATTCCAGTTTTTTTCCCCTTAATGGTTGTTTTACATGGGGGTAACCATACAACTCAAATTCTTCTTTTTCATTATTATATCAGAAGCAAAAATCACTTCCATGTGAAAAGTCTTATTAAAACATTAATCATATAAAATGTATTTTATAATATTCAGAAAATTAACTGAAACCTAAGCTAATAACCCATCCCAGACAACTTTTCTAGAACTGCCAGGAATCTGGATTGCTTTTAAGGTAAGGTGATGTAGGACTTTATCCATGACCTATGTACACAAAGACAAAATAGTCCCTCTACCGGCTTGCCCTAGTCCCCACAACGGCAGCATCTAACTCCAGCAATGATTCTGGAGAAATGTGACTTCAAATACATTACTGTCACCTTAAAAATTAAACCCAAAGCACCTCTAAATCACAATATGATTTAAAGCCAGCATGCCTTTTCTGAAAAATACTACACAGAGAGGAAGAATTACTCTGCTGTCCTTCAGATAAGTTAAAAACCATTCTACATAAACGCTCATACTGTACTCGAAAGCAACAGGCTCTCTTTGCTATGGAAACATGCAAGAAAAGCATTATCAGATAGCCCCAGTGTCTTCATTTAGCTATGACAGGAGACAAGTGTAGAGGACACTCAGGGCTGGGCAGTAGGTACTCACACAATAAGATCTCCAGTCAGCCTGACCAGTGAGAGGAGCGTGTGCTTCAGGGACGCAGCCAGAGGCAGACTTTGGCCACAGAGGGTCCCGAGGTGAGCGGCCTGCACAGCACTGATGTAACTCTCCGAAGGGATAGTGTCATTGGCAAAGGCATTGCGCTGATGGAAGCAAAACAGACGTGAATGGACAGACCATCTATCCGCCCAGGACGAAAGGCCCAGACGGAAAACAAGAAACCAAGCTGACATAAAATAAGACCCCACTGAGGCTTACAGGCAATGGCTGTGCTCAGCGTACGCTATTACTCACCGTGCGAAGGGACACGGGGTGGAGGGACGGAAGCACTTAACAGATTTTAGTTAGTACACAGTTAAAATTTAAGAAGTTAGTTAAAATTTAGTTGGTATACGATTAGGATACCAAATACCACTTTTCAAATAATTAGAATATACTATATTTCACATTAAAACTATTGTTATTTGTCTCTAAGAACTGAGAAGGATCTTGATTTTACGACGTATCTGGCTTTCCTTACAAATATCTTAATTATCCCTATACTACAGCTCCAGGTGATGTAAACAGAGGTTACAATTACAAAGTAGGGACGACAAGATTCTAATACTTGGCTTTTCCAAAGAACTGTAATAACAGAATAATTTAAGAGAGGTAATCTGAGTAGAGCACACACAGATGAAGGAAACTGACAGAAGACTCAAGAGTCTTCTAAGAACCTAAAAGCTACCCCATAAAATTATGACAAAAAGAGCACATTCCTGACAGATAACCTAAAAAGGAAAGGAAAGCATTAACATTTACTGAGAATTTATGTGCCAGATAATGTGCTAAGCACTTTACATTTAATATACTTAATCTTCACACCCCAGTATTTAACAAATGAAGAAACTGAGGCTCATAGTAATAAAGTAGTTATCCTGTACACAGTAACACAGTCCTCTTAGCAAAAGGATCGCATGGGTACCATTTGGGTAATTCAAGGCATTGACTATTGATTTAGCTACAGCAAATACTACTGCAACATACAAAGATCTCTTGGCAGCTGGTTTAAGCCAAAAGAACAAGAGAACACAGAATGGCTAGTGCTCCATATTTCTACTCCTGGAACAGACACTCACCCAGGAGCCAATGTTGGGAAACTCATTAGTATTGATGTTATTCCAGGATTCACAAACAGCTTGCACTGATGATGGTAAATTCTGAACCAGTGCTGGACCTGGAGGTGACAGAAAGGGCAAGGAATCAGAACAAGAGAAAGACTGACACACAGCATTTTAAAAGCCAAGCCAAAATCCAGAAAGAAATACCACAGCCCAGGGTGTCAAAATAATTACTAAAATAGCTTAGATGGATATTTCAATAGCAGTACTATATCCAAGAACTAGCTAATTGCTTAATAGCTAACAATCTGAATTGTAAGGTTTTCATTTCCCATCATATTCACTTTCTAATCTTACAAGTCAAGAAGACAACTGAAAACAAGATGCAAAGTGAAGGCAAGTCATTACACGTCAGGCTAAATGCACTCAAACATCTGTGACACCTTCTATCAATAGGCAGCACTTTAATCTCTTTTCTCCTTAAGACAAATCTTGATGGCAGGGATCATTAAGGCACCTTAATAACAGCATTCAGTGAAGTGGTGGAATTTAATTTCTAAAAGTGAGAATATCTGAACACTGAAAGGGGATTTAAAGCTTGATATTCAGGAAAACATAAATGGCTATAACTTTTAAAGGATGACTATTGCACTTAGCTCCGATCCTGCTCAAGTCCTTGTGACTCCCCATCCTAAAGTTCTACAGATACTCTTCACATGGGAAGAGGCTTTCCCAAGCACGAAGCAGTGGCTTGCTAGTCTTCCTAATCTCTATAAATGAAAAGTAGAACAAAGCAAAATAGTCTAATGCTTCAGAACCAAATGATCTGGGTTTGGATCCCAGCTCCAGCACTTGCAAGATGTACGATTTGGGGCAAAGAGAAGTTCTCTAAGCCTCAGTTTCCTAATGACTGAAAGGGGATAACAACAACACGTACCTCACAGGATTATTGTGAAGATCAAGACAGATCTATGTCAATGTGTGACACACAGAAAGGTTCCGATAAATGGTAAATGCCAGTAGACAGGTAGAGAGGGAGAGCAGCGCGAATACTAGTGTACCAGCAGTGACAGTATTATTCAAAAGCCCACTCACTTACCCAGGGTGTTCGCCTTGCATCTGCTGGAGCCAATAGCCAAAACAGCAGCAAAGCCATGCAATTTCTCCTGGGAAGGTTTTTCAGTGGATCCATCTTCATTAAAGTTCTGTAGCAAGTACGCTCTGAAGAAAAAGTAGGAGGATATGTGAAAGCTAAAGCAATCCCATCACAGTTAGCAGAAACTAACCCTAGACAAATTGAAAAACCTGTATCTCAGTTTCCTAATCTGTTAAATGTAGTCGAGTGTACCTGCCCCTGTCTGGTCTCATAAAAATTCCAATGGGTAACTGTTTCCCAAAGAATATCTCATCCTCTGAAATGCTCTCAAAACACAATTCCAGGACAAACGAGTTTAAGAAACACTGAATACTATAATTACCCTCCTCCCACTCGCCTTAGAAGTTTGGCAATATATATATTAAAGGCTCTGAGAAGTACTGTATTTTTTTTTTAAACTGTTTAGTTTTATTTACCCAGCACTTCCCAAACTTACTTGCCCAGAAACATCTATGAACAGTTCAGTTTAGAAAGCGTTGGCCTAATGGGTCAGATTAGGGCCTGTAAGCTCACGGAGGGCAATGACTTGGTCAGCTTTGCTACTGCTATACACCCAGCACCTAGAAAAGTACTTGGCAAGCAGCAAGCACTCGTACTTGTTATTTATGCTTATTGCTCATATTTGTTCAAAAATTCTGACTCAAGCAATAGTCCTCTCTCTACTGCAAGGTATTCACGCAAAAAATGTTAGTCAAGTTTTACAAGGATCTAAGTCCCTCTCAGCATAAAAGCCCCACAGAAAAGGAGCTGAACAGTGAAATCCTATAGGGACCAGATAAGGTAAATGAGCTTGAAGGGGCCCAGTGAGAGCAGCTATACGGGAGAGCCACTCCTCAGCTCCGGTATGTTACCGTCATATGGGAAGTCAGACCTAGTTTTGCCAGTTCTTCCGATGTAAAAAAAGCGAGAAATCTTGATTTGTTAATAAACTCTCAATTTTTATACACTGAAAATGATCTAAAATGTCTAAATAAATCATGCAGAACAAACAATAGTCTACAGGGTGTGCAATTTGCAATGTTTACTATAGAAAGGGCTGGATCTGGATTTCAAAATACTCTAAGAAACTTTTTTTCTCCAACTACATACCATGAAATAAAGAACACTTCAACAGCTTCATCTTAATGAATAATAGAAACGACAGTATTTGGAAAAATTACATTATCTTTCTTTGTATCCTACAGCAAAATGCTAGAAAGTATTTAAAGATTTATAGAAATTAAACTTCTTGTTGACTCTTCCTGAACTATTGAAAATTCCCTCATCAGGCACACCTTCATATTAGAAAAGAAAACATTACACCAAGGAAAAAAAAAGGAAAAACAAAAAGCCTAAGCTGATAAAAAGGAGAAAATGTGAACTTCCGTCCCTGAGGCTCTGCAGAGTGATCAGTACTTGGAAATACAAAGTTCAGTGTGAGGAATTTCCAGGCTCCTAAAGAAAGCAAACCACTCAAGGATCTAAATCCCCCATTTCCGACACCCTGGGCAGGCAGCCCGTCACACCTGGTGAATGATGCGTAGGTGTCAATGAGCTGCAGCGTGGCTGGAAGCAGGTTCTTGGTGATCTCAGACGACTTATGAGGATCCGTCTCGGCAGCCATCTTAGAAAAATGCTCATCCAAAGAGACCTGGACCTTCGAAATAGCAGCATCAAGGGTGTAGATGGACTGAAGACTGGGAATTTCATGGAGTTGCAAGATGGTGGTACAGTCGACGCTACAGAATGACGAGATCTTTAAAAATACCCAAGATATTAATTAGCTGTGGCAAAAGGCTGTGGCAGAAGCCAAGTTCTGTCATTAGGGATCCAAAACTAACACACCTGTCGAGCAAAGTACTCCTCTACAATTTCAACGTCGTACTTCACCGAGCTGCACTTGGTGGACGCCAGTTCTAGGAGAGAACCAGCATGTTCAGCCTTCATTCCCTGTTTGATAAGGTGATCCTATTTGGACAATAAGAAAAGGGTTTAGGAGATCAAGAGAGACAGAGTGGAAAGCTTTCATTACCCTTAAATTTAAAAGTTCCCAGAAGTAGAGAGCATGTTGGCTTTAGAGACCCCTCAGCAGCCAGTTCTGTGTTACACTGTGGTACCTTTATCCAGTTGACATAGGAGCTGATCCGGAGGCGGGAAGACCACCGCAGAGTGTGTAAGATGTCACATTCACTCATCTCAGGTGCATTCATGGCCAGCTGGTTCATGTAAGTCTTTGATGGTGGCAAAATTCCCAGGATCCGCCACAGTATCAGGAAGTAATACTGAAGGGCGCAGGCCTCCTGGAAGAAGCAAAAAGAGCAGTCACAGAGGTAGCAGCATTTGGTACTGCCTCAAGATCTCCCTAACAGTAGGAACTGTTCCAAACACAGCTTTTAAAGCAGAATTGTGTGTAGTCCTGATTTTCAACTTAGATTTGGCTCTCAAGTCTGCTCTCCAGTTCTTTCTAGAGAATATTCCTAACAATAAAGCAGAAAGTGGTAAAACACACAAATAACTAATTTACTCCCTATTTTGGACATTTCACAGGCCAAAAAAGCTATTCTAAGACAACTCCGGCTCCCTAATAATTTACCAAGTAACCAAAAGAGGGCAGGACATTCTCCTCAGCAGGCCCACAATCAGCCAGCCCTTTCTGTGGCCTGAATTGCTATTTTGGCTTCTAAAAGGTACAGAGATATTCATGGGACCACAGAAAAAGCTCAAGTGTGAGGCTTTCAATACCATGCATCAAACAGCCTCACAGGAGATACAGTACTTAGGTGGCCATTAACTCTCAAACTCACATTTCTCTCAATGCTGACAAAAAGATACAAAAATGATAAAATTATCTCCAAGGTGAACATCACCCCCCAAACTACACAGAAATATTGAAGTATCCGTGCAAACAGATATTTAATACACTGGTTAGATTCCAGATGAAAATTTCTGGTAGAAATGCTACACAATTATCAAACACACCCCAAACTCTTCATAATGAGCCCAGGCTTCCATGGTCTTACCAGGGCTGTTACATTCTTGTTTTCCTTTCTCCTGACTGTATCAAGCTGGGATCCAGCTGCAAGCAGGGATGTGAGTGCGGTATAAAGCTCATCATACTTGACAAGCTTGGAGAAAAGAACATCACACGCCTAACATCAAGAAAAAAAAGACAATCATTTTTTCTTATTTTTTTAAATATTAACTTTTTCCTAATACCCATACACCATCACTTAACCTCATGATTAACAAAACAGTTCATTCAAATTATAGTTATTAATTTCTCACTGCAGCAAGATTCCCAATGACGGACCTCACTCAGTTCATGGGCTACCGTGAGCACACAAGTGCAGGCTTTAGAATGAGGCAACTGTTTATGTCCATTAAAAGAGCTGCATGTGAAAATACTAACAGAAACAGTCTTCGGGAATAATGTGTCAGAGGTGTCAAACACTAGGAAGGACATCCCCTACAGCAACAGTGGGGCCCAGAAACAAATCTCAAAAATAATATTTTCCCTTTAGAATAAGCTCAAATTCTAATACAGACCAAATTCCCTCCTTACAGTAAAAAAGTAAGTGGTTCATTCCCTGTCCCCCTGACAGAGACTGATTTTGGAGCAAACTATCTGACCCACATGTAAAATGGGGTTTTAAAATTCCTGGTACCACAGAATCAAGTCGGTTCAAATCATCCTCTGAAGCTTCTGGGGACAGGACACAGTAGAATCTGGGTTGTGGGACAGCATCTGAAAAACAACGTGCTAATAAGAATGGTTTCATGCTCAACTCTGTGTAATAAGTCTAAAATGTAAAATCTAAGAAAACACTTTGGAACAGGGTTTCCCAGCCTTGGCATCACCGACATTTTCCGCCAGGTAACTCTTTGCTGTGGGAGGCTGTCCTGTGCTCTGCAGGATGTTTAGCACCATCCTGGCTTTTCCTACTCTCCCAGTTGTGATAACCAAACATGTATCCAGACAGCACCAAATGTCTCCTTTGGGGGTGGGGGGTACAATCACCCCAAGTTGAGAACCACTGTTCTGGGAGTTAACTAAGGTGATCTACGATCATCAAGTTAACCACCAAAATTGTATCATTAAACTGACTGCATTAAACTTAAATGCTGGCTCCCCAATGTAAAAGAGATTAACTAGGAAGAGATCCCAATGATAGTAAATTACACTAGGGCTCAATGAAAGTTTCCACAAAATACACAACACCTAAAAGTCCTCAGGATGAGATAGCAGACATACACTGAAAATGAACACAAGAGGCACCTCACCAAAAGAACGGATAACTGCAATATGAGAACCACTGGAGAGAACGTCATGGCTCCCATTCTCTTCCCAACAGTATACCACCATGACCCAAAGGGAAATGCAGCCTATAGGTTAGAACCACACTGCTAAGGAAAACTTACATTTAATCACTGAAAGTGGCAGGAATCCATATAGTACACTTCCATGGCAGACACAAGCATTCCCAATTCTTATCTCAATGTTTTTTGTTTTTAAAATAGATGTGGGATATGTGAGAGTCTACTTCTGAAAACGGTTTGAATTCGTAGGTATGTGCCACCCACAGGAAGTAAACTAAACCAAATGACCAAAGATCCTCGAGGAGTCCCCAAGCTCTAACTGCAATCCCACCAATGAGAATCAGTTTCTTATTGAAAATCTTCCTTCTGACCTGATGAAAAATGCTTCGACCAGTTTTCTTCTACTTCTTTGAACCCATGATAGAGAAGGGTGGTAGCTCGGCGGCCATTGCTGTCCTGAGATCCACTTGCCCACCCAAAAGGAGGACTTAGCAGGTTATGCTGCACCTTTTAAAACACAAGTACTCAAATTAAGAAAGATACAGAGTCACCGTTCTGCTTCCCACTCCAGGCATGATAACAGACTGGTATATCAAAGTTTGGGAAACTCACAAACCAAATAAAATTTTAGATTTTTCTGTCACTTCTTTCAGGAGTTATCTTTTTGCTGGAGTATAGAATAGTGTTCAAGGAAACACTTTACAAAATGCTAACCATAATAATCTTAAATGACCCTCCCATCCTTATTTTGGATCCCGACAACAAGCGAATTTACTGATCTATAAAATCTGCCACTCGGCCATCATTCAACCACTAATAAATACTCATTGAGGGCTGCTGCTCAGGGCACTGTGCTAGACACAGGCAAAGCAGGGTCATGCAAAGGAGGACACCTGTGAATGGAGCCTATAATCCAATTTTAACAAATGCATCAAATCAAGAAATCTACATTTATTGCTTCTGGGTAAACATAAAGTGTGAGTGCACATACACAAATCCTGGTGGTCTTCCTAAAGCTACTCATAAACCTACCACAACGAACACCTAAAACCTAAAGGGAGTAGGTCATTTCAGTTTGGATCATGGTCACTTGAGAAAATAACGCTCTCAGTAACAGCTAGTAAAGCAAAAAGAATGCGTTCATCTGTACCTGCTCAAACAGATACACAGGGGCTTTGGAGTACTGATGAAGCAGATAATCAAAGATCAAAAGGAGGCGAGCCAGGACGAGAGGCACAGAGCGCCTCTGGGCATCCATGTTGGCACTCAGCTCCTGGACGATCTGCACAAGAAGGGTCAGTACGGCCCGCCGGCCTTTCTCAGTGAAGCTGTGGAAAATGAGGAGGAGTAACTGCAGGTGTTCGATATTCAGATCTTCTGTCTCACTGGGCACCACCCCTTGCAGAGCATTCTGCTTCACTGTCGACAAAAACCTACCACAGAGAAAAGGAGAATACGTCTGGTGGGAAAAGGTCAGAACACCCCCCAAGAGTTACAATGTCACATGCTGGAAGAGTTAAACTTCTTAAACCCAGGCTTTAAGATAAATTAAGGAAGACAAAAAGCTGCATGTAAAGAGAAGATAAAAACTAAATCTTGGCTACAAAAAAGCCAGATTCGGCCACAGAAACATTTCAAAGAACCCTTAGGCAATGTCAACTGTGGCCACAGTAGTATTAACACCCACCCTGCCATTTCTGACAATGGAAGGAACCGCAAGCTCCCCAAAAGGTGGCTTTTATTTTTTTAATTAATAAACCTGAGCAGGTAGAAACAACTCAATTACTTCCCCTATACGGTGATTCTACAGTCTAATTCTTGTTTTGAGAGTTTAGTTTACACGACAGGTCAAAATCACTGCATGATTATAGTTAAAAATAACTCAACGCACTAAAAAGCAATAAAAAAGAAATTATACTATTCAGAGAACTTATCAGAAGAGCTTTTATGCAAAAAAGGAACAAATGTAGCCAACTGTACCACTGCCTTCGGCCATCAGGAAAGAGATTTGTGTTTTAATATCCCTCACCACATCCCACCCTCCACCTCCTGGCCTTTTTGCAAGATTCCACAAGGAAAAATATACTGGGTCTTTGGCATTCAAGGAGGTTTATGATTTCTCAAATCCAGCATTAGAGCTATTTGATCGGAGAATGGGGAAGAGAAAAGCAAAGCCTTTTAGGAAAACAAACTGCTTTGAAGACTCCTAACCATGTAAACAAAAATGGCAAATATAGGTCCATCTAAAGAGGATTTAGATGATTAATCTGAGCTTCCCCCAAGTAAAAAAAATTCTTTAAAAGTTGTCCAAAAAAGACTGTAAGTCACTCTAAGTGGTTTCATGTTGAAAGCAAAATAAGCAAAGACAGAGCTGACTTCCCTGATCCTTCTCTTTCAAAAAACCAGGTCAGGATAAAAGTGGTTACTTTCAGGATTCTGGTTCTACCTCATAATTGCGACCAAATCCCCCACGTGCTCAGGGAAGATTCTGTCTCCAGACCGTAGTTTATGTACTCCTGTTTTTCAAACAGTATATCTTCTCCCAACTCCCCCAATCAGAAACACACTCCTCCACTCTTGCCACTTTAAACACGATCATCAGGGTACCATCTCAGAGCCAGAGATGAACCACGAAGAAGTCAAACAAATTTTAGAAGGTAAATAACCTTCTCCACAGGGCTTCTCTTGGGGGTATCTTACCTGTCCCAAACTTTAAGGCATTCAGGGACATCAGGATCACCTTGAGCGCCGGCTTTATGTTGCCAGATGAGCAAGAGGCGTGAAAGTACAGAGAGGCTTTGGGGGTGAATGTACAAGGGCCAAGGACCCTCAGAGAAAGGAGCAACACCCAGCTGCTGCAACAGTGTGTTCTGACATGAAAGACAGACAAGAGACCATTAGGAAAAAGGCAGGGAATGAGGCCGAAAGCTTACTAATACTCTCTGATCTTACTTTTTAATACTGAAAAAAATACAATAGCCCCCTACCCCCGCTCCATCTGCAGGGGGGCTATGTTCCAAGACCCCGAGTGGATGCCTGAAATCACAGATAATACCAAACCCTATATATACTATGCTTTTTCCTATACATACATACCTATGATAAAGTTTAATTTATAGATTAGGCACAGTAAGAGATTAAACAACAATAACATTTCTTTGGCATATCCGAATTGCCAGCATCACTACTCTTGCACTTTGGGGCCATTATGAAGTACAATAAGGGTTCCTTGAGCACTGCGATACCATGACAGTCCATCTGATAACCAAGACGGCTACTAAGTGGGTAGCATATACGGCATGGATACCACGGACAAAAGGATGAGTCACATCCTGGGTAGGATGGAAGGGGACAGCTCAAATTTCATCATCAGAACAACACACAATTTAACACTTATGAATTGTTTATTTCCGGAATTTTTCATTTAACATTTTCGGACTGCAGACCATAGGTAACTGAAACTACTGAAAACAAAATCGCAGCTAAGAGGGGACCACTGTACTTTAAAGAAAGGAAGACAAGAAAATCAGATTTAGAAATGGTTTAGAGAAAGATCTTTTCATTCAACAAATGAGAAAAATAATAAAGGAAAAATTACTAATCTAACCCCATTAACAACTACAGTTAATTAGTGTCAGAAATGGAGTCCTGAAAAAAGAGAAAGGCATTGAAATAACAAAATCAGGATAATTTTTCAAATGGATAGAATTCTGTGCCTTCAAAAGAAAACTTTTTCAACAACTGTAATAGCTAACGGTTTTTCTTTCATAATCAGTTACGTACTACAAATAACACTCAAAAGGGGGCCATCCAACAACGTGTAGGTCCAACAACTTGTACTAACAGTATTAGCAGAGCAATTGGGCCTATCAGATGTCAAGGCATCTAGAATTAATTGGGGTTGTCTTTGCCTCCAGTTGCAGCAGGTCTCTCAAATGAGCTTTCCTTTCAGCTCAGTTATCTAAGCTGCAACTTATCTTCTCAAGCACACACACACTGAGCAGGATGCCAATGGAAAACCAGACAAAAGCCTGCTCCTCATTTGGCTTCAGAAAACACAAATCATGGTTACCTCAGGATATAGGATAAATTCCTAAGTCTGCCAAATTAAATTATATTCTTATAAAACATCCTCGAGGACCCCAGTCCTTGGAAATAATTATTCAAGATGTCACAGCTATCAAGAGTAGTTCACACGTATCGGGCAGTTACCACAGGCTAAGTGCTGTATCCACACCATCACACTCAACGCTCAGAGCTGTAATGGTAGGTGGGGTATGCGCCATTTTACTGATGAGGGAAATGGAGCTCAGAGCAGTTTAAGAACATGACCAAAGCCACAAGGTGACCAAGTGACAAAGCCAGGTTTATCTCTAAAACCTACATTCTTAATCTCTATGCTCCACTTAGCCCTAAACAACTTCTCAATTCCTGACTCGAGGAAACAATTCAAAAAGTAAACACGCCCAAGCTATATCCAAAATATTAACTGGAGCCCTATTGTAGTAATAAAAAATCCAAAAAACTAAGTGTTCAAATCAAGGGAAGTGCAGCCGTAACGGTAGCAACTACAAAGGCAAACCATAAAAAATATTATATACACACACACACAAATAGTAAAATGTGAAAAAAGAGAAACCAAGAGATGTTTTGATGTTCTGACTATAACTGTAAAACTATGCATCTATCTAGATGGATAGGTACTAGAAGGAAACATGGAAAAACTAAAGTCATGAATTTAGTGGAAGGATTATAGTTCACATATATTCCTTATAATGTTATTTATACAATTTCTTTTTTTAGGTATGCTTTCTGGTAAGGAAGAGCAGCCCTGAGCTAACATCTGTTGCCAATCTTCCTCTTTTTCTTTCCTTCCAAAGCCCCAGTGCATAGTTGTACATCCTAGTTGTAAGTCATTCCAGTTCTTCTACGTGGGACACTGTCACAGCATGGCTTGGTGAGCCGTGTGTAGGTCCCACACCTGGGATCCAAACCAGTGAACCCCAGGCCACCAAAGCAGAGCACATGAATTTAACCACTATGACACCGGGCCAGCCCCTATATACAATATTTTTTTAAGTGAAGTGTCTTTTTGTCTGTTTTGTGTCAGTTCTTTTAGGCCTCAGAGCCATGAGAAATGAGTTAACGTCCTTCAGACACCTGGTTTTTCCCTACCACTCCAACTCTTATTAGGTTAAGCAAGAGGAACTGACTTTCTAAGAAGGAAACCTGAGCCACAGCACAGCAGCACAGTCCTGACCTGAGCCGTTCCCTTCCACCTCCGGACACCCTTCTCCGCCCCTCTGTAACGCCGGCCTTCCCCTGGCTCCGCCTCAGCCTTCATCTCTCTTGCTGTCCTCCATCCATCTCATTGGTCTTCATTATTTCAACAACAGCCTCTTAGTGGATAATTCCCAAAGCTGTATTATCAATCTTAATATTTTAACTCCTGAATTTCAGACTCACATTTCCAACTATTTTCTAGACATCTTCATCCCAATGGTACCTCAAAATTTCAGTATATTTAAAATGATTTTTTTCAATAGTTGTAATGGTGACTGTTTAAACTGATAACATTGATGATACACAATGTACAACTCTTGCATATAATTCTTGAATACAAAATTCTTGTATACAAAACTACACAATGGTTTTTCTCATTTGACTGAAAGGGCGACACACTGACAAAGGTAGCACCGTAATCACTTGGGTAATGCCTCTGAAAACTGCCTTTAGCTTCCTCCTTCCCTAACAAAGGGCCTTACGCTCAGCTATACAACTTTCTAGACTGCACAATGGCTTCAAGGCTGGCTACCACAAGTGACTAAAAGAAAGTCATGCTGGTGAGCGGACACTGACTTGTTTGTTTTATGGCCAAGAGGCACATGAAAAGATGTTCATCATCACTGATCATCAGGAAAATGCAAATCAAAACCACACTAAGATATCACCTTACACCCATTAGAATGGCAAAAATAACCAAAACAAAAAGTAACAAATGTTGGAGAGGTTGTAGAGAAAAAGGAACCCTCATACACTGCTGGTGGGAATGCAAACTGGTGCAGCCACTATGGAAAACAGTATGGAGATTCCTCAAAAAGTTAAAAATAGAAATACCATATGACCCAGCCATCCCACTACTGGGTATCTATCCAAAGAACTTGAAATCAACAATTCCAAAAGTCCCATGCACCCCTATGTTCATTGCAGCACTGTTTACAATAGCCAAGACGTGGAAGCAACCTAAGTGCCCATCAACTGATGATTGGATAAAGAAGATATGGTATGTATACACCATGGAATACTACTCAGCCATAAAAAAGAATAAAACCATCCCATTCACAAAAACATGGATGGACCTTGAGGGTATTATGTTAAGTGAAATAAGCCAGGTAGAGAAAAACAATCTCTGTACGACTCCATTCACATATGGAACTTAAACATGTAGACAAAGAGAACAGATTAGTGGATACCAGGGGAAAGGTGGGGTGGGGGTGGGCACAAAGGGTGAAGTGGTGCACCTACAACATGACTGACAAACACTAATGTACATCTGAAATTTCACAAGGTTGTAAACTATCATAATCTCAATAGAAATTTTTTTTAAAAAACAGAGAAAATGGCAAATTATGCCTCATGTACCTAAAGAATCCAAAGGATCACTCTGAGTAAAGGTAAAACAAGTGCTCCATGAGTAAATACAGCCTCTGAGCTGACTTCCACCTAAGACAGTGAGCCAACTGAGCGTTCAATATCATTCCTTCTACCCTCAAACCAACTCTCCTTCCTTTTTTTTTTTTGAGGAAGATTAGCCCTGAGCTAACATCTGCCACCAATCCTCCTCTTCTTTGCCAAAGAAGACTGGCCCTGAGCTAACATCCATGCCCATCTTCCACTATTTTATATGTGGGACGCCTGCCACAGCATGGCTTGACAAGCAGTGCATAGGTCCACATCCAGGATCCGAACCAGGGATCCCCAGGCTACCGAGGTGGAATGTGCAAACTTAACTGCTGCGCCACCTGGCTGGCCCCCAACTCTCCTTCCTGACTTCCAAATTTCCATTAAAGACAACAGCATTCTTCTAGTCTCATTTAGGTTTTAGACCCAGGGAATATCTCAGACTCCTTCCTCCCCATGTCCTTCACCCCATTCAAATAATTTCCCATGATCTCTACAATAGGTCCTTTATCCACACCAAATCTCCCTCTTTTCTCATGACCCCACACTAATTCGAGTCATCTTTATTTCTTCAGTGCCTACAACAGTACCTAGCACATAGTAAGTGCTCAATGCATACTACTTATTGAATGAATGAACCCAGATCACTATAGTAATATTATTAGTTATAATTTTATATGTAATATTAAATACAACAATAAATACAATAATATTAAATAAGAATAACAGTAACAAAATAATGAAGACAGCAGCTCATGTTTGGCAGGTACTAGTACTATATGGCAGGGTACTTTTTTTTCCCACTTTTTTTGGTAATAAAATAACATAATGTAAAATTGACCATTTTAACCATTTTGAAGTGTAGTTCTACAGCATCAAGTACATACACAATGTGCAACCATCACTACCATCCATCTCCAGCACTTTATCTTCCCCAACTAAAACTCTGTACCCATTATACACTAATGGGTATAGTGCATATACAATATAATATGTGATACTGTGATATAATAAGAACTATGTATTTTCTCTTGGTCCCATTCCTGGCACAAAGCTCCTAAAACTCCTATAACTTCCTGAGTGACAGGGGTGAGAGGAGTATCTTTTGTTCTAATAAGCCCCTTTCAATAACACCTGAGTTTATGCTAATGAGGTGACTTGGTGGGCCCTAGTTAGCTTCAGGATGGGGGCTGGCTGCCAGAGGAACCAACCATATGATGAGAGGGCTGGAATGTTCGGCCCCACCCCCAACCTCCAGGCTAGAGGCTGTTATCCACCGATGGCCAATGCAGCAGGATGCCAATGGAAAATCAGACAAAAGTCTGCTTCTCATTTGGCTTCAGAAGACACAAATCATCTTAGGAGACTGCTTTACTAGATGAATTTGAAAGAAAAAACAGAGGGGCCATGCCAACCACACACATCTTCTCCCATAGCCTTTCAGAAGAAAGTCCTCTTCCCAAGATGTTCATAAGTCATCAATAAGTAAGTTTCAATTTCCTCTCTAATAGGGAATAGTTCTAACTGGTCTTACTAACTCAAAGCCATAGTTCTTTATTGCCCTGACAGTTGAAGACAATTCTTAAGACATAACTTCTATTTGTCCCCAGACTAAGACAGACTAGGAAGAAGCACCTGGCCACCCACTTCCGAAAAAACTGGCCATAAAGATCCTATGAATAGCAGCGGAGCTTGTCTAATACAGAGCCAGAAGGTGAGAGGATGGCGTAAAAAGACGGGGCAGGGTTCCACTCTGCTGTCACAGGGGTGCTAGGAGTCAGGATCAACTCCACGGCACTAACAACAAAGATTACACTGACTATCCTTCACTTTCTTCCATCATAGCAGTGAAATGTGGGGGAAGAATTTAAAGCCCCTTGTTTGGAGATGGAATGAAAAGGGGGTTTAAAGATTTCCTCTGCATAAAGTTAGTAGTTATGGGCAGCCGGTTTGCATGTCCACACAATGTCTGTAATTATTTTTAAAATGCTAAGAGGGCAACATCACTACAGGAATCTTAAGAACTCCTATTTTCTAGAGAAAAATATTTCTTCCCCATTATTTGGACAAATTTAGACAGGAACAGACCAAGTCTATGAACTTTGAAACTTCTCTAAATAAACTCAGATGTGGGCAAAGAGCTGAAACTTTGGCAGGACACCCTAACCCTACACAGTGTGAGAAGGTAGTACAGGCGATATACTAACTAAAGCATTTCCTTCTCTTCATCTTAGGTAGGTCAACCTTTTACAAACTGCCCTCTTGTCTATTTTGTCCACTTTTCTATTAGGACAGTCATCAGGAGTTTGTTTTCGTAGTTTTTCCTTTTCTTTAACCTTACTGAGTCACTTAGGGGTACAGGACACATTTTGTTTTCCTTAAAATGATCCTAATTAGGGGCTGGCCCCGTGGCCAAGTGGTTAAGTTCGCGCACTCTGCTGCCGGCGGCCCAGTGTTTCGTTGGTTCGAATCCTGGGCGCGGACATGGCACTGCTCATCAAACCACGCTGAGGCAGCGTCCCACATGCCACAACTAGAAGGACCCACAACGAAGAATACACAACTATGTACCGGGGGGCTTTGGGGAGAAAAAGGAAAAAATAAAATCTTTAAAAAAAAAAAAAAAATGATCCTAATTAAAGCAGAGGGACATACTAGAATAACCTCTCAACATTCTTTCTAGGGAAGGGATTCCATGACAAACCGTGTTCCTTAGCAAAAAGAACAAGTGCGCCTACTGAGAGCTGATGTCAAGAGCATTGGCCTAAATAGTCACAGTGCACACAAACCTGCAGGTTGGGAGATTGGAGGTCAGAAGTTACCAGAGAGTGGTTGAAGTGATAGAGAGCAGCAGCAAACTCTTCATCTGACGAACCTTGGAGACAAACGAGAAAACTAATTACACAAGCATCACACCACCCTGCCAACGGCCAAACCCCACTGGAAAAAAATCCACCAGGCACATATCCTGTCTACTGACCCCTGAGTCCATCTTTGTCCACCTCCTTAATGATACTGGCCAGGGTGGCCATATGGTGTTCTGAAAGAGAGACACTCAGATAGTTTCGGATAAAATTGTTCCGAGAGTTCAGCATGGAAGAGGTGATGAAGTTCAAAATGTTGGAAGCCAGACCTAAGAACTAAAAAACACAAAAAAGCTCATATCAGGTTCATAAGTCCAGAGCTCCTACAAATCCTAAATATAAACAGGAAATAACATATGCCCATTGGTCTCCTGCAATAAACACAATGAACTAAAGAACTAGATTTTAAATCACCTACAGTGGGACTCAGTTTAATTATGACAGTCTTTCCCATGTAATTCTACCAGTTATACAAAAAGGTGTGCCAGCTTTACAACGGACTTCACAAAATATTGTATGAAGACAGGATTTCCAAATAGACTGATTCATTTCTTTCCTTCCTCTAAGGTCCTGCATTTGTCTAGCTCTAGAACATTATTGATATATTCAATTCTGAAGCCTATATTATCATTACATACATACAGAATTCACAGCATTTTACTTCCCTATTAAAATTAAATTGAGGGCCAGCCCCCGTGGCCTAGTGGTTAAGTTCAGCGCACTTTGCTTTGGTGGCGCGGGTTCGGTTGCCAGGCACAAACCTACACCACTCTGTTAGCGGCCATGCTATGCTGGTGGCCCACATACAAAAAAATAGAGGAAGATTGGCATGGATGTTAGCTCAGGGCGAATCTTCCTCAGCAAAAAAAATTTGAAAATAAAAATAAATTGAATTATTGTATAAATGCTTTATGCCCATATCCTCGACTAGACTAAGCTGTGTGTGAAAGCAAGGATTCTATGTGACTTGTTTGCCGATATGGCTTCAGAATAGGGGCTGACATAGTATGTAATCAATAAATACTGGGTGAACTAATAGCAAGTATTTATGATGTACCAGACCTACGCTGACTCTTTAATTCTTCACAACATCCTTAGAGGCAAGTACAATCACTCCCATACAATAGGAAAGAAAACTGAGGGGGGCTTGGAGAAGATTCTTGCCCAAAGTTACAAAGTCAGTAAGTGGCAAAAGTAGGATTCAAACTCACTTCTGTCTAATTCCAAAGTCTATGCTACTAACCACCCATCAGAGAAATAATATCAGGAGCACAAGTTATTTAATCAAACACAATCAATACGCTTAAGTCCTAAGTAAAAATATATTTAAACATTACAGTTCTCCAACTTTCAAAAAGGTTTTGCTTCAAATGATCCGTTTTTCACACCCCTTCTCCCCATTTCTGCTTCCCCTAAACCTCAGAAATCCACTCTTACCAACTCAGGATCTTTGCGACTAGCCAAAATGTTGCCCTTGTCACCAGGGGCCTGCTTACTGGGGCTTTTAACTCGAGGCGAGCTCTCCAGCGGAGGAGGCGGGGGAGGAGGCGGAGGCGCCACTTTCTCTTTACTGGGGGAGATGGTCTCCTCAAACCACTGCCCCAAAATAGGCTCGCTGTCATCATCTGAACACAGAAAGAGAAAAGTAACAAAAATATCAATTTTTTTTTTTTAATTTCAGTACATCTGCTTTGCAAAAGTGCCTAAGTCAAAAGGAACACAAAGATATCTTGATTATGGGGTAGTTACATGGCTGCATAAACTTGTCAAAACTCATCCAAATGTACACATAAAATGGGAGCATTTTATTGTATTTAAATTATGTCTCAGTAGAACTGATATTTTTTGAAAGGAGCCCAATGAAAGAAGAGAAACAACCTCACTTTGTTTTACTGGCAACAAGCCAAACATTTTCAAGAGCAAATTTTTACTTATCAATTGTAAACCCCAAGATAAGAGTCATACTTTTCACAGTACTTTACATTGCTCCCACAAAACTGATTATACAGAATCGGAGATATTTATCTTATTCAGTCTCTCTCCAAACTAAGGCAGGAGGAAATGCTAGTTTTGTCCTAGTGTTCACTACAACAGAGCATGGAGTTTCTCTTCCTTGCTTCCCCAAGCCACAAATCTACGACAACAGCCAAACCAACCACCTCACACACAACCTTTTGAGTTTCACTGGGAAAGCTCAGAGAAGAGTTCACAAAATGGATCAAGACAAAAAGGTATATGAAGAACTGAGATGTACTTTGATTTTGGAGGGAAAGGAATGAAAAGCACAGTAGTTTCTCTCATTTGCTCTTCAACAGCTCAATTCGCTGTTAAATAACATGTCACCTTTACAGGCACATGAAAGTAAGACCCAGGCTAGTCAGACAAAAGGAAATGGTAAACAGGGAACCATAAGGGACGTCCTGGGGTGACTTCTCCCCCAGGAGAGAGAAAAGAGGCCTCTACCTTGGCTGCTGTCCTCCTCCGTGCTGCTGAAATCATCCTCGTAGTAGGTGTTTGAGTCAGTGGAGGCGCTGGCATCGCTGCTCATGGAGCCCTTCCTCTGACGCTGCAGGACACAGGCCTAGGAACACAGCAAGGTTTCTCTAACTGCTGATCACAGAAACAGAGCCATCCCACTTCAACTCATTCACCACATAAAGTTTTCCCCAAGTCTTACTCTTTTTTCTAAATCTAAGAGGTAGTGTCCTAAGAGCTCCCCTCAGGACTCTCATTGCTTTATCCCACAAAAGCACTCCAAAACCAGAGACATGGACAGAACTGAAAAAGGAATGTTTGCATAGTGTCCTCTGTTGGCTTCAGCAAATGAGTTGTCACAAATCACCAGGTAGCCATATGCATCACAAGGCTCATAATCAATAACTGATTCAAATGTTTGGTATCATTTAAGAATTCCTCTCATCTTCAAAACGACTACCACAAATTTTGAGTTTATAAAGGCCACGTTGTCCAGTGTTATTCATTTTGAGAAGGTGACATTATATAAGATCTTCCAAATTACCAACGGTGTGGGCCCACCCACCTTTCTGTAGGAAGTTGAGAGTAATGTCAACAGCAGGTTTGTCAGTGGGACAGAGTCAATCAGCCGTTGAATCCTCTGTATGGAGGTGCTCTGGGCCATAATGTTCAGAACAGCAGGGGGACCATCGGTCTCCCAACCCTAAAGGTAACAAGATCAAAAGAGAATTAATGATACAACTCAGCAGGAAATAACAACTTGATCTGATGGCTCAAGCCAGCTTATCCAGAAGCAGACCCAGCAAGCAATGTGCTGATTCCCCGAGTACAATCCCCTCACCTTGTGCAGAGCCTCCACTTGCAGGTCTTGAAAGAGAGATGTTAACAGCTTCACAGCATGGTTTGCCAATATTACCGACAGCACCCCAAATCCCTGATGCCTAGACAATGCAAATGGAAAAGACAAACCTTAAGATAACTTACAACCTTGGAAACAGTGGATCTTGACATTTCGGGGTCCTAGACTCTTTCAGAATCTATGGGCCATTCCCCAGGGGAAAAAACTTGCACAAATACACAAAATCTGCATATAATTTCAGAAGCTCACAATCTCCCTGAAGCCCATCCATGGACTGCCTACGCATTCACAGGCTTCAGGCTAAGAACTCCAGGACTAGAAGAAACTCTTCCAAATCCATGCAATTTCGGAATTTAAACTATCAATTCAAAGCTTCTGGGTCATATGAGGATGCTGATACTTAGATGTTGGTTCAACTTTTTAAAAGTCATTCTTTTGAGAAGAAAAAGGTTAAAACTTACCAAATTCTATAAAAGTATCTGGGCACAAACCAAAGGGAATAAAAGCAAAGTTTTACAGTAAATCCGAGTAAAACTTTTCCTTCTGTCCCAATGACCATGTGACAAAGGGTCAGTATATCTAATATACAACGAGTTCATGTAAATCAGTAAGAAAAAAGGACAAACACTGACGAGAAAACTGGAGCAAAGGACATCAGCAGTTTACAAAAGAAGAAACACAGATGACCAATAAAATATGTGAAAAGGACTACAATCACACTGGGAATCAAAGAATACAAATAAGAGCAATATAATAATATCTTTCTCCTCTAAGATTAGCAAACACGAAGACTAACGATGTCCACTGTCGACACAATCTGGGGAAATGGGCATCTGCACACAAGCTGGTGGGAATGCACATTAGAGCAGATTGGCAAAACATTTCAAATTTTTAAATAAGTGCGCCCTTGTCCTAACTTTTACACTTCTAGAATTTACTGCAAGGGGATAATGAAATAAGCTCACAAAGATTTATGTTTTGGAAGGTTTATCAAAGCATGTTCTATCAAAACAAGAAATTTGGAACAACCTAAATAAGTGTTCAAGAAGGTAATTACTTAACGATGGGCTATTCATATAACGGAATACCATCAGCCACTAAAAACTTATATAGAAACCATAATAGTGTCACTGAAAAGACGTCTACAATATTTTGAACCAGTGATCCTATTTTTGTAAATATATTTTACACATATGCACAGAAAAATACCTCAAAGATTGTTTATCAATTTGGGTGGTAGAAGTTGGGATGATTTTTTTCCTTTCTTATAGCTTGTAATTTATACAAGGTACATGTACCCTTCTTAAATCTCAACAAGAGCCATTTTCAAAATCTAACCGCTACTTCTCAGGCTGTACCTTTTGGCCTCCCATTTCCCTTTATACTGCCAAGAGTGAAGACACATACTCACGAAACCACAAACCACTGTTGTCTCTGCAACGCACTTGCCTCCCTACTCTACCTAGTGTCTACCGCCTACCATGACAATGCCTATTTCAGACTTCAGTTCAATTAACACTTCCTCATGGGAGCCTGCCTTGACTTTTCTGACCAGGTCAAAAGCCCGTATTATAATATTCTTTAGATACAATTTGATGTATACTTGTACAAATATCAACTTCATGTCTCTTGGGAATGTGTCCATTTTTTTTTGTTGGTCACAGCAAATTCCAGAACTGACAGAGCCTGAGACAAAGATACTTAGTGGATAATGTATTGAATGAGGTCCAGAATTTAACTTCCTCCTTAAACTTCAGACTCATGACCCAGCTGCCTACTCAACATCTCAAATACAGCTCTGACAGTCATCTCAAACTCAGCACGGCCAAAATTATTCTTCATTTTTTCCTGTCCTGCCACCTAATCTACTCCTAAGTTGGTGTTCCCTCTAAGTAAGTTACACAACCCAGTTGCTCATGCCAAAAAACTCTGATGTCATATTTTGCACACTCAACATCCAAGCCCTCAGCAAATCCTGTCAGCTGTACCTTCAAAACAGATCCCAATGTGACCCCTTCTCTGCCTTTACCGCCACCACCATTTCCAAGTCCCCTTCATCTCTCCTTCAGAGTACAGCATTTGCTTCCTAACTGTTCTCCCTCCTTCTTATGACCCCGCAGTCTGTTCACACATCAGCTGCTTTCTCAGACACTAGTAAATCAGATGCTAACACTCCCCTGTTGAAAACTGTTTAACACCTACAGATTACACTCTGCCCTAGGTGATCTGGGCCCTGGCTACCTCTCTGATCTAATTTTCTACCACTCTCCCTCCTCGATTTCTTATTCCACCCACAGTGACCATGCTGATCCTAGAAAATGCCAATCATACTCCCACCTCAAAACCTGAACAATTCTACTCTGAAATTTGTATGGCTCACTCTGTCACTTCACATGTGTTCTCTACATCTTGCCTTCAGAGCCCTTTCCTGACCATCCTGACCAAAGGAACAACCCCTGTCACTCTCCAGCCCCTTGCTCTGCCTTATTTTCTTCATGACATTCATATATGATCAGCTGTCATGAGCTTATTACTGTATTTGTTCACTGTTGCTCCAGTCAGAAAAGAAACTCCACAAAGGCAAGCACTTTGATTAGTGCTGTATCTTCAATGCCTTCCTAGAGCCTAGGACATGGTAGGGACTGAATGAGGAAACGAAATTCAGGAACGTCTGGGCTAAGAAAATAAAACCTTAAACAGCACAGAAGTCATATCTCTAACTTCTTGCCTTGCAAGCAGGGCTTACTGTCCAGACTTCATCAAAACAGAAACGTTTCAGGAAGCAGGCCAGGAGGACCTAGCAAGATCCTCACTTTACAGGTTAAACACACAAATGAGTAATCAACTCCAAGTCAAACGAGACCAGTATACAAAATAGAACTGTTTTTTCTGATTTGAACCTCATAAAGATCCTAAAATATATATTACACAGATATCTTCTCCCTCTTATAGGTAAGGAAACAAGATCGGAGAGACTGTCTACCCCAAATCTCACAGCTCTGATGTGGAGTAGTAGACTAGGATCATCATCTTAGCTCTTAAATTCAACCAGATATAGAGGCAAATTCTTCCAGGGATGTGAAGATGAGAGGAGTTACACTAGCTCCCCATCAATAAAAAACGGCAGGGAAACAAAACAGAAGTGACAGCCAAGTAGACACATACCCTTTCCCAGGCCCCAGTTTCGGAGAGCCCACTCCCTCTTTTGTCCGAGAAAGGATGTCTCTGACTCGGAGCGCAGCCAGTGGATCTTTCTCTTTCCCCTTATCAGCCAAGGCAGTAGGACTCAGGTTCAATATGAGGAAAAGGCTGTTTAACAAACACCAGGCACCCAGCAACTGGAAGTTCTGATAGTGCTGTTGGAAAATGCACAAAAGAAAAATATGAATGTAGGGATTTTACAGGCCACAAAACAAGAACACATCTTAAAGCCTACAAGACAGGAACGTGGCAGACGTGCTTCTTACCTCACCACCAGCCCGGCGGGAAGTGCTGATTGCTTGTCCAATCATGTCATAGATTTCAAGCTGTCCAATATCAAACACACAAAACTCTGAGCAAGCTGACCTATTTCACTATAAATGCTAAATCCTACCCAAATTAACTTAGCTTGAAGAGTTAAACATCCTCAAGTCACTTTCCAATGATATAATTCCGTCACATTTTTCTTGATCTTCACATGGCATTGACTCTCACTTTTCATTCAACTCAAATGTCACCTTCCCAGAGGGTTCCCTCCACCCAATCTAAAGCAACACACCCAGGCCCACATCAGATCACTTTCTATCACATTTATTGGTCCTACACACTTACTGCTATCTGAAATCATCTTGTCTCCACTAAAAGTACACTGACACATGGTAAGCCCTCAAATACATTTGCTGATTAAATGACTCATCTTTCATGAGGTCCACTGCTACCACAAAGGTGCCGTGTTTTCTGCAGAGTCAAGTAATCTACCAAATAAACAAGCTGAGTGCATATCTCTCAGACCTACTACCCAAAGGGAAGGAGTGTGGAGAGGACTCCAATCCTCTCCTCAACCAAGGAAGAAGGTGGGATGGGCCACACCCCCTCAGTGGAACAACTGAGGCTCCTGCGTCCCTGAGGCCCGGCTTACACATTTCTGGACAATCGTAGCTGCATCACTCTCATAGTCTTCCTCTTTGGAGCTCGTGGACCCTGTCCGCACCTGCTGGGCACTCCCCACGTGAAGGATGGCCATGCAAGTTGCCACACTCACACCTGCAAAACAAAAGATGCACAGATTCTAATTATGGCATGGTCGGTCTCAGGAATCCACCAAAACTGAAACAAAAAAACAAAACCCAGGGGCCAGCCCAGTGGCGTAGTGGTTAAGTTTGCACGCTCCACTTCGGTGGCCTGGGTTTCGCGGGTTCGGATCCCGGGCACAGCCCTATACACTGCTCATCAAGCCACACTGTGGTGGTGTCCCACATACAAAATAGAGGGAGACTGGCACAGATGTTACCTCAGGGCCAATCTTCCTCACCAAAAACAAACAAACAAAAACACAACCCACCCACAAGCAAGTCCATGATCTGATTACTGAAAGTAAATTCCATAACGGCAAGCCTAAACACGTAGTGTTACCATACAATCCAGCAATCACACTCCTAGGTATTTACCCAAATGAGTCAAAAACTTCCATCCACACAAATATTTATTGTAGCTTTATTCATAAACGCCAACAAATGGAAGAAATCAAGATGTTATTCAACAGATGAATGGATAAACAAACTGTGGTACATTCACACAAAGAATACTATTCAGCAATAAAAAGAGATGAGCTATCAAGCCACAAAAAGACATGGAGGAACCTTAAATGCATTTTCTAAGCAAAAGAAGCCAGTCTGAAAAACCTACATACTATATAGTTGATTCTAACTATATGACATTCTGGAAAAGGTAAAACTACGGCAACAGTATAAACATCAGTGGTTTCTAGGGGTTGGGGTAAAAGAGTAGGGGAGAGGGAGTACTAAGAGCACAGGGGATTTTTAGGGCAGTGAAACCATTCTGTCTAACACAGTCATGATGAACGTATGACATCACCCATTTGTCAAAACCCACAGAACTGTACAACACAAAGAGGGAACCCTAATGTAAACTATGGACTTCAGTTAATAATAATGTACCAATACCGGTTCATCAATTATAGCATGTATCATATTAACATAATACGTTAATAACGGAAACTGTGTACTGGGAAGAGAGGGTATATGGAAACTCTGTACAATACGCTCAACTGTTCTGTAAACCTAAAACTGCTTTAAAAATAAAATCTGCTAATTTTAAAATATTTTTGTTAAGTTTTTTTTAAGATTATAGGGAAAAAAAATCCCACACTTAGTACATCTCTAAGACATCAAGGCCAAATCCCTTTCCTTAAATCAAATCCCAGGTGATCAAATTCCAACAAACCAAATCTGGGATCTTTAATCCAACTAAGAATTTTTAAGGAATCTTTAATCCTTATTGACTAAGTATACTGAGATCCATGTGATATTCAAGAAATTCCCTGAAAATTGAAATTAAACCCCAAATTAAAAAGTGCAAAGATCAGAGGTAGAGGCCTAGGAAATAAATACTGGAAACGGGCTTGGAGAGAGCACATTCTCACATGTAGCCCTAACTTGCCGTTCCTACTGCTGCTGCACTAGCCCAGGTGCTTACTGTGTCTCATGTGAATGACTGCAAACTCCTCCTAACAGATCGTCTGCCTCTCATCTCGCCAAACAAAATATCCTGCATACTACTGCTTGAATGTTCTTCCTAAAACGTAGCTCAGCTCACATCACACTTTGAAATCTTTAACAGTCTCTACTGGCTTGCGGGATATGGTCCAATGACTGAGACTGCATTTCTAAGCCTGCTGTGATTGGGTCCTACTTTCCTTCCAGTTGTATAACACCCACTAATCACACAGACTTACACACACACAGACTTACACAATATGTTCCCCCAAACTCTAGAATACTTTTGGTCCTGCTTTTGCCTCTGCCTAGGGATACAGCCTGGCTGAAATTCTACCTGCCCTGTGAGATACAAGAACAGATCTTCATGACTGCTACCTCCCCTGAATTAAAGTGCCTTTATTTATTTATTTTTTTTTTTTGAGGAAGATTAGCCCTGAGCTATCTGCTGCCAATCCTCCTCTTTTTGCTGAGGAAGGCTGGCCCTGAGCTAACATCTGCGTCCATCTTCCTCTATTTTATATGTGGGACGCCTAACAGCACGGCTTGCCAAGTGGCGCCATGTCTGCATCCGGGATCCGAACCAGGGAACCCCGGGCTGCCAGAAGCAGAACGTGCGCACTTAACCGCTGCACCACCGGGCCAGCCCCTTAAACTGCCTTTATTTTTATACTTCCATTTGCACACACGTTCAAAATAAAGCTATTCAAAGAATGTAGGGAGATGAGCAATCTCAGCAATTTCTTGGTGGTCCCAAGGCCAGGTATCCAAGAGTGTTCAAATCCTCACTTGCAGAACCAAGTGAACTCTGGAAATTATCATATCTTCCAAGACATACCAGGGCTATGGTAACTCTTGGAATTTTAAAACCAAGGATCAGTGAACTGGGTCAAAAAGTTACTGTAACAGTAACTTCAAAGAAAGTCCACACCAGCTGTCAGGCCCCACTTCCAAGGCGGCACGATCAACAGGAAGAAGGGGGATTTTGTAAGAGCAGGGAGAACAACGTTAGTCACATCTATCAACATAAACAGATACCACCTGTCCCATGAAGTCGTCCCCAAACCTGCTTCCACAGCAAGACGCAATCCCTCCCTTCTCCGTGTGCCCATAACACTCAAGACTTCTCCTGCTGCCTTATCACCTCCTGTTTCACATTATACCATGCATTCCTGTCTGTCCCCCACTGCTCCAGCACAGGATCCTTGAGGGCAGGGACTACATACTGTTCCATTTCAATATCCAGTAGACACTTATTATCTGCACATACTATGAAATCAAACATGCATTTAAGACAATGTCAGCAGTTGAACAATAGGACAACTTACAAAATTCCTACTGAGACCTCATTTCACCCAGATATTAGATGAACCTTGGTGGAAGGGGCCAAGTAAAGGGGGAGACAGCTGAGTACTCAGAAATATCTCATGGTTTCCTGAAAGTATACATGTGCTTGACTGAGAAAATGAGACCAGACATAGTAACTTCTCACCTGCGTACAGACAACTTAGGCTGAGGACTGTCACATCTTGTAGACGAGAAGGATTGAGAGGTTCCAACACAGGTAGAGAAAGGGTATCCAATGCCATAGTTACGTCAATCACCAATGAATGAAAACTGGAACATAAAAGAGGAGATTAACAAAAGTGCCTCTCTGAATCACTTGATTCTACAATCCGACAGTTAAAGAAAGCTGACACGCAGTAACAACTAACCATTTTCTCTCTTTTTGATAGCAGCATTAGAATGTAAAGCATATGCAGCCTGGAGCACCTTACCCATTCCGAACAGCAGTGGCATCTGCTACTGTGGCAGGCATGATGAAGAAGGAATTGGCCGACACCGCATCTTGAAAGCGATTGATGTAGCGCAGGAAATATGGCAGGTTCAAACACACACGCAGTAGCTTCTCTGAGCCACCTGAATTAACAAAAAGGCTTGACCTCACAAATAGGCCTTTGTCTGCTGCTTGATTCTTTCCCACTTATGGAGTTTTTGAAAGCAGAAAAACCAGTTTTCTGACAATCAGAGTCTTACCAAGCTCTTGAAGACTAGCTACGTTCTGAGCTATGAATACATTCTTGGTTTTGATAGCAGAGGCTTGATCTGTGGATGACTGCTCATCACCTTCTCCTTCCGCCTGAAGAGAAACAAGATGTGAAAGACCTATCAAGATACCATCATCTGTTGACTGCTGCCCTGGTTCAGAAGCAAGCCAACTGTCCAAAGTAAGCAGCAGCTCCACGGTACTCTTCAGACTCCCAGTTAATGAGGGGAAAATTCCTCTCTAATGCTGGGAAAAATACAAGCTATTTTCCCAAGAGGAGAGCAAAAATATATAGCTCTAAAATAAATATATTCTACAGCTGGTAGAGTGATGCCTTTTACAAAAAATTGTACATGCTCTTTATATTTGTTTATTTACAATGAGAAATGCTGGAAGAATGGTCATCAAAATAGTAGTAACTGTGGATGAAAGGAGCTGGGGTGAGATTTGCTTTTTTTTGGTTTGTACTCTTCCATTTTTTCCTACAATAGGCATGTACATCATTTTATATCACAAATATAAACTATGTTTGTTAATTTTTTTTTCTAGCATTCTCTCTCATCTTAAAAAACTCCATGGGATAAGGACATTTGGCTAAAGTAACTCACCAGAGTCTGTGGACCAGCGGGTGGTGATGCTACAGTTCGAGGGTTGAAAACTGACGTCAGCTGGTTCAAAAAATTCATCTGTACCTCCTTCTGCCTCAACTCTGGGCTTATTGGTGAGGCCAACTCTTTCTGATCTTCCACTACAAAATACAAAAGCAAACAAAGGGATGAGGACAGTGCCATGAGAAGGCAAAACAGCTAAAAGCTGGACAGGGAAGCGGCCAAGTAACCGTCTGGCAAAGGAATACCCACCATCTGAGAGCGTCTTCACTGTCTGCGGCAGCTTGGCCGATTTCATCATTGCTGTAAACGTGATAATTTCAGTTCTGTCTAGTCGGCTACACCCAGTGCACAGGCCCTTGATGAGGAGAATCAGGTGTTTCTGAAAGAAAACAAATGCAATATGTCTTTTAGAAGATTTTACTCTTCTGGGACTTCTAAGTGGCACAGGGCCAAATTTAGGCTTATATCAAGAACTGCAAATTAGGAAAAACACTAAAGCAGAGATCAGAGTTGACTATCCTCAGACCATATCGGGCTTGCAGATTTGTCTTATTGTCCTCACGGTGTTGCTGTTGTTTTTAATTTGAAGTTATGGCTAACTTTTCAAAACAGGGAAGGCTTAACATACTAATCCAGATTTCTTCTCTCTCTCAATAATTCACAAGACACAGCAACTTTGAGCCTGTACTCCTGCATAGCAACAAACAGCTGAAGCCAAACAGTGATCGGCCCCTTTAGCTGGGTCCTGCACCCTTCTCACTAGCATGCATTACTCGTTTGGTGTTACTTGCCTGGCCCCTGAAGACAGGTAACTTTGCAATCCTTGAAAAAGTCTCTGCAGCTCTCTATCCCAGAGGTTAGCAAACCACAGCCCCAATTCAGCCCACTGCCTATTTTCATAGATAACGTTTACTGGCCACAGCTACCCTCATTCATTTACGTATTGTCTGTGGCTGCTTTCACATTACAAAGGCAGAGTTTAAAAGGCAGCAACTAGCTGCAACAAGGACTGGCTGGTCAGCAAATTATTTCCTATTTGGCCTATTACAGAAAAAGTTTACCATCCTCTGCTCTATGCCATCCCTTCTCCATCATTCCACTACTCAGTCACAATCCTACCTCAAAATAAGGGCCAGAATGGGGCCATCACTCTCACCTGGGAAACAGCGCAAGCCTCATCTGGATTCTCCAGACGTAGGAGAGAAAACTCAATCAGGACTTTACAGGCTGCTGCCACCGACTGAAGTTGGTTCCGAGGAACTGAGAAAGTAATAAGCTTTACTTAACCCCAGACTGCTATATCTCACTTCATAGTCAATAAATCAGTCAATAAATCAAACAAAACAAGAACTGAGTTTCACATGTCTAACATTCCCAGTATCATTCTATGATGATAATTATTCAGAGCCAACAACCCAAGGGGCAGACAACAGCATCCCGGCATGGATAACCCCCAATCACTTATAGGCCCAGGAAGTCTGGCTCCAGAGTTCATGCTCTTAACCACTGGCAGAGACTGTCTATCCTTTCCCATGGGTTCTAAACGCCTTTTTGCAAAGGGGTTTCCTACAAAGCTTCTTCAAGCTGAAAGTGACTCCTCTACAAGTAGCCAGTGCCTCTAATAAACAGCACTGGACACTGAAAGATTATTCAGCAACCCAATAGCTTCCGTTCATTTTACTTGCTTAGGAAACTAGTTAAGTAAACAAACAATCAGAATTCTTCAGAACTGAGTTAGTACAAAAAAACTAAAAATGCAAAAATTCAGAAATAGTGGAAAATAAGAGCTTGATCGCTTTTTGGGTAGAAAAGTTTAAAAGATGGGGAACTTAAGTTGAAATCCCTTCATATACCAGAGAACACAAAAGGAGAATTTACTTTCTCATCAAAACCAAATAAGGAACACAGCCTTGGTTAGTGGTTGCTAACCCCAGGTCAGTATCCACCCATCCTCCCCACCAGCCCCCCTGAAATTAACACACTAGTAACTATATGTGTGAAATCAATAAAATGCTTTTGATTAAGAAGGTAAGGAAAGTATAACTTAATGGGTTATGAAGCAGGTGTCCAAACCAAATAGCTTTCAAATCCCTCTTGGTTGGCCTAGGTAAAGGAACTTCCAGAGCCTTATTAGACTGACAGTTGCCTCCACACCTGGGTGAACAGGTTAGGAGTGGTAAAATACAGACTTCATTAACATTGTGTTCAAACACTCTAACAAGAGGATATACAACCCCCTATTCACAAGCCCTCAGAAGGGAGTGACAAGAGTGGAATACTTACTGAGGCTGCAAACTGTTGTAATATAGTGTGTGGAAAGTGCAACAAAAGATGAGTAGAATGGCTCATACTGCTTCTCGTGGTGCAGGATTTCTGATTCGCTGCAAAGAAAATAATTCAGTCGACATTTATTTACTTAGTGCTTACTATATGCCAGATATCCTACCCCTTATTGGCATTACCTTACTTAATCCTTATAGCAACCCTACTTCGCAGGCTGTTATCAACCCAATATTCAAGATTGAGAAAGTGAAACTTAGAGAATTAAAGTTAAGTACCTTGTTCAAGGCATCAAGCTTAGTAAGTGGCAAAAGCTAACAAACAGGAAACATTTTCAAAATCACTTAGAATTAAAGAAATACAAGTTAAAATATAACAAGATACCATTTTGTCCTATGTTACTGATTGGCAAAGGCCAAAAGCTAAAAATGCCATGTGCTGGCCAAAAAGGGGTAGACCAGAGCACTCAAAATACTATTAGTGGGAGTATAGATTATAGTAACTCATTCTGAAGACCAAACAAGGCCAGCCCATAACGCAGTAACTTAAGAATCAACAACTCCAACAGCCAAGACGTGGAAGCAACCTAAGTGCCCACCACCTGATGACTGGATGAAGAAGATGTGGTATATATATAATGGAACACTACTCAGCCATAAAAAAGGACAAAATCGTCCCATTCACAACAACATGGATGGACCTTGAGGGTATTATGTTAAGTGAAATAAGCCAGATAGAGAAAGATGAACTCTGTATGACTCCACTCATAGGTGGAAGTTAAACATATAGACAAAGAGAACTGACTGGTGGTTACCAGGGGAAAAGGGGGTGGGGGAGGGCACAAGGAGTGAAGTGGTGCACCTGCAACATGACTAACAATAATGTACAACCAAAATTTCACAAGGTTGTAAACTATCATAATCTTAATAAAAAGTTTAAAGAAAAAAAAATAATCAACAACTCAAGGGAAGAAATCATCTGATAGATGCTAAAATCCAAAATTCAAAATTCATTAGGTACCAGAGCCCCTCTCCCCATACGATACAGCCAGATCACAACAAGTCCAGTGATTTTTAACCACATCCCTTATGTGAGCTGAAGAAATCCTCTCTTCTTGTGAAAATCTGAAGCCCAACTAGGTCTAAAGGCTGGATACACTCACATCATTCTATCAAATCAGATGCTAATCCACAATTCATGAAACAAGACAGCAAAGAAAACACTAAAATGTATCTTATTAAATGGAAAAGGCAGAGCGATGCACCTAAATAGTTTCCTCAGAGAGTTAATTCTCCAGCCAGAAGTACCAGCCTAGGAAGGGAAATGTAAACAGAATGAGGACTCTATCCACTTGCCAAATCAACACAGGAGCCAAAACGACAAGTTCAACATTTGGAAGGTGCCAAGGTAAGTGACAAACCACCTCAAACAGCACTCAAGAGTCTGGCATTGCAAACATTTTGCTATTTGGGGATTTATCAAGGATAAATGGGTATTTATCAAAGATCAGTTCCCTATCTTGGAATAACTCCTTCACCAAGAAAAAATATTTACGGAGAACCTATGATGTGCAAGGATCTTCCTGCCCACCAGGGATCATTTCTCCTTACTTGACAGAGGGAAAAAAGGAGGAAACAAAAACCTTTCAGTATCAAGTAGCACTCAAAGTTTCTGGTGGCCGTCACATTGGTAAGGGTCATAGATCTAAACTCCCCTGCTTCTACCTCATACACTTAATTATTCCTTCACTTCCACCCTTGTACTTTCTTATTCATTGTTCTAAGATTTTCCCACGCTGTAATTTGACGTATCTGAGTTATTTACCTTCTCTGCTTTATTTCAAAAGTTCAGAGTTGCTTACCTTCCCATTTTTCAGCTGACCAGGTTTACAGAACTAAGAGAAAAACTACTCACCCAAAGGACAAACTTATTCTGTTGCTTTCATTCCCATTTGGATAATGAAATATACCCAAAATATAGGAATAAACTCATTTAATTGCCTCATTCAATGTTGCCCCATTGTGATTTAATAAACCCTACTTCCTGGCCTAGAAATACACAACTGCCTTATTCCAATAAAGAAAAAAGAATGCACTCTGGGGACAGATAATGTTGGCATGGAAAAAATGGAGCAGACTTGGGGCAGGCCCTGTCACCGAGTGGTTGAGTTCGCACGCTCTGCTTCAGCGGCCCAGGGTTTCGCAGGTTCGGATCCTGGGCACGGACCTGGCACCGCTCATCAAGCCATGCTGAGGTGGCATCCCACGTGCCACGACTAGAAGGACCCACAACTAAAATACACAACCACGTACTGGGGGGTTTTCGGGAGGAGAAGGAAAAAAAAATGGAGCAGTCTTGAGCTCCATTTACAATTCGCCTAAGATAACTAAGAATATACCTGAGGAAATGGTTTTAAAAAGACTTGAAAGAGGGAGTAGACATGTGGACATGTGGCCCAAAGAACAACGTCTATCTCTTGATTTTAATGAAACAAGTGTGTATGAGTCAGCTAATAAAGATAGGCTGCCATACTTCCTTACTCCACCCTCATTCCCTAAGAATCTGAGAGACACCAAGACACCTGAGAATGAAAAGAAAGGGGAAAAATGGAACAAAGGGCAAGCAGTTAAACAGGAAGGAGAAGAATGAAAAAACTGGAGGCAAACATAACCCAGAGGAAGAAAAATAAGGCGACGCAAAGGTAAGTATCTCTCTCCTACAGGCGGTCAAGCTATCTGCCTCAAACATCTGTTTCTTCCCGAAACACCGCTGGCAGACAGGGGATCTGAAGAGTTTGCATTCCACACAAAATAAAGGCGGTGCAGAGTACAAAGAGAAACAGCAGCTAAGCAGCCAGGTCAGAGAAATCCAACTTGATATGTAAGTAAAAAAAGAATGGCCTAGGGCCTGGAAATATTTAGGTTTTTTTAGGAAGAGGTGGAAATCTGAGAGGGCAAACTAAAAGACTAAGGATTCACCGCCCTTGTCCCTCTTAGATAACATACTATTCTTATCTTTTTTGTAAACTGTGGAAGCTCCACAAACTCCTCTCAACCCAGCAGAATCATAAAAGGCCAAGTACAGACTCCACTACGCTTACTCGTTTCATGATACTTACAATCATCAAACAAGTAAGCATAATGAATACATTAATGGTTATATTCATTTAAAAAAATGTATGCTTACTGAACATGTGCTGTGTGTCACAGAGTACTTAATACACATTAACCAAAGAACTGAAAGCTTTCAGAGAGTCCCTCATACTCTTGACAATCCTGTGGTGAAGACATGGAAACATTAACTCGTCAAGAGGTCTAATCTTACAATTATACTCTATCACTTGGTGGCAGGCTTTCTTTTATTTTCTGTAGGTCAATCACAAACCTATGTCCTACTGCATATAAACTCAAGATCCTAGCATTAGTGCATTCCTTTCTCCCTTTCAAAATTTTTAGGAAATGACCATGCATTATCTATTGGGGATGTTGTAACAGCTTCTGCCTTCCCAAGCAGGTCTCTCTGGCCTAAATTTTATCAAATAGCTGGGAGGCAGAGACTCAAAGACGCTTATCACTCAGGAAGCCAGGACAGGCAAGCAAGGCCTGGCTCAGGGAAAAGGGGCATATTTTTTTCTTTGTAATCTACAAAAAGTCAGTCAAATTGTTCAAAGACAACCATGCTCACCAACATCTCTTGCACAGTTAAGAAAGGAATTCTATATTTGATAGGACATTAAAACATAAGACTACATTCAGCAATTATACTAATTAATCCCACACATAGCATGCACTCCATTAAGCTAGTTCTAACCCTATTTCTGGTCTGGAAAAGCAATGGTGTTTGAAAGATTTTCAATCTTTACTTCCAAAAGACATGCTAGGAAAAGGGAATAGAAATGAAAATGAAGTGCCCTTTAATTAAACTCAGGTAACTTTTAAAAATCTAGTAACACTTTTAAGAGTACCTTCCCAATTTATCCGTGCTAATCTATTCCTCCTTTGTTTCTCCGTTTGCTTACAAGTCTTACGTAACAAATAGGGTCTGAACCTAGGGATTTTTTTATCTACTTTTTCTTCAAACCCCAAAAGTCAATTTCAACCATAAAAGCATGGAAGAATAGAGAGACAGAAAGCAGTACTGGGCAGTCTCTTAGGACACGTGTCATCATCCCCCACAGTCAAGAAGGGAGGAACTCAGTGGATGAGCAGGTTGCGAGGTAAGAAGTAAGAGCTGGCATCATGGAGCCAGGTCTTCAAAAAGAGTAGTAGACTGCAACAGAAAAATAGAAGGTCCTTGGAGGCAAGGAAGAAAAACACAGCAGGCATAACAACAGAACCACAGAAGAAGGGAGCGGCAGTCACAGATGTAAAGTAACAGCCTAGGCACTTGAACCTTGGATTAGCTACAAAACTAAATCCATCTGGATAGTGCTAGCTCTGAGCTAGTCCTATACTCCAGGGCCACAACAAATTTGCCACAATTCTGACACCCTTATTTTGTTTTTTTGAAAAGCAAATAAAACTTTCGAGAAATAGAATACTGATAGGAGGGTACTAATTTCTGTGCTCTAAACCAGAGGTTAGCAAACTACGGCCTGCTGGCCAAATCCGCTGGGGCTCCTGTTTTCGGTACAGCCCACATTTAAGAATGGTTTTACATTTTTTAATGGCTGAAACAAAATCAAAAGAAGAGTATTTTGTAACATGTAACTATCACATGAAATTCACATGTCAGTGTCCATAAATAAAATTTTTGGAACATAGTCACACCCACTCATTTATCTAGTGCATATGGCTGCTTTCTCCATACAATGGCCGAGCTGCCTACTCTACAGAGACTGTATGGCCCGCAAATATTTACTATCTGCTCTTTACAGAAAAAGTGTGCCAACCTCTGGTCTACATCAAACTGAACTTGATATGTTCAGTTGTTTTAACCATAAAGAACTTGTAAGCCAGATATTTCTTCTGGAAATTTTTCTTAAGCTCATATTCCTCTCACAGAGCCTGAAAAGGACACATAACAGGCTTTCAAAGTTAACTGAGCCACAAAAACCAGAACAGAGACTTCAAAGATCTTGCCTTCCAATAAAAGTCTGCGCTAGTAAACAGCCATTGGTTTGGACTTCTTTTTTAAACCATGAAGAGAGATCTTACTAGTGACTACAAACACAGGCTCCTTCCAGAGGCTGGAGGGAGTTGCTGAACTATTATGGTTTAAAAGCCAGGAGCCAGGAACACCAGATGTAGGGGAGGGTGTCAATAAATGACTTTATAACCTACTCAGCTCATGTCCATAAAAACATAAAAGCAAATGTTCTAAAAAGAGTGGAATATTGTCAATTATAAGTAACATAAGAGTATAATTCAGGGAAAATACCACTAATCCAAATGTTTAAAACAGTTAAAAAGAGGCTACACAATTTGATAGTATCTTCCATACTTGTTTACATCTTCATAACATTCTTGGCTTAAAATTAGATAAGAAAATCCATCTGTAAAGTTGACTGTGAAGTTACCGAACCCAACCATTATCTTATTATAATTTGTTTTTTATAAAAGAAACTGCATCCAAAGCATCACAAACCTAAAAAAAAGCACTATAACGAACAATTTGTCAAATCCTGGGCCTCCCTTGAGTAATAAATTGCAATTTCCGCCTCTCTGGATAACATGTAGATATACCCTTCTTGGCATGAAGCTAAAATGACCCAGTTAGCAATTGTACAGAGTCGCTGAAGTAAGGTTTGGAAATGAATGTGAGTGGCTTTAAAAGCATGTCTACAATTAAACGAACGAAACACTGCTCTAGGCCAGGTAAGTCAGGAAAAGGGAGGCACTCTGATACCACGGCCCTGTATGAACACAACTCTCACAATCTAAGAATCTCTGTACAAAAAGACAAAACCACGTAACAGCAAACCAATAAACAGTTCCGTTCGTAAAAGAGTCTGAAGACATTTTATCGAAAGAAAGAAAAAAAAAAAACCTATTTCTTTGGGAAAATGACCTCTCAGACTAACACACCGAAATACTGCAAATCAGACAGCAGCAATATACAGTAAGTGCAACCGGAAAAGAAAGTCATCCGGGGTCACTAGTGGCTTCAGTGGCACAGAAAAAGCACGTGCCCGCAGTGATTACAGCACCACCGAGACCGTTATTAAGTTATGCGGTAGGTCTCCAATCTAAACCCCGGGCTCCGCTCCGGCCCAGGCTAGGGGGATGAGTGCGAGCGAGAAATGCAAACTCATCAGCGCTTTGACCTTAACACGGGCAGCCCCGGGAACGTTCCCCTAAGAGCGAGATGCATCTCAAAGTCACTCCCAAACAGGTCCGGCCACGCCCTCCCGAGAGGGCTTCCTCAAAAGTTTTGCTCGCGAGGGAAATTGAGGCACAGACGATTTACACGGGCTGGCAGAAAGAACCCCGGACCAGCCGTCGTCTCTCGGGGCCGGGGAGCCCCGAAGCCGTGGCTGAAGAGGGGGTCCCCGAGCGGCAGGAGGCAGCCCGGGAAGCGGGTCCAGACGATCCGACGACCTCCCCTCCCCCTCCCCGCGCCCGCCCCGCCGGGGCCGCCGCCCGGTACCTCTCGATGACTGAGGCCACCAGCTGCGGCAACTCCTTCATCTCGAAGGCGGAATAGGACGCGGACAGCAGGGGCCGCACCGCCACCTCCCAGCCCGGGGTCGTCTCCGACCCCGTCGCCGGGGCCCCAGGCGCCGGCGCCCCTGCCGCCGCCTCTTCGCCGCCGCTCGTCGCCATCTTCCGTCGTACTACTGCGGCTCCCTCCGGGGGCTTGCCACCGGCCCAGCGCCGCCTCCCGGGAGGGGGCGGAAGTGACGCATTCGGCTCGTCAGACGGCGCGACGCAGTCGCTGGCCAAAACACGCGACGCGCGGGGACGGCCTCCAGCCGCTCGCTCCGGGGGAGTGTGGCGCGGCGTGGGGGCGGGTCGGGGGCGCTGCGCCTGCGCAGGACGTGGAGCTTCAGATGAGGGCGGGGGAGCATTAGCCTCGGCGCGTGCGCGCTGGGAGTCGTGCCTGGAGGTAGGAGCAATGTGGGTTAGGGGCACCCGGGAAAGGTGAGTTTGGGACTTGGTTTCAGTTGGCAAGACCAGGGCAACGGAGTGGACTACGCATCGGCGAATATACTACTCCCGGCCCGTGACAGCCGAGGACGAGGAGACCGAAGCCTAATCACTGGCACCCGCTTCTTCCCTTCCCCAGTGCTCCTCGTGATAGTAATACTACAGCGCTTCAGAGTTTACAAAGTTCGTTCTCCTCACACCACCTCTCGCTGTGCTGTAATCCCTATTCCTTACTTTTCCGAGTTCAATCCCACTTATGTTTTGGTTACCCCCCATTAGTGATTTTACCGGCCCGTGTTTGCATAGCTCTCTGCATTTTGCCACGTAAGGTTCTGTTTTCCCCATTTTTCTACTGGCAAAGAATGTAAGCTTTGACGAACAGGGGACAACGTCTAGATTTTTGCCGATAAAACTATCTGCGTTCCAGATCTCCGAGGGAAAAGCAGTTTGGAGAGTTTGACTCAAGGAAAGGTGTGCGTGCGTTGAGGACATTCTTGGGCGGGTGCGGTCCTGGGGGACGACGTCAGGCTCTCGGCTCTGGCCCACAGTCCGCCTGAAGAAATCTTCGTGAGAACCGTGAAGACGGCTTGAAAATCCTGAAGCCCTGAAATTCTCCCCCAGGTTTTGGAAGAGCTCCTTTTGTTACCAGTGTAGATAAATTGGTACCTGGTGATCAGTCTGCACTTTTAGTAAGAAAAGACCTATTTTACATTAGAAATAAAATTCAGTCAAGGCCAGTCTTGGAGGAGAAGTAGCTTCAATGATAACAGTAGGGATTTTCCCTTAGTGTCTTATTTATATCAGGGGATAATAACAGTAGGTTTCTTAAACATAAAAATATGAAAAATGAAAGACATGGAGAAAAACCTTTCCATAACTGAATACTGCACTATTTTAAGATACTGAACCAGAGCCCTAAGCAGAAGGCTGGAGACCAAAAATGTTATAGTGGCTCTTGGGAGATTTATTTTATTTTACCAAAAGGACAAAATTAACCTGCAAAGGTTCTCTTGGAGAGGTTTCAGGAAATAATGAAAGGTCCGGTGTTCCTGCTCCCCTCCCCCCCATCTGCGGCAGCTGTAAGACAGTAAAAAGGCAAATGCAGACTATCACAAGGAGCTTTGCATCTGTACCTGAACTCACATTATTTACTTGTTAACATTTATGGCTCGGATTTCAGGAAAGCACTCTAGGTAAAGATCTTTCTTTATAGATACCACATTAATTTCAGCATTGGAGGTTTGTTCTTGTGTTGCTACAAAAATTTGGAATGGCATCTACATTCTAAATGTAGACAACAAAGAAGCGGGCTGAAAAAAGACTTCCAGATGAAACAGCAGCTTCTAATACCTCTGGTCAAAAAAATAAGATAGAAACTAAGAATAGTAATTTTTATGAGTTATTAACTGAAGGACTCAAAATACTAGTTCCTTTGTAATCCCAAATGTCTGGGCAAGGAACTAAATTTTAAAACGGATAAAAGAGAGATATGATATAGGAAATGCAATGAAAGAAAAAAAATTAAGCAGCCACAGCTGCATGGTGTGGTTTAAAGATCAGTGTGGGAGTACGGACTAGGAGGAAGCATGAGGGGGTCTGCTGGGAACTGGCAAGTTCTATATCCTGACACAAGTCATGGTTACATGGATATACACACAATATTCATTGAGTTACATACTTACGATGTGTACACCTTAGTGGTTGTAAATTAGACCTCAATCTAAAACAAGAAGAGGTCAGTGTCACTGCAGGAACCTCAAAAGCAAGAGATAATGGCATTTTTGTTTCAAAAATATTCCATCTGATACATAGTTGCTTGAAATAAGTCCTACTGGAGACGGTGTGTTTAGAAACAATTAGATGAATAAACCATAGCTATTAGCTCCCAGAGGCCAACAAAGGTCAATCACAAAGTTACAAGAACCAATAGTGCATATTTTGTGGAAACTCCTAATGCAACACTGAAACCAGAAATGGACAGCAGCTCCTTTTTGGTAATTCACAATCAACGGAAATTTGGTTTTTTAATACCAAGAATGTAAGGAAATAGATTAGAAGCCTAATTCAATTTAGTAATATGATACGGTCATTTGTAATCCACAAGTATTGATTATTTTTCCCATAATAGTGCATTCTGTATGGTATGAATTTAAAACAAAGAAGAAAATGTGCTTTGCAGCCTTCTTGCTTTAAGAGAAAGAAATAATTTTGGCAATTGCGCAGGGACTAGAAGAGAATGTCAGTTTTACAGAGTAGCAGAAAGCAAGATTTATAGAAAACTGAGGAAGGAAAGAGCACAACTGAAATTATCAAAATTAGAAGGTGAACACCCAAATTTACAATAGCATTCAGTAATAGCCAATGTGAGTTAACGCTTTTACTACAAAATGAAGCTTAGATATACTAATTCAGCTTAAACCAAATAACATAAGATCAAACATACATCCCGAGTTTTGTTTTGTAAAATGATTTTTCCATTCCTCAGATCTGCTATTGCCATGTTTTAGGATTTACACTCAGCAAAGTTTTGGACAAGATTGAGAGACAGGAGAGAGAGACAGGAAGGAGAAGGATAAAGCAAATGGGGTAAAACGTTAACATTTGGGGAATCTGAGTGAAAGGTATCTGAAAATTCTTTGTACTATTCTTGTAACTTTTCTGTAAGTCTGCAGTTGTATCAAAATAAGTTATGGGGCTAGCCCAGTGGCGCAGCGGTTAAGTGCGCACCTTCCTCTTCGGCAGCCCAGGGTTCACCGGTTCAGATCCCGGGTGCGGACATGGCACCGCGCAACATGCCATGCTGTGGTAGGCGTCCCACATAGAAAGTAGAGGAAGATGGGCACAGATGTTAGCTCAGGGCCAGCCTTCCTCAGCAAAAAGAAGAGGATTGGCAGCAGTTAGCTCAGGGCTAATCTTCCTCAAAAAAAAAAAAAGTTAAAAGAAAAAAAAGCCTTGTAAATACTTCACTTTATGATTAGAGTATAATGACATGTGGCAGGCATTTAACAGAAGGAAAGTAGTATAAAGTCCAGAAAAGTGGAGTCAAAGGATTACACTGTATCCTCTAGCACTGCTGGGGGGTGGGGAGGGGCTATCTGGGTCAGAGGACGTGAATATTCTGGTCTCTTTTGCAGATAAATGCCTAAAAGAAACACCATGCATAGGATATTACACGCCATTCTTAACTCCATAATAACCAAGCAAACTTAGCATAGCATTTTAACTTGCTATACAGGCTTTTGCATAGCAGAGAATAGACACTCCAACTAGCAGACGTAAGTATTCTAGTCCTCTTTGCAATGAGTCTTCTTTATCGATAACCTGGCATTCTGGTTATCAGTCTTCTGCTCTAGCTTATTTTATCACAGCACATGGGATAGACAATTATCTCCAAACCCATAAAGGACAGTGGAGCTGATATGAGTAAGTGTGCCTTTGAAATGTATTTTTGCTTTCTTAACTTTCATTCTTCCAGATTGCATGTTAGGTAACAGTAGACAAGAGTGTGCTTCAATCTAAATCTATGGCTAGTTTATAGAGATACTTCCTGAATGGCCTCAGTCTCTAAACCTGGAAAAGGCACCTCTCGGTATCATGGCTCAGAAATTTATATTAGCCTTAGTGCTAGTGGAAAAATGGCTTCTTGGTTGGAGGTCAGTCTCAAGTGACATCACACTCAAACTCCTTAAACAATGAGGAGGCAGGTGTGCAAACATCCTTTATGTCACTATAAATCCTTACTGGAAAGATGGTCTAAATAATACAAGACAGACTTCCCTGAAAGAGTATTTGATTGATCTCATAAAAGTCTCTAATGGAATAACACTTAAGAATTTCAACCTTGTGACCATAAAAAAGGGTATGAGAGATCCATATCGCTAATATGGAAAGCTCTCCATGATGATAGTAAGCGATAAAATCCAGGTGCAGAACATCATGTGGTCTGGAGAGCTCCACACCAAATTGTTCAGTGGTTATCTCTGGAAAATAGAAGGTGGGAGTAGGTTTTAAAGGAGAGACTCACCTTAATTCTTCTGGCATTGCTTGTTTATTTTTTTACTTACATAGCCTGCTTAAATAAATTTGGCAACAAAAACTGAAGTAGTTCATAGAAAGTACCAGTATCTCCTTCATTATTGAAAGGTAGGTGGTACACCTCAGTTGACATTTTACAAAAAAATAAAAGTGCATAGAATGTTGTCTACCTTGTTTTGATTATGGAACGATAATTGTCAATTTTTTAATATTAAGGTACAGTCGTGCGTCACTTAGCAACAGGGGTATGTTCTAAGAAATGTGTCATTAAGCGATTTCGTCGTGCGAACATCGTAACATGCACTTACACACACCTAGGTGGTATATAGCCTACTATATATATATATATATATACACGTAGGCTACATGGGACTAATCTTAGGGGACCACTGTTGTCTATGCACTCGGTCTTTGACCAAAACGTCATTATGTGGCACATGACTGGTTGTTATAAAGAATGTTTTCCAAAGCCTATTTGGACTTTGAGTCTAAATAATCAAAGTTCTTTTTATTTTGTTTATATACGTACACATAAATATAATATACCAAAAATGTATCTTCCCCTTTCAAAATTGAAATTATGGTACCACAAAGCTTATTTCCCATAATGATCTTATGAACATTTATTTTAAGCAGTAAAATAGGGTTTGTCAGAGCTCATGTTCCAGAGCACACCAAAAAAAGGTGAGTAGGACTATCTCTTGGCATTTCAATAAATAT